GAGAGAAAAAAGTAGTCATTCAAGATACTAAAGATATTCACTAGAGAATTCTCCACAATTACAAATTGGACACCTCTCAAATGTCACTAACAGAGTCTTTCTAAGCATACTGTGGCACAACTATACTTTGGAATAACATGTAATCATCAGAATGAAGAGGCGGAGATCAATAGGAGTGACAAGAAGGGTGTTTCTGATACACTAAGTGAAAAAAAAGCAGATGTACACATACAGCCTTTATGTATGCAGGAGACTTATGGAAACTAGAGGATGACAGCAGTAACGGTGCACATTTACCCAATAGTTTGCATCTGTTGATACCAGAGTGAAAGTTCTGGAAGAGCAGCAGAGCTGTGTACCAGGCTGGACTCAAGTATCATGTGATCATTCAGAACTTCCTTTCTTACGTTGCTGCATCTATGGGTTTACCTTCAGCTTTGTTGAATGAGGTAGTCACCCCAATATCTGTGCTTCCACTCCCCAGTGTATCAGTTACCTACAGTCAGGATGAGGGTGTTCAATATGGGTATTCTGAAGGAGGGTACATTCACAAAACATTTATTATAGTGTCTTTGTTATAATGATCTAATTCCTTAGTTGTGATGAATTTCTCTGTGCCTGACTTTTAAACTTTTTAAAATTATTTTAATTTTATTGTCAAGGCAATTTACAGAGGGGTTATAGTTACATAAGTAAGGTAGTGAGTACGTTTCTTGTTCAACTTTACCCCCTTCCTCATTTTTCTCCCACGTTCCATCCCCTTCAGTCCTCCCCCCTTCCCGCACTGTTTTATTACTTTTCATGTTATACAGAAAGATTTCATTTTTATATTTCCATACATTTATGATATATACCAATCAATCTCACCTCTATTAACTCTCCCTTCTTCTACCCCTCCTCCCCAACACAATTGCAACCATGTTTATTGTTCTATTTTCATAGTTGCAAGTAATCTATTTCACTCATAGTGAACTTCATTCATTCTTCTTGGCAGCCCACCGCCCCCCTTCCTTCTAGTACTGTCAATTTCTTTTACTGTCCCCACAAGCCTGTTGATCAACAGCTTTTGTTGTTCTTTGTGCCATTTTCATATATGCAATGTATTACAAGATTATTTGCCCTCTATATTTCTTTTTCCCTTACCCTTTCCTCTTCTCCTCCTAAGTAGTCTCTTGTATAAATTGCTATTTGTTACATTTGTGCATATATAGGAAGAAAATATAATATAGATAGGAATAGACCTGTCTACCAAGCTGGGGCATCTACTGGTGGTCGTGGCATGTGTCCTACACAGATTAAAGGAAGTCTGTTGTCTTTTCAATTCAGACCATTTTCTCACCTAACTCAATCCACAGATTACCTGAATGGAGTGATGACTTCTTTCTCCAGTCCTGAAATGGCCTGGCTAAATGAGCCAGCTTTGATTTCTATATGCTAAGACTTGGCCAATATACTCATAAACAATGCATCCAAACACTGTTGTTCCCTTTCAGAACAGATCTGGTATTTTTAGCATAAGAGTTGTGCTATGCCCTTGTGGCCACATTGGCTTCATCCACAGAATGAACATCACCCTCTACTTGTTCTTCTCAAGACCTTGGCTAGCAGACTTTCGGCACAACAAAGATGAAGGAGGTTGAATATGGTCAAAATAGATGGTTTGTGGCCTGCACTCAGCCACATTGAAGTTAAATTGGACATTAGTGTTTCATTTTCCAAAGTTCGCTCCAATCGCTCTTTCTAAATCAAGGGGTCTATTCACTTTCTTATCTCGTTTCCTTCTCACCTTTATATAGCAGTAATTCCCTCTCATCTCCATTCCAAAAGGTTCTGGTAAGGCTGTCCAACAGTCCTCCTTTGACCAAAGTGCCTGGTCCAGGCAAGCATAAAACCCAGGTGGCATTTTCCAGAGTCAAGAATTCTTTTTAGGAAAGCCAAATGGGAAGGCCATTTTGCCTGCAGAATCTAGAGTCAGAGAACTGGAAATGAAGCTGTGGCCTGGTTCCTCATTGCTGCCCTCAGTGGGTGAAAATGGAGCCAAATAAGACCAACAGAGCCAAAAATAAGATAAATACAGACAGAAAGCTTGAGTTTCTGGATCTGCTCCTGCCTGAGGCTATTTCTAAATCCCTTCAATATATCTCTACAAATGCTAGTAGTGTTGGGTTTCTACCACTTAATCATTGCAAGGACGAGTCTTTGGGCCATAATTACATTGTGAGGAATCCACTCCCTGAAGGAACATGTGTTGGGAGGGAAGAAAGTGCTGAGAGAGTTCGAGAAACTGGATTGATTGAGAAGAGGCTCAGCCAGAGCCAAAGAACAGCATTTCATGGAAGCTGACAATGGGGTTGTTTTAATTGGGAGGTGGGAAACACTTCTGTGGACTTCCTGGGAGGATAATTTGGTGCTTTTAATAAAGCAACTTGACTTGTCCTGCTTTTGGAGCCAACAGTCTGACAAAAAGCAGCACTGTTTGCTGTGGTAGAGGCTGGCGATAATCTCACCTATTTGGCATTGAACAGTCTCCAAGTTCTATTGAGGGAAAGAAGTGTAAGACTATGTAGAGAATTTGTTTTGAGATTGGTGTGTTTAGAATGTGTAGAAAGGCCAGCTCAGAAGACCGCACATAGGAGAGTCAGCAAGGACCTCTGTGGGAAAGGACTTAATGACAAGAACTTTTAATTCTTATGTCTGTACAAACCAGCTTAAATTGAAATTAATTTCTGATGTTTCTGTTGCCATAAAAATGGCATGTTTCCTTTTCTTTTTTTTTTGTCGGTCGTGGGGCTTGAACTCTGGGCCTGGGCGCTGTCCCTCAGCTCTTCAGCTCAAGGCGAGCGCTCTACCACTTGAGCTACAGCGCCACTTCCGGTTTTCTGGTGCTTTATTGGAGATAGGAGTCTCACGGTCTTTCCTGCCCAGGCTGGCTTTGAACCACGATCCTCAGATCTCAGCCTCCTGAGTAGCTAGGATTACAGGCATGAGCCATCAGCGCCCAGCGCATGTTTCCTTTTCATTAGCATAAAGTACTCCGAGTTCTCGACTGGGCATGATGGTGTATATTTGTAGGCCCAGTTAAAGCATAACTGGGGGAGGCTGAGGCTGAAAATATATGAGTCCAAGGCTAATTTAAGCTATCTAGTGAGATCCTGTCACAAAAAGTAATAAATTCTAGATCCTTAGGCCTTAGGGATTTGCTCACTCTTTCACTTGATTATTTGATTTTCAAAGGGACTGAGACCCATTGAGCACTGTTTTTGGAACAAAAGGAATACCCTCAGAGATACTATAGTTTAGCTTAGAAGAAGACAAATATCAAGTAGGGTTTATGCAGAAACAGAAGCATAGAATGTACCAGGCAAACTGTAGGCTCCTACTTTGTGCAAAGTAGTTAAGCATCATTGAGCAGACAACAGGAAGACCTAGAGGAAGGGAGGAAGGAAGCCAGGCAACTCCAAGCACGTGGAATAGTAAGCTTAAAGCCCCAAAGCTGAAGTGTGTTTGATGAGCCTGACACCACAGGGGAGCCTGAGGGCTGAAACAAGTGATGACAAACTAGCACATCAGTCAGATAATGAACTTGAGTCCACTCTGATTGCAAGAAGAAACGTGTAGAGTTTTAGGACCAATGATAAAATGATGAAGCTGGTTGCTCTGTCAAGACTGGTGGAGATAAGGCAAGAAAAAGGTAGAAGCAGGGAGACCAGAATGATCTAGGTGAGAGGAAATGATTTCGACTACGATGGCACAAGTGGCTGGCTGCCATACACAGTCTTGAGGAATTTGCTGGATGGGATAGAGATATCAGAGAAAGGTTGGCAGTACCCAAGATGCAGGTCTCAGGATGAAGATCAACAGATGTCAGAAGACAACCCCACTCCCAGGTCCATCAGAGGCCTAAGTCCATCCAGCTCCCCAGAGGCAGTGTGGCAAACTGTGCTTAGTCAGAGGAGGTGCAGGTCTGAACAGGGAGAGAAGATGGAGGCTTGGGGTTTTCTCTTTGTGGAGAGCCCTAAGCTCCATGGGCAGCAGATCATACCCCAGTACAAAATGGGGTGGCAGCCATGAAATTCCAGGGGGAATGGATGCTGAATGCCTAGATACAACTGACTTGGGGTAAAACAAATAACCCACTATAGCAAGAGAAATTTCACAGGCACATTTAATGATTTCAAAAGTTCATGTATTATGTCCCCCTTTTTTGGGGGGTGGGGGTGAGGTAGTACTAGGTCTTGACCTCAGGGCCTGGCACTGTCCCTTATCTGCTTCACACAAGGCCTACACTTTATCACTTGAGCCACAGCTCCACTTCCAGCTTTTTGCTGGACATGAGTCACACAGACATTCCTGCCCAGGCTAGCTTCAGGCCACAATCCTCAGTTCTCACCCTCCCACATAGCCATAAGAGTGAGCCACTGGTACCAGGCTTTTCCTTCATGTGTTTGCTTGGTTTTTGTTGGTTGTTGGGCTTAAACTCAGGCCCTGGTTGATGTCCTTGAACTTTTTTGTGCTCAAGGAAGCATTCTACCACTTGAACCTTAGCACCACTTCCAACTTTTTCTGAGTAGCTGATTAGAGGTAAGTCTCATAAACTTTCCTGCCCAGGCTGGCTTCAAACCATGATCTTCAGACCTCAGCCTCCTGAGTAGCTAGGATTACAGATGTGAGCCATTGGTGCCCAGCTTCCCTCATGATTTGAGGAACAAATTAGAACCTCCCTCCCTCCCTCTTTCTCCTTCCTTCCCGCCCTCCCTCTCCCCCCCCCATTTTATTAAGCTTTTAAAGACGTGCATTATTTTTGTTATCAGAACAAATAATATATTGTAGAAAGAAAGGCAAGATGATCAATAGTAGCCAATTTAGACAGAGCCAATGAGTAAGAGAAAGAAGTGGTGTTCAAGAATGGGGAGGGGTGTCAGAATATGAGCAACTGAGAACAGACCATGAGAAACTGAAGCATGACCCGAAGTCTCACTTGGGAAACTTGACAAAGGAAGGAATGGCAAGAACATATGCCACACAATTCTTAATAAAGTTTATTAAATAATATGTACAGCAAAGGTAGTAATTTAACACATCTATTTATCAAATCAATCCACTGCAGTAAAGAAAAATAAATGAACAGAAAAATCTGTGCCTGCAGAGTACATGCACTCAGTGTGAAAATTTAAATGGCAATGCTTTAAATTAATTGGTTATATATAATGTCAGTTCTCTCAGAATATGATCTTTCTTTTTGGTAGTAGTCTATTCTAGCAACAGGATTTAATTCTACTGCAGAACTGCAAAAAAAAAGTTTTTTTTTAAACTGCAACTGAAATAATAGTTACCTTCTCTTTCCAGAAGAATTATTATTGTAAATGTTAACAGTTTCCAATGGCAAATGTGCTAAAAGTGAATACTTTGAAATTCCTTCATTTAAATAAAAATGCAAAACAAAACCCCTCTGTGACTCCCTTATTTTACTCCCTTCTGTTCAAATTTTTAAAACTTTTTCTATACAAGGTAGGTACATGGACTATACAAAGTTAAATATACATATTTACACTCCCAGTTCTCGAGCATATGAATTTTTTTTCCTTTTACTGATCCCAGAGAGACTGCAAAAGATATGTAGTTTGGGGCTAGCCTTTACCTGGAAGCATGGCTAATATATCAAAACCTGTTGCAAGGCATGTCACCAGGTAGTTACACTTGCTATTAATAAACCTGTATAAACATTTCAGCATAAAAAATAGGTAATTTATGTTACTAAATGTCTGAAGACAAAAGAGTAATTGGGAACCTGTGTTCCCTGTTTTTTCACACAGAGTCATAGTAAACTGAGGGGATGTGAATTTTAACATGTGATTTTATTAAAGAAGAGCAAGTTGGCAAGGCAACCCCTGTATTTGGGGAGAGAGACAGACGCTGCGTGAAGCTGGCATCAGATGCAAAGGTGGCTTTACAAGTTGGTTTTACTTTCTAGCTGTATTTAAAGAGGTGTTCAAAATTACCTATTAATCAAGAAGCACCCCTCCAAAAAAGTTAAATAGGATTTCATTATTAATGGTTTGTGTTTAAGAAAGACCAAGAAACACAGCCAATATAAGGGTTACATTCCAAATGGGGAGAAACGCTGCTGGGCAAAATGCATGCACATATGCATTTTTACTATATTCCTTCAGAGACAAAAGTAAAAAAAAATCAGGCTCTGTGCTCTGGGATGGGGGAGCAGAGCTTCCAAAGCTATAGGTCATACAGTCATGGGGTCCTAGAAAAAAATCAAGAAGCTTCGTTCTACCATAAAACCTTCTGTCCCTGAAGTTCTACAAATTCACACACTTTTCCCTTGGGATTAAGGCTCCAATTTGTCCTAGTTCCAAACAAATGTCTCTAGAGAAGAGGCAACACATTCTTCTTATCAGCCATTTACACTTCAGTGCAAATTAGGAGTAATTTTTTTTTCTTGAAAGCCTCCTTGAAAGGTTAGGGAGAAAGTGAGGGTACTGAGGCTGATTGGCAGGTGGTGGGAAGCTGGTGGGATCTTAAGATGAGTGTCTGGGACAACCACTGAGGCAGAGGTACTAAAGACAAGTTTTATCTACTTGGAAAAGATTCCAGACTTTGGGACAGTGGTCCTGGGGTAATTCTGAGCTAGCTGCAGAGAGCCAGGGTTCCAGTATACACCCCTACCACTTAGAATTGCTACTCCTATTTGTCACCTTGGAAGTGGATTTGTGGGGAGGATGAGAGTTTGGAGACTCTGGAAAAAGTTCCAAGTATTTCCAGCCAGAATGACTCCCAGTCTAAAGTTCTCTCAGTATCCTCTTTCAGAAGTGAGGTATGGAGACAGAAATACCATGACACCTTCCAGGTCCCTCCAGGGGAAACATCTCTTCTCCCAAACTTCCTTAGCACGTATCACAATCTCTCTTTGCAGTCAGTTTATTTTTTCTGTCTCCCCACTCACCTCCAGTTCCTGGTGGGCAGAAAATGGGGCACCTCTATCTCTGTGTCTGAAAAGTCTAACAGAGAAGCTAATAAAACATCTTTATCACAGCTGCGTCAGAGTAGTAGTGAAGCAGTCATGCGGCCCAGAGGTTTCCTCCTCAGTTGCAGCCCCCACACAGGGCAGACTTCTGGTCACTGCTGCTTGTGGAAAGTTGCTGCTTATACTCAAGCCACTGATCCACACCTTGGGAAGCCTCTGCAGGTGCATGAAGAATACTCACAAGCTGGGGGTGCCAACATGTTGAGTGGTCCTTGAAGTCTTCTGGGGATTTGGGGGGGAATTGGAAACCTGGCATCTCTTCTCAGCCCAGGGCCTCATGGGTAGATCAGTAACCAGAGCATGTCACTGCATGTTAAATAAACTCTAGATGTCATTCTGGGATTCCTGTGAAAATGGGTCTAGCAATCCCAGACTTTCCCAGCCAAACCCAAGCCAGAAAAGAAAGCTTAATATAGGGCTCAGGTAAATGCAGCTGCGCTGCCCTAAAGGCAGCTGTTTATAAAGCCAGAGAGATATGGGAAAGGAATAAGCTAAGCACTGCCACTGGCCTCCGAGGTGGCAGGGCTTCTTGACTTAGTCGCTTGGAAATACAAACCTAACCAATCGGCCTTGACCATCTGCTCCCCAATCTCAGCACAAACCTCATGTGGGCATAGTCAAGGGTAATGCAGGCTCAACACCAAGGTGCCTGGTTTGCCTCCATTTCCTTACCTGGACCTCAGCAGGTCCAATGGCAAAGGGGGGCAGTCTCAGTTTAGCAGACAGTCTCAGTTTAGTCCAGGGCAGCTAGCGATAGAGGATGGGGCAGTCAGTGGGTGCCCAGAGTTGGGGTCTCCAGAACATGGCTAGGGATCTACTTGCCTAGTTCCCTAAGGGTTATTCTAGGCTCAAGGACCCCTTTGAGATGACAGCAGGTAAGGCTGGAAACCAGTAAGCATTTCTGGCTAATCCATTCCTAGACTCTACTCCAGGTAGAGGTAGAGAGGAAGGGGAGGGGAAGGGAAAGCTGGAGTTGTTCCAGAATCAGGTAAGTAAATCTGATTTGCCTCAATTCATTTTGCTCAGCACACGGTTCAGCCCTGATACACAGTAAGCTCAGACTTGAGTGTTAATTGTCACACTTCTCTGTTCCTTTTGTTTTTACTTCTTAACTTTATCCACTGCATTCATCTTCCTACCAACTTAACTTTTAAATAAAGACCAGTTCATGAATTATGCTTCATCCTCAATAAAAATAATTTCTATGGTTATCAGTCTTCTTATAGATATAAAGGTTTTACATAGTTGCCTGGAAAAGTACCAAACTGCCTTGTTCTTCTTGAAGTACCTATAAAAAATAAACAAAAAAAAACAGGAGTGAGAAGACCCAGACACTGAAATCTTCAGCAAATATTCCTTGATAGCAATCCTGCTGTTTATAAAATTATATACTCTCCAAAGCACTTTCCCCTAGCTTATCTCAGGCCACAAAATGAGAGGAAATAAGGCATTTCTACGATTCTCCCTTTTCAGTGGTAGAACCCAGCCTTGGAGAGCATAAAGGACACTTCTGAGGTCCTTCTGCTTAACAAGTATCAGAGGCAGAATCTACCCAGTGAGTCTTCTGATTTCCTGCCCATTGTTCTCACCAATACTTCTTATTTTGGAAGAACTAGCACATAAAGCCAACATAAGAGGACACCTTGGATAACTGTAGGATCTCTAACAGCCCGTCACTGTGACAGCCTATGCAAGGGAAAGGGTCCCTCTAAGCCATCTGGGAACAAAGCCCTTTCTAGACTTCTCCTCATCTGGAACTTCTAGCCTAGAACTTTCCCTTGGAGTCACTCTATAGCAGGGTGGCTGAGATATATTTTACTATCACCATGTGTCATTAGAAGACATTCTAATTGGACTACTGTATCCGTGTCCTAATCAGCTCCCATTTGGCTCCAGAATCCTACTGAATATATCCCCTCACGCAGCCAAAGCTAGCAGACTGGGATTCTTGCCAAACTGCTATTTCTAAAAGGCATCTAAGGAGGATAGTCAAGAAGGTTGCACAGAACTAGGATGGTGAGGCCCTGAGGTGGGAAGGAGCTCACCTGCACTTCTATATATAGCTAGTGTCTTCTTTACAGATGAGGGGAAAAAAATGACTTCTGGTGGACTACTGTGCTTGACCTTTGAATGTTAGGCCTATGAAAGACCCCAAACTTTGGGACAATGATATTGGGATCATTCTCACTGAGGTATTGAAGGAAGTGATCTGAGTGTTCCTAAATGTTGCTTCATGAACTGGAGTGTTCAAGGAAGACACCATTCCAAATACTTCCTTTATCCAATGGCCTAGGGTGGCTCCATTACAGAACTGGTGCCCCTCCCCCACCCATTGAAAATAGAAATACTCCTAGACGACTTTAGTAGCTAACGTACACAGGTGCTACACTTCCTCCCTCCCTTCTTCTTGTTGGACTTATGTGTGTATGCATTCATGCATGTATGCCTGTATGTATGTACATATGTATGTATGAATGTATTTTTGGAGACAAGGTATTATGGGGCCCAGGAGGCTGGCCTTGAAATTGAAATCTGGCTGCCTCAGTCTGTCATGTGCTGAGTAGAGCTGTACTCTAATATGATAACCACATGTGATAACCAAGCAATGGAAATATGGCTAGGCTGAAATGAGCTGAGCTCATTGGATACCAAAGACTTAATATGAAAAGCATTTAAATTTTATCACTAACAATTTTTATACTGGTTATCGGTTCAATGATAATGCTTTGAATGCATTGGATTTATAACATATATAGAATTCATTTCACTGGTTTCTTGTTATTTTAAGTTGGCCTCTAGAAAATTATAAATCCCACATGTGGTTTGCCGAGTGTTTCTATGAGGCTGTACTGCATTCAAATAGCCCCTGATTTCCCAGATCTGATTCTCTTCTGAACAGAACTCAGGGTAGTGGGGACTGTGGGCTTCTGGGGGACCTGGGAGGACAAATAACTTTTGATTCAGAGGCCACTGAAGCCAAGGAAAATCTCTCTGGCTTCCTGTTTATGCCAAGACTTGCTGGTCTCACTAGAATTTTTGACAACTTTTTTTTTCAGAGATAGGAAAGGAAAAGCTAGTTTTCAGAAAGAAAGGGGAAACTAAGGCAAAGAGTAAGTCATGTCTCCCAGTGTTGTATTCATATCTAAGCAGAAAGAACATATAGGCTTTGGGAAAGGGGAGTGGAGAATTTGAATCCTGGCTTCTGACATTGCTTCTTGGCTACTATTTGTGTGTGTATGTGCACGCATACTAAGGTTTGCTAATCCTAGGGCTTGAGCTCAGGGCCTGGGTGTTGTCTCTGAGCTTATATGCTCAAGGCTAGCACTCTAACACTTGAGCTCTACTTCTAGCTTTTTGGTGTTTAATTGGAGATATGAATCCCATGGGCTTTCTTATACAGGCCAGATCCTTAGATTTCAACCTCGTAAGTAGCTAGGATTACAGGCATGAACAACCAGCTCCCTGCTCAGCTCTTACTTTTGTTTTTGGTCAGTCATGGGGCTTGAGCTTAGGGCCTGGGCACTGTCTCTAAGCACCTTTGCTCTACCACTTTGAGGCATAGGGCCACTTCCAATTCTCTAGTGGTCAATTGGAGATACAAATTCCTACCCAGACTGGCTTCAAAGCTGGGTCCTCAGATCTCAGCCTTCTTAGTAGCTAGGATTATATGTATGAGTTACCAGTGCTCAGCTGCACTCACTTTTTGAGTATGAGGACAACAGTTGTCCTACATGACTACTTATATGAAAATGTCAATAAAAGCACATCAAACAGTGTCTGGGTTATAACAGAATCTCAATAAATGTTGATCTTTCTTTCCTCTTTTCATAAAGACAGTTCTTTATTATTGTTGTTTTGTTTGTGTGTGTGTGTGTGTGTGTATTTGTGTGTTGGGGAGCCTCACATGATAAAGCAAATGCTCTATCATGGGTGTGGTGGCACACACTTCTAATCCCATCTACTTAACGATGGAGGCAGCAGGATCTTGAACCAGAGACAAGTCCAGGTAAAGTTAGTGAGACTCTATCTCAAAAAAAATAAGAAGAACAAAAGAGCTGGGGTTAATGGATAACTAGCTCAAATGGTAGAACATTTATCTAGCATGTGTGATGCTCTGGGTTCAATCCCAAGTACCCCACACACATTTTTTTTTTAAAAGCTCTACCACTGAGCAATATCTCTTGGTTGTGGACCAGAGTTCGGGAATGCTACATTCTGTACAGAGAACACTGATGGTTCATCACACCTACTGCTTCCCTCCATGAGCATCTAGGACGAAAAGCACCATGAGAGTCTTACCAACAAACCATCCGTCGTCACATTTTTCCATGACATCAACGATATCCCCATCTCGGAGTTCCAACTCATCATCATTCTGTGGTATATAGCTATATAATGCTTGGTAGCTAAATCTATAAATGAGAAGCAAGAATATAAATGACTCACATGATAACAGGATTAAATAATGAGTTTTTTTTTCTTCTGGTTCTGGGGCTTGAATTCTGTGTCTGAGGATGTCCCTGAGCTTCTTTTGCTTGAGGCTAGTGCTCTATCACTTGAGCCACTCATGCTATTTCTGGCTTTTTTGAGTACAGACTTTCCTGCCTGGGCTGGCTTTGAACCATGATCTTCAGGACTACAGGCATGAGCCACAGGCACCTGGCTAATAATGAGTTTTTAATCACATTTCTGTTAAGCTAATATTTAAGAAATATTTCCCACTTATCAGTAAAGATAAAATGATTTCTTTTAAACACAATAGGAGTCATGGCAGAGTTTCTTGGCTCCTGAGCCCTCCTCTCATGTGTCCTCCTCTCATAGCCAGGCCAAGACTGAGATAGAGGAGGTGACAGATAGAAAGGCCCCACCTCAGGGAGAATCAGACAGTCTACAGGAGTATGAATATATGGGAGTCTGGAGAGAAAAGGGGGCTCTGTCCTGGCTTTTTGTGGTAGCCGTACAAGGGGAGACACAGATGGGGCTGACTGACCCTTGACATGCTCTAGAGAGCCATTGGTCAGTGACCACTACTGTCCCTGCCCACTCTGTTGGCATTCTGAGTTTGGGAGCTTCTGCCTTGGTCCTGGAGCTTAGCAGGATAAAATATTTTGTCTTCTTCTCTAATCATGTGACACTTGAGGAAATATGTTCATCATATAAATTAATTAGGGATGAGAGGAATGGAAATTCGTGACAAGCAAGACAATCAGTCCTCTAATTTTATTTGGTTACCACAGACAGATTTTTTTTTTTTTGGTCTAGTGTGCCTTCCTACTTCTACTCCCTGCCTTTAAAGCAATCCAAGGTTTTTTCTTAAAATAAGAGAACACATGTAGATTACTAAGGATAATCAGAGGTTATTTAATCCTGGCTATATACATTGGAAAACATAAAGCATTTATGAAACAGGTAGATGATATAGGCAGAAAAATAAATGAAAAGTACATATGTATTCTCTGTCTAGTAAAACCATCCTGAGTGCTTTAAGACCCCTGAAAGCTTTCTGCCTCCTTCTGCCCCCCCCCCCGCCCAATCCCAGTGATGACTGAGCTAAGATTTTCTTTCTTTTCTTTTTTAAAATTTACTCACTGTTTGGCCTAAGGCATTTGGTCTGTGCTAATCTTTGTTCTAATAATAGCAATTTCATTGATACTACTTTGTCATCAAGGCAAGGCTTTGTTTTTATTTATTCCTTCAACAGATGCTAAAGGGGCACCTACTATGTGCCAACTTTACAATTCTTTGTACTTATTACTTTGAAACACAACACTAACAGCAGAATTTTTAAAGTGAAACTATCATTTGCCATTTCTAAGCATGTCAATGACTCCCTGTGTGTTGCTAAGAGAGACCAGAAACAAGCATGTGGTCTGTTTCCACAAACAGGAGGTTCATGCTGTTCTGCTAAAACTATAGGGACAGCTTCCTTTACACATTTCTCTAAGTGTCCTGATACTTTGATTGTGGATTCTGCTACCAGAATGGAGGTATCTACCTCGGAATTGAGAAAGGCAAACAGATTTCCAGCTGTAATGCATTTGCGTTTGTCTGCTCTTCCCTATCCAACTTGGTTCCTACAGCTAGCTGCCCAACATATGTCCTTGCTAACATCTTAATATATCTTGTCACCTTAATTTCTACTGTGTCTGCTTGTCAGTTTTCAGACAGTGAACACTGGCTGGAGAGAATCTGAACCCTGGAGGCCTGGGTATAGATTCACTAAGCTCTAATTTTGGATGAGCCTCTTACGGCTTCAGGACTCTACTACCTTTGCCAGTTTTGGTGCCCCACTCTCAGTGGAGTGCTCCTTGCTCTGTCTTTACTTCTGAAGATTAAGCTGCCATGGCAACAATTGAATCTTTCCCTCCAGATTTGGGCTTCTGTGTCTCCATTCACCTTCCTGACCCTATTCCATATTCAAGAGTCCCTTCTCCTGGTCATGTGGAGCATCTTTCGCTGGGTTTACATCGTTCAGCTCTGTTACCTCTGGCTCCTCTGGTACAAACATGCCCAAGTCCTAGTTCTGTCCCCAATAATCTTTGATCTATAGCTCCGCTCCCCGCTTACTCCTCAGCCCTTCCTAGGGGAACATCTGTCTCAGAAGTCAACAGTGACTTTTCCAGTGGCCAGAGAGGCAGCACAGTGGCTATTGTTCATTTCCTAGTCCTGGCCAGACGTTCCCACTTTAGAAACCAACAGTGGAAGCCAGGCACTGGTATTCACACTTATAATCCTAGCTACTTAAGAGATAGAAAACTGAGGATTGCAGTTCCAAGCCAGCCTGTGCAGTGAAGTCCAGAGGACTGTCATCTCCATTCAACTAGCAAAATGCCAGAAGTAGAGCTATACCTCAAGTGGTAGAACACTGGCTTTTTCCCTCTAGACTAGGACTCTACCACTTGAGCCAAACCTCCACTTTCAACTTTTTGCTAGTTAATTCGAGATAAGAGTCTTACAGATTTTTCTGCACCAGATGGCTTCAGATCATGATCATCATATCTGAGCCTCCTGAGTAGCTAGGCTTATAGGCATGAGCCAAAAGTGCCCTGCTCAATACATTTGTGAATGAACTAGTCAACCTGTCCATTCATTTCTGCTCAAAATTAACTGCTCTTTCTTCTGTGTTCCTTACAAAACTAGAGATGAAACCCACCAGCCTAGCTCTCACTTTTAGTTTTAACTCTACCTACCTCTTTCTCCTAGTAGTTCATAGCACTCTTTATTTGCCTACCACCTGTCTTCACAGTGGCTTAAAGTAGATACCCTTAAAAAAGTAAGAAGTGATTCACTCATTCCCTCCAAGTGGCTGTCTGTCCCAAAGGTCAGTCCATGATCCACTTTCTAAGGTCATAAGCCCAAAGTCCACCAGGAAATGTAAGAAGCAAAGTTAGCCAACTGTACTTACAAGTCTTGTGAGGTTTGACTCCTGTCTGGGGCGACTCTTCGCTGCTGGGCTTGAGGTTGCTGAGAAATGATTAAAGATGATTTGTCAGAAGGGGATACCTTGTGATGTAAGTCAAGGGGATGAGAGACAGTGCTGCAGTAATGAACAGATTTCTCAGCAATGTTTATGATCTCATTGCAAACTGCTTCCTGTGAGGTGGCCCCAAGATATCCAGAAACCCCCATAAAACAGTCAATGTGGGGACAAAAAAAAACAAAAAGGAAGAGAGGAAGAGATGTAACATTCCAGACGAAGCACATTAAGTCCAAGGAAAAAACAGAGTTGAAGATCCAGGTTAAAAAAAGAGATTCCAGTAGTGGAGTGCAGGAGGGATCCAGGCGAAAGCATGGAAAAACAGGTAAGATATAGAAGAATTTGGGATTTAGTATGAATATTAAAAATAAAAAGGCAGCAGCATAAAAGCCTGTAATTAGTGAATATCTGTTACAAAGGGAATAATCTCAGGATTGAAATGCAAGTATGTATCCCCAGTCATGCATTAATAAATTAATACATTAATTTAATCCCACATGTAGGCAAATTGGAAAAATTGTCTCGAAATCCCTCTGCTTCTTCAGAAGGGAAAGAGGGTGGCCGAACACCTGGCTCTACTACAATAGCCATGGAATCTTGTATATCACGGCTCTGTGTGTCTCCCAGGCATTACTTTGGTCTAGACTTGAGCCAGCAAGGATTCTCTTTAGGAAAACTACAGTCTTAGTCAACAGGCATCTTACCACATAGTTCTTTTCAGATTCTGTGAGATCAGGTCCTGCTCTCAATGAATGATGAGAAGGCTGTGATCACCAAGCAAATCATAAGGGAGACATTTTTAGCAGATGTCATGTTGGGAAGGATTCAAAATAAAAGCATGAGCAAGTACATGTACCACACCATTGCACTCAGATGACACCGGATACTCACGGCCCGTGGCCACTGAGTTTCCACATGAGAAACTCACACAACATGTTGGATGCACAGGAGAAAATGCAGATGTAACAGAGTTAGAAGCAAGCATTCAGGCAATGAAATGAAAACTTGGAAATATGGCTGCAGTAAAAGAATGAACAACACAGGATCACCAGATTGGCAGGAGAGACACGTGACAGGGCTATCTTTAGGAGCAGATATGCCCTCTCCATATGTGTACAATATGTGTACTGTTCCCCTGTCTCAGATAATAATCTCTGAAGAAGGGAACCAGTATCAGTTTTTGTTGACTGAGGGCCAATGATAGAATTGGCTCATAAACTCAAGTCTGCTACATTTGGGTACTTAGTTGTAAATGCATAATACTTTTGACATATTCTTGAGGAATAAAGTCTCAGACAAGCTTACTGTTCTAGAAATAGCTTCACATGACATACTCTAGTGAAGTATAAAACAAGTTCAGAGGGCTCATAGGGCAGAGCTTGCTTTCAGAAACAGATATAGATAGAGGTGATTGTTCCTAGTCCCTCATTAGCCCTAGAACCATGTATTGATATAGAGACAAGTGTAATCAAGACATTCTTCTGAGTGGGACTTCCATTGTAGAAGGCCAGGCCCCCACTGAAAAAGTTTCCACCAGAGGACTCAATTCCAAACTCTAATTACTCTGAATAAACATCTAAAAAGTCATCCAGGTGAAATGTAATAACTTCAATAGGTCCTGTATGACCAATTTCCATTCCAGCCATCACTTCCCTGCTCTTGTCCTTCAAGTTTTCCATTCCACCCTTTCAACTACAGTCACTCAAACCATTCTCCTTGAATTCTGGCAGTAGTGAAAGAGAAGACAGAACTGAAGGGCCATTTCATGCTCTTTCTACAATGTCTCAGAACCTGTAGACCTGTGCCAGGTAGATAGAAGCCATTTCTGAAGAATGAAAGGACCTTGGGTGCCTTGATGGCAAAATAGACAGACTATCACTTGACTGACAGAAGGAATGACCTAAAAGTGAACACTGTCCAACAAAAGTGGCTGCCCAAAGGAATGAGTTTCTGTCACAGCAGCTGTTGGAGCTGAGGCTGCAGTTGCTATTGACTGTCAGTAGTTGGGGTTCTATAGATGACTATGTTTCAAGGGCAAACATAGGTAGGTATCATCCAGGACCCGGCTAAGTGTAGATTCTCACTTGCTTCAACTGAGGTAGGCCAGATTACATTTCTAATTGGTGCTAATGCTGCTGGTTCTCAGCCTAACTTTTTGAACCACAGTACTAGAGAGATACTGATTCCGTCTTTAGTACCTTCTTTACCATACTCAAAACAGAAGAAAATCATCATCATGGCCTTAGCATCTGGATAGTACAAACACCCCCATTCCTGAGAGGTCGAATGATGAAGTTCTTCACTTAGTATTTGCTGGATAAACGAAGGAAAAAGGCAAGATAAATATTTATCCTATTACCTCAGATTCAGTTTCTCCATGTTTAGATTCAACGGAAACAACCTATATGGCTGGAATATAAATCTGGACTTTTTGGAAGAGAGGAGAATGGTATGGAGTATACCTCGGTGGACATGGAAATTGATAACCATGAACAAGAATGAACCTTTCACTTCAAACACTGCTTCCTTTGAGATTGTAGGTTATTTTGTTTTTTGGGGTTTTTTTGTCCTTAATTGAAGGTAAGAGTCTCATGGTCTTTCCTATCCAGGCTGGCTTTGAACTGAGATCCTCAAATTTCAGCCTCTTGAGTAAGTAGGATTTTAGGCACAAGCCACCAGCAACTGGCTACAAGGATTTCCCTTGAAATTTTATTTTCACTTTGAATAGATCTTCCTCTTCCTCCTTTCCTCTTCCATCTTCACTTTTTTCCTCTTCTTTTTTTCATTCTTCCTTTCTTTCCTTTTTTTTTTTTCTTGGTGTTGTTTGGTGGTATTGGGATTTGAACTGTGATTCTTTTTTTTTTTGGATCCGGTCGTGGGCCTGAACTCTGGGCCTGGGTGCTGTCCCTCAGCTCTTCAGCTCAAGGATAGTGCTCTACCACTTGAGCCACAGTGTCACTTCCAGCTTTTTCTGCTTATGTGGTGCTGAGGAATCAAACCCAGGGTCTCATGCATGCAAGGTAAGCGTTCTACCACTAAGCCACCTTCCCAGCCCTGAACTCTGAATCTTATGCTTGCTAAGCTGGCACTCTACTATTTGAGTCATACCTCCAGCCCTCCCCATTTTCTAACTACTTAACAGCTTCATACAGCTCTTCTAATTCTCTGCTGTCCAATATGGTAGCCAATTGCCACCCGTAGCTGTTAAATATTTGAGCTGTGACAAATATGAAGAGAAATGGCATAGGTGTAATAATGTTTGGATACATGGGTTAAATAAAATGTATGATGAAAATTAATTTCATCTCTTCTATTTTACTGTGGGTACTGGAAAATATTGAATTACATATGTGGCTAAGATTCTCTTTTCATGGGTAGTGCTCTTCTGAACTGTCCCAGGGCCTCAGCACTTGCCCTTATGTAAGCCTAAGAGAGTAGACACAAGTTCTCACCAGGCCTCACCTAGGGCTAAGAATAAAGGGAGTGTTAGCTCATGCTAAGTACATTTTGGATATTGCAGATGCATTCCACTTCTCCCACGTGTTTGGGAAAAATAGTGACCAGTCCAATATGTATGGGTACATCCATGTACACACATACACAAACCAACATACACTACTACGCTCTTGCCTCTCCCACCAATGGTAAGCAGGGAATAGTCACTGACCTGAAATTTTATTTCTTCTATGTTTACATTCAAGTTGCCCTTCCTGCCCAAGTGAGTAACTCTGCATGTGTCCTTGATCTGCTATCCTGTGTCCTTCTATCTTCCATTCTCCTTGGTCAGAGATTTGATCTTAGCTTTGAGAGCTGTTAATCCCTCTGGATCCACAAAACACCTGGTGCTACTGCAGTTACTAAGCGTCCTCTTCTAGCTTTGGGGGTGCGCCAAAGCCTTGAGTCCCAAAATAAATTACACCAGCTAAGGACAGAGACACCATCTCTACATGGTCCCAGATCCCCTCTAGAAATACCATGAATCTCTGCTACTCTCCTGACTGGCCCAAGTCTCCAAGACAGCATCCTTCTGTTCACCTCATGTCCCACCCTTCATGACTTCTCAGACCCGACCGTGGCCTTCCCAGTGGAACAGTAAAAAAAACAATCTGGGTTCCAGGACAGTCTTTGATATGAATTGATTTTCCCCTTGAGCAAAATGTTAAACATGTTAAGAATCAAGTTCTAAAATAAATAAGAGGGTTGGATGTGGGCCTTGAATTGCAATTTTCCAACCTCCATCTCCCAGGTAGGTGTGATTACAGACATGAGCCATGGAGCCCATTTTATTCAATTCTTTTAACTGACTCAAGAAGGTGGTCATTTTGTAAATTTTGTAAATGAGAAAACAAAGAGCCAGCATGTCTGAATTGGAAATGAGAAAAGTCAAGATGTAAGCACAGACTCTAAATTCTATGCATTCATTTTGCTGCATTCTGATCTTCTAGGTATTCTACCAAGGGGAGATTTAAAAACAGCTGGGAACAGGTGCTGATGGAGGGATCATCTTAAACTGTCCAGTACTAGCCAGGAGCTGGTGGCTCACACCTGTAATCCTAGCTATTCAGGAGGCTGAGATCTGAGGATCGCAGTTCAAAGCCAGCCTGGCAGCAAAATCCATGAGACTCTTATCTCCAATAAACCACCAGAAAACTAGAAGAGCACTAGTCTTGAGCTGAAGAGCTAAGGGACAGCGCCCAGGCCCAGAGTTCAAGACACACACACACACACACACACACACACACACACACACCTGTCCAGTACTGTGAAGCTGGCATTTGGGTTTCTACTGAAAAAGTACCATTTCTCTTAACCTCATTTTAGGGGTAGACACTGAGGCTTCAGATCTTGGTTCTTTAATACTTAATACTTTCTGGTTGTTCTGGAAGAATTGTAGCCTGTGTTTTTCCCCATCCTGTAAATTGTTAACACTCTCTGTGTTTATTTAGAGATTTCCCTTCTGATTGAGTCAAAAGAAAACATTTCCCATTTTTGAGTAACCTAAGACTTTCAATTTCCTTTTTATTTTTTCAAGTTCCATCACATGTTTTCTCCTTCTACTCCTGATCTCCATCCTCCAGCCAGGCCTTTCCCTTTTTCTGATCTTTCTGGGAAAGACTCTACTTTCCATGTGGTGAGGGAACCACCCTCTGATGTCACTGAAGCACACCTATCTATCTTCAGGTGAGCTGCTTCTTCCCTCCTCAGTTTTTTCTAATGAAGTATTTTAGTAAGGGTTTCAGAGGTAGATGTACCGGACACACCTAGCTGTTATAAGTACTTTCATTTGGTAGTTCATGCCCTCAATATATTATTGTTTGATTGGCTTCCTTCATGTTAAGAACTAAGATTATGTTACATAAGCTACTCAGGAACCAGTTTTCTCATTTCATGGAAATGCTGAATGGGCTAGGAGCTCTTGACCTCATGGTCCATGGACAAGGTAGGAGCTCTCAGGCTGACTCAGGTATAGCCCTCTAGAAACAAGGCAGTATTAGGTGTACATGCCAACTCCCCTACAATGTACTGTCCTTAGATCCTTTGAGGGTCTGTGATACAGAAAATGTTACAAGTCACTGGGACAAATGATCTCTAAAAAATGAATTTTCATTCAGAAATTTTATGAAGTTATAGTTATATCACAAGTTGCATCATATAGAAGCCTACAGATTCTATAAATTCTGCAGATTCTTAGATAACAAGCCTAGATGTGGGCAGGCAAACTATCTTGGGAAACTCAGAAAACACTTGAAGATAGACATTTCCAGGATGATCTTCCCCTTTCCTTTCTTGATTGTTCTAAATTTTGTTGGTAAAAATGATACCCAGCAGTATTCCAAAAATTCTGTGGATAATTCTGAACTCTTACATGTGTTTGTACATGTTTGTGTATGTTCTTGTCCAATTAATTAAGTTGTCCCTCCAAAAAATAAATAAAAGGAAAGTTTTTCTTTTTCAAAGGAAAGGTCTGAAGGACTGTAATAAACCCCCAGCTTAAAGTTATATATGTGTTTTTCTCATTTCAACTGCAATTCACATAGGACTTTTACCTAATCCTAGAATATCAAAGTTAAAAAGGAATATCAGTGTTCATAGCCAGCTGAGTCTTTTGTTTGTGGGCAAGGAAGCTGCTAGGAAAGAGTAACTCATCCAAAGGCACCCAGAAGACTATGAACAGAGCTGGAGCTAGAAACCTTGAGACTAGTGCTCTTTCTACCACTCCTAATTTCCCCTATAAACCCTAATTGTCTCCTTTACTATTCAAAAAAACCCAGACATGCCTTATGGCCCAATGGGAAACCGTTTGACAATGAATATGAGTAAGAAGTCAAACCATCTTACTGGAAGAGTTTACGCATCCACATGATCTGGATGGGGGCAGGTGATGAAGGGAAGGAGCTGGAGCTGATTGGCAAGATTCACAGGGACCATAGAGGTAGATGACTAGATGCATTGTGAAGTGGTACCAATGAATGTCAGAAGTGCCAATGAATACCATCCAACCTCTGGTCCCCCTGATCTCTCCCATCTATTCTCCTAGATATTCAAAGTCTTACCCAAACAAGAAACACACTATTCTTCATACACACCTTACAGTTCTTAGCTTTGGGCCTTGGCCACCTGCCTTGAATACCTACCTACTGCTGTATTGAGGGTAAAAATATTCTTTTAGGCTCAGATCTAATACTTCTTTCCAGGAAAACCATCTAGCCCTCTAGTTGTTTATTATTTCTTCCCATCTTGAACTTCCAGAAAGCACAGTCTGTGATTCTCTTTCTTCTTTGCATTATAACTATTTACAAACAGGTCTCCTTCCTCCATTGGACATCATAAATTCTTTTATTGTGGTCAGTTTTTTTTTGTCTTCTTTCATTCAACAAATATTTACCTTCTACATATCAAGTGTTGTAGCTCCTGGCTATGGGACTTTAATACTCTGAAAGGACACAGGTAGGTAAAGGGACAAATACATGCTGATATGGGTCAGGTATAGCTGGGGCAGCACAAACTCAGACCACTTTACCCAGTTATGCAGGTGGCAGGGAGGTTGTCAGGAATGGATTCCTGGGAGAAGCCACATCTAAATGGAGATAGGAAGGTCAGGTGGGAATTTATCTAAGCCAACATGCCAGGGAGGCTTTAGAAGATGCATATTGCTGGTTATCTAAATGGCTAGATCACACGGGCCTTCTGAGTCCAAGTAGAGAGACTTTCCTGGGAGGAAGAGGAAATCTCTGATGCTAAGCCCTTTCCATCTCTTATAGCACTTAGCACAGTGCCTGGACCACAGCTGATGCTTAAAAGAATGAATGATCTTAGCATTTCAGACTACCTTTTCATTTAAGGGGCTCATGTAAAATTCTGTCTCCGTATTGATCAGATAATCAACCAAGTCCTCAGAAAAATAAAAGCACAATAAAATTAAGTGTTTGATTAGTAAGAAGAATAATGGCTGGAAATTTCCTTGATAAGCAAACAAATCTGGACTGTATTTATCCAAACAGGTAATAACAGCCTGAGGTCAAGGTGTCCTGACAGGGCAACTGCAGAACAGCTGCCATATAAGTTCCTTTCCACCTTTAGCTTGTCTGTCATCTAAAGAAGGCCCAAGAGGCAGACAGGAGCCCCTTGTGAAGTTCCTATTTCCAGAGCTGCTTTGGGAGGGAAGTGAGAGTCACTATGGAGAAGGTGTGTGAACCACTGCCTTTTCCTCACACCCCTAACTCTCATAAATAGAGAGCAGAGTCACAGCCTAGGTGCACCCACGGGGAAGGGGGTTTGTGCCGGGAGAGCAGGAGGAAGGGAGGAGGCAGGAAATGGACTTGGGTCTGGAGCCCCACCAGGAAAGGGAAACCAATTTCCAACAAGCCTGACTTTCCAGTCAACATATTCTCAGTGGTTGCCAACTACTCAACTCCTGTCCTTGTTAGGAAGCAGGAAGTACAAACCTCAAAGCTCGCTCAGAGCTCCAGCACCATGCATACTTCCTGTGCACACTGATCCTAGAACTGGGCTGCAGTGATGACTAACCACTGATGGTAAGGATGGCTTCAGGCATGTTGGGTTGACTTGTGAATTGTCCTGTGTCAGAGACATTGAGTCTTTTTCAATTAGCCTCTCTCCCAATGACCTGTTCTTTCCTCAACCAGATATAGTGCTTTTCTTTCTCACTAAACACATAGTAAGAACAACAATCCCACAGTCAGTAAACCCTCTATCAGGTATGGCTGCCATCCTGGAGTCCCAAACTAAGAGACAAGCAGAAAGTTCTCATCTTATGGAATCTTCCTACAAGCCAAGCACCCCACTTACATTCCCTGTCTCATGAAATCACTATGACTACCAGGGAGGGACCATCTCCACTCCTACTTTGCACATGAGAAAAGCAAAGAAACTTATAAACTACCCGATACTTGTGCTTAGTGATCTCCACTCCTGATATACTAGCCAATAGTGTACATACATTGGGCTGGGGTTAGAGGCCTGGCCCTGTGTGTCTCAGGCCTCAGTATTCCTGTCACTTTCCTGCTGACTGCTATTATCTGTCTGTCTCAATGAGCATAGGCACTTCAAGAACAGAATCAATGATCTGCGGACATCCCTGAAATTGGTACCAGAAAGCCTTGAATTCATGCTTATTAATTAAATAAAGCTTCAAAGGTAAACTGGGTTGCTGGTATGAGGGTACAACATAGCCTACTGTGAGCATCATATATAACAGATAATAAACGGTTTACATGGCTCAGAAAACCACCTGGCTTTAGAGGCTCCAGAATGTTCTTAATTCCAGCAGCTCTGGGTCCAAGACCTAAGACATATCTTCCCTTTACAAAGTATCAATCATATTCCCAGCCCTTGTGCTTAGTACTCATAAGCATTATTTCAAGAAATCTGCTCAATGATATAGGTGTTATCTCATTTTATAGATGAAGATATTCTCAGAGAAGGCAAAAATTCTTATCATACACAGTTCAGTAGGATGGAATTGGGTTGTCAAATCTGGCTACTTTGGAAAAGTTGCCCAGACTAACTTTCCGGGTTGTAAACAACATAGCCAAAATTAGAATCATGAACTGTCCAGTTGCCAAGATCATTTCCCCTCAAAATACCCTAAGGGCAAACTCTGAAATCTTTGGAGCTGACTTAGAGAGAAGATGGGACAGTCACTTAGAAATGTGGCATGCTGACTCCATGACCTCAAGCACATCATGGGGGTATGTCCTGCATGCTCTCCCCAGAACCAAAATACCTTTGTTCAGTCTGAACAACAAGGCTCTGGACTTCCACACAAACGTAAGACAGGACAAAGACCTGACAGAACAGAGCACCAGCAGCGCATCATGGGTTATGGGAACAAAGTGCACCTCACCAAAAAAAAGAAAAAAGAAAAGAAATCACACACCACACACCAAAGCCTGGTGTTCTCAGCTGTGTTAGTCAGAGCAAAGCAAAGACAATCTCCATGGGCTTTTGTACCAGGCCAGGAGGTACCTAATGTGGGAATACTTCTGAATCACTTCAAGGGACCAGAATATAGCTTGACCTTTCCCTCCAACTGTCCCCAGCCCTGACATCTTCATCGATGTCTCCCCTCCATTCCTCCCAGACCATTTCTTGTTACCAAGAAAATCAAACAGGTCTTACAGGTCTTACTTGGCCTCAATTGACAATCCAGATGTCAATTGATGGGTGAGATGCCTTGCCCACCCTGCCAAGTGAGACACCAAGGCACCCCAGTCATGCTGCAGGCCTACCTGACTCACACCACTCTGAGCGGCCTTCCTCTCAGCCTCGCCACCTCTGTGCAGCTCTGTGGGCCCAGCCTCCCTTCCTGGAAAGGGGCTGCCCAGAGGCTTGCTGGGCTCGATCTCCTCAGGGGCATGGAGCTCTGGGAGTCTCTGCTCAGTACTCAGGCACCTGACCACGTCTGAAGGTTTCAAGCAGCTCTTCTTAGAGATCTTGGATCCACCAGGGCATCTCTCACCTGCCTCACTCTCTGTTTTCCTCTCATATTGTCCATTCTCTTCTTGCCAGCACTGCCTCTTGCTCTGGCTGCTAAAGGCATCACTAAGCTCTGAGATGACCCTATCAGGGCTCCCCAGCAGTGGCTGGGAGAAGCTATCTTGGTGAGGGTGGATCCCACCCTCTCCATTGATGTGAAGAGGGGTCTGGGTACTAGGTGTCAGGGAGTAAGTTTTGTGGGGTGGAGGCAAGGCTAATGGGGAAACCACTGAGCGGGGATTAGAGCGAACTGACCAACTTGAATAAGGGAGGCTGAGGGGCAGGGAGGGACGAGCCCTTGATGGCAAGGAGAGGTAGTCCATGTCATAGACAGAAGTCTCAGGCAGAGGAGGCAAGGGTGGAGTCAGGGCCAGAGAACGCCTGCTTGGGACCCCTACAGTCAGCGAGATCCATTCAGAGGTGATGGCATGCATCTCAGGGGACAGAACCCGGCGGGGGTTGGGTAGAGATGAGGGGGCTGGCATGATGAGCTTGCTGTGACTAGGACACTTGAAAAGAAAAGGAGAGAGAAGAAAACAAAAGAAAGAAGCAAAAGATACAAGTGTCAGCAAAAAAGGAGAAAGGAGGAAAATAATTACAAGGGGGCATAAAGAAGAATGAAATGGAAAGGATGATTAAGACACTCTGGTGTCCAAAAAAGAAATCATCTGGTGATGCTTGAGAGAAACTGGGATGTGAAAGTACACATGAGTGCGGGCAAGCAGGATTAGGAGAGGAGTAACAGATGGGTAGAACTAGAAGGGCTCCCATCAGACAGCTGCCAATTGTGCTAGACCACTTTGCAGAATTGGATTTCCAAAGGACAGTCCCTCCTCAGCCCTCAACTATCTCTGTAACCAGCGCCCTGACCCAGAACTAGGGGGAAAGGTGGCCCAACACTGTCCCTTCCTTGAGCTTTTATTCTTTAGGGAGCTCAGGCGAGTCTTCCAAAAAAGTGTGGCCATTTTGTTTTATAATCACTATTGGTTACAGTCAAGTGAAAACACCTCCCCGAGTATCCCACATTACTACAAAACAGAATGTCCTGATCCAATCTCACACTTTCTCCTGTGAGATGACAAATATGGATCTCAATTGTGCAGAGAGCTCAACCAATATATTATGCCAGAACCCTCTATGGGGGTCAGAGGCAAGCAGGTGAGAGAAAAGGAAATAATCAGAAGATGAGAGATAAAGAGATACTATCTCTGCATCATCCTGGGTCCCCAGATCTCCTGGTCATCCTTTCCACAATTTATATAGTGGTATGGTTACTTTATTCCACAGGATGTCACTTCTACCATGACTCTCCTGCACTTATTTTTCTCTTGGCTTTGGGAAAGTGAGCATGGGTTTGTAATAATTTATTTATTTATTTTGATTGGTCCTGGGGCTTGAACTCAGGGCCTGGGTGCTGACCCTGAGCTCTTTTGCTCAAAGCTAGTGTTCTACTACTTTGCGCCACAGCTCTACTTCCCTTTTTCTGGTTAACTGAAGATAAGAGTCTCATGCACTTTCCTACCTAGGTTGCTTTTTCAAAATGAGGATCCTCAGGTCTCAGCCTCCTGAGTGGCTAGGATTACAGGCAGGGGGCCATTAGCACCCAGATGCAATAACACTGGTTTTTTTGTCGGGGGGAGAGGGAGGACCGGTCTCGGGGCTTGAACTCTGGGCCTGGGCACTGTCCCTCAGCTCTTCAGTTTAAGGCTAGCACTCTACCACTTGAGCCACAGTGCCACTTCCAGTTTTCTGTGGAAATAAAAGTCTCACAGACTTTTCCTGCCTGGGCTGGCTTTGAACCGGGATCCTCAGATCTCAGCCTCCTGAGTAGCTAGGATTACAGGTGTGAGACACCAGTGCCCAGCTGCAGTAACATTTTAAAACAAGTTTGCTCAGCTGGGCGTGGATGGCTCATGCCTGTAATTCTAGCAACTCAAGAGACTGAGATCTGATGATCATGGTTCAAAGCTATCCCAGGCAGGAAAGACCATGAGACACTTATCTCCACTTAGCCCACCAAAACCCAGAAGTGGAGCTGGGGTTCAAAGTGATAAGAGTGCTAGCCTTGAGGGAAAAAGCTCAGGAACAGTGCCCAGGCCTTGAGTTCAAGCCCCATGACCAACAACAAAAAGTTTGCTCATAATTAATGTTTAGAAAAGCAAACATCTTCCTATGCCTATAGACTGTGTAGCTCAATGCCTACAGCCCAATGTAGGCTGACCATCTATAAGGTCCCCTTTCCAACCTGATTCCAGTGAATGCTTGCAACAGTTCTTTGGACCTGATCTACCTGTCTGAAGATGAGAATGCAAAATACTCTTTCAACTTTGCAAGACAATCTTGACAGACAAAAATTGTAGAAAGGACCACCTTGGGCCACGAGTTTTATGGAACAGTAGAGGTTTTCACACCACCATCTTTAACTAATAAAGGCTCTGGTTTCTCTTTTTCTACTCAAGCCCACATCAATTTCCGGGGTTCTTCCTTTCCACTCCCTTTTTCCTTGTTACTTGTACACATGAAAACAAACTCCAGTGTCCAGTCTGCATTGCTGCCAACAGTTCTTAATCACAGTGCGCAAGAACCATTCCAGAGAAGCACATGCCATTGGCACATGGGCACTGCTGAACACTGAAATTCCTGTGCTGAGTATTATAGAAAAGCAGTGATAAGAAGCTTAGATACCTGTGGGCTTGCTGTGGCACTGCGACTTGGGGAGGAGGAATAAGGCAGGTCGATGTAATCCACAGGGTTTTTCACCAGTGGCCTCTTAAGCACATCCACATAGGTAATGGGGAAGATGCCTTGGCGGGATGTTCCTGGAATCCTCCCCTCGTACCAGTTCTCATCTACCTGTCGAAGAAGCGTGATCCTCTCACCCTGAAAGACACAGCCAGATAAGGATGCTTGTCTTACCATACCTCAAAACACCTGAGGCCCCTGCCTGCACCCTGCACATCCTTTGCTCAGGGAAAATCTTCCCTGCTGATTCTGGATGGAGCCGACACCATGGGATGGGGAACGCCCACAGCAGTAGAACTTTCTGAATGATACAAAGTTAAGCTTGGTTTTCAAGGATCTCAGGAAAAAGCAGCAGAATATCAGATTCCTGTTCTAGAGTATGAAATATAATGTTTTTGAGTTACTTAAAGCAAAAGAGACATTCAGTGTTTATTTGTAAGGTAAAAATTTTAGAGGATTATCTTTTTTTTCTTCTTATACCTTTATATTTTTCATGGATGATAGAAAACTTAGAACATATACATAAAACAAAACGATCACCATCTATTAGATTATCATTTGGGGATAATGACTGTTAATGTTTTGGCTTATGGGCCCTCTAGATCTAACTCAATACATATGAATTAAATGTACTCATATTTTTATTAGACTTATTTTATATTAGCCTTACATTTTTGTATAAAAACTGAGTTATATTTTGCCTTTTCTATTTGCTTTTTGGTATTAACAATATAAAGTGCCCCTTTAGCTTTTTAAAAATTATATATAATGTAATATAATGTATATATATATATATATATATATATATATATATCCCTCCTTCCTCTCCACACCGACACGGTATTGCTATGTAGCCCAGGCTGCACTTTAACTTGTGATGCTCTTGTGCTTTACCTCCAGATTGCTAGTATTACAAGCATGTGCCACAACATCCAGTATAGTTATACACTTATAAAATGTACATTTTAATGGACTACTGCAAGGCATTCTATTGTTTATACATATGATTTCATCACTGATCCCCTGCTATTGGGATATTAGATTGTTTCCAAAATCTGCCTCTTTCTTTCCTTTTCTTTTCTTTTTTTTTTCTTTTTGAGATGTGGTGAGGAAGTACCAGGGCTTGAACTGAGAGCCTCACAGTTGCTCAGTTGGTGTTTTATCACTAGACCTCCTTTAGTCTGGCTTTTTGCTGGTTATTTTGGAGATGGAGTCTTACAGATTTTTCCACCCAGGCTGACTTAAACTGTGTGATCCCCTGGATGTCAGCCTCCTGAGTAGCTACAATTACAGGTGTGAGTCACCAATGCCTGGTTCAGAGTATCTCTTGTATGCAAGGCAGCCCATCTTTTGCAAGCCATGAGCTGACTTCTCTCAGTCCTCAATAAAATTAGCAATTTTGATAACTTTAGCACCCCAGAGAATTTTGACACAGACAGAATATTTGAATCCTTTGCAAGAGGCAATCCTCTGCACAGGGTAACTATGTGCACAATAGGCATGCTGAGCCCCTAAGAGGCAATAACGATGGTATTAATACTAGCATCTGCTGCTTATGTAAGAACAACCAGATGCCACACATCACACTGGTGGTTTCACATATGTTGCCTAATTGAAGCCTCTTTCAAATACCATGGGAGAGGGCCATTTATCTTCAAGTCTTTTTTTCCTCTATGAGGCACGGAGAGCTCAAAGTATTTAATTCCCCACAAGCTTCAAGGCTGGTAAAGTGTGACTGTTAGCTTCAAGGCTTTTCAAACTCTTTCTGGTACTTAAGTTTTTTCCCCTTCAGCCTATCAATATCTTAGAAACATAAACCTAGTCATCAACAGTGCAACAGGTACTCACTAAGTGTTGGCTGGATAACTTGTAAAAGATGATTAAAGCTTGAGAAATACTATCCTTTGTCAGTGAACTCAATGTAGTTCAGCCCTGATTAGTCTAGTCTTTGTTTAAAATACCTCATCTCAGAAAGTTCTCCAAATGCCCTTATTGCAATTTCTATCAGCATATGAGCCTCTTAAAACTATAGACTGGTACTCAGCAGCAACATTATATCCCCTTAATAACGGCACCACCCAAGAGCCCCAAAGCATATCATAAGAAAGGGAGCTTACCTTTCTGAAAGACATTTCTACTTGCGTATCACCATTAAAGTTAAACTTAGCAATAGCTTCTCCATATTCCAACACCTGCACGGGTGTCAACTTTTTGGGCTGAGCCTTTTCAGCAGGAGGAAGTAGCTGAGAAAAGAAAAGAAGCAAAGAGAAGAAAGAAGGGCAACAAGAGGAATAGAAAGCAACACAAGTATTCAGTAAACACAGTGCTTTGGATATGGTTGGGATTTTTCTCAGAAAGATAAGGGGCTACAGTACCTCAATGTAGGTGCGTGGGAAGATTCCCACCCGGCCATGGTGTTCGCCTTCATACCAGTTCTGATCAATCTGCTTATAAATGTAAACAATGTCTCCCTTCTGCAGAGGAAGCTCCCTGTTGACAGAAGGCCACTGGATTTTAGCAGATGGCTCAATATGTGCAAGATTAAGACACTTATGTTTCTTATCAGGAGACTTCAAGTGGGGTTAAGGGAGAGAGATTACAGAAGAAGGTGGCTCCATATTTGGTAGTGAGAAACCCACTCGTCAGGAAATTACATCACATTGGGCATTTTTCCAGTCTTTTGTGGGATGGGTGTTAACATTCAAACTGAATAGCATTCCAGATTGCTCAGAGGCCTGGTTGGTTTGTTGGAGCTTTCTCAATGAATGTTTTGTGAATACTGTCTGAATGCTTTGAATATTGACACACCACAGAGCGATGCTCCCAAAAGCCTTAACTGAAGTTTATTTGAGGGTGGAAAAATGTCTCCTTCTGGATACATTTACTACCTCCTTCTGTGCTGCAGCAATAATGTCTGCATTGCTCTAAATTACCTGTGAATAATCTGCAACATACCAAGATCCTTCAATCATTTCACCAGTCAGCCAGCTGTGTACCCACTCATCTCACTATCCATCTCTCTAACACCACACAGTAGGGAAGACTCTAAAGTTAGGCAAACCTGGAATCAAATTCCATTCTATGATTTATAGGCTCTGGGGCTTTAGATAAGATACTTATACTTAATCTCTCTGAGACATTATTTCTTTATCTGATCACAGTTGCTAATTCAAAGTTGCAGCCACCAATGCAAAGGAAACACAGTGCCTGTTCTAGACATTCAATAAATGCTTATTTCCTTCCTTCTGAATGTGGAAAAGGGCTCTTGGAAAGAAAAGGAGATTTTCTTTCAAAGTGCTTCATGCCCTTTCCCCATTTCTCCAAATCCATGCCTTGCCTAAATAATGATGACATTAACATTTAACTAGGACTCCTTTTAAAAAAAAACAATGAGACACCAAGAGAAATGAATTCTTTACGAGACATGTTACTATAATCTCTCTGCACGTTACCTTTATAAAAACAATAAAAAAATTAAATGAGACAAAAAGATGGATTAAAAATAAAATGAAAACTCCAGAGGGAAAAAATTATGGCTTGAAATTTTCTTGGATGAAGAAAAATCTTTTTCACTTGCACCAAAGTAACAGTATGGGAAAAAGATATCTGATTGTAATTTGGAAGGGGTGTGCTGCCAGTTATGTGCATGTCAGGAAGTCCCATAGTACATGAGAGATGCCAGCTAAAGAACAGGGCACATCTGGAAAAACTTGCACACAGTACAGAGTTGGCTCTGTGCTGAATAAAAGCACAAGGTGACTGCTCTAAATCTGCACTGAGAGCTAAGATTTTAATCCTAAATAGGCCTGTGAAGAGGATCTAGACATTTGTTTCTGTGAGAAGAAATGTCTCTCACCACATTTTTGCCAAAGCCTTTTGTGAAGTGTCCCCAGTTCTCCTTCTTTTATCCCTAACTGAAGGCAAAAAGCATGAGCAGGATTCTCAACATCTCTACCTCTGCGGGGTTTGTGCAGACTCCTAAATCAGTGATCCTGAGTGTTTCACAGCACGGAGGGCAAGTAGTAACTGAAACAGCCCTATAACTAATACTAAGCAAAGGAGAAAGACAGCTTGAATGAGAGAAAAAAATCAAGAAGAGGTATGCAGTTGTGGCCAATGGAGATAAATAATGAGGACTCTGTGGTGACCATACTATATATAGACTACCCCCAGCTCCCAAAGAACCATGTGACCAGGGGCTGGGAATGTGCCTTAGCGGTGGAGTGCTTGCTTAGCATGCATGAAGCCCTGGGTTCGTTTCCTCAGCACCACATAAACAGAAAAAGCCAGAAGTGGCATTGTGGCTCAAGTGGTAGAGTACTAGCCTTGAGCAAAAGAAGCTCAGGGACAGCGCCAAAGCCTTGAATTCAAGCCCTAGGTGGGACTGGCAAAACAAAAAACAAAACAAACAAACAACCAGATATGATGGTAATTACTAGGAAACAATAGCACAATACACTGATAAACTTTAGGTCTTTTCTGGAATATCATTGCATATATGAGCACAACACAGCAAGGAACCTGGTTGACTTTTCCATATTGTTGAACCATGTGTCTCCACAGCACAGTTTTTGTTTGTTTTGTTTTGTTTTAAAGTAACACAGGTAACTTTAAAGGATTAGAAGGTTTAAAATAAGACTCTCTATGGATGTGGCAGTTACTGTTTTTGCTAAGTTCCAATGACTTTGTTTGGAAGGCACAGGTCATGATGGATACAGAGTCAAGAAGGAACACTCTAGCATTAACAATGATGATAAAGGGTAACAATTTCCATGATTCCCAGTCTTCTCATTTCTTCTATCTGAAATGATTGTACACGAGAAGAAATTACTTTAAACTCTTTCATGAAACCTAGGAAAATATATTATCATTACACCCTTCAGTGTATGATACATAGATTTTTCTTAATTCAAAGGGAAAAAAACAGTTATCTATAGGATTAAACTGCAAATTAATTTATATGCCTTTGACATTCTCCTTCTGGCTAAAACAGAGAGATAATACACTTGGAGCATTGATTTCTGATCCACTGTAAAACATGTTTTACAGGTTTTACCCTGGTTCCTCACAAGAGAAGCATTTTTTTTTTAATCCTCATCATGCAGATAAGGAAGACTAGGGATGAGAGATTGATGGCTTAGACAAAACAGCAGCCATCTCTTAGCTGATCAGCTACAGACTGGAGTAAAATAAACAAGCTCAACGTCATCAGATTCATATCTACATTTTAGAAACTGGCCCAGTTGCTTATTTGGCATTGAAAATGGGAACCGCAGTTGAGTAGCCCTCCCACCGTGTTCCCTGTCACTTATGGATGTGAGCTGATGGCTATGGGGTTTTCGGCTGCAAATGAAAGTACATGGCCAATTTTAATCTATAGTTAACTATAAAGCTAGCACATAGAAAGAAAGATTTCTACAGCCATGAATATACAGCAAAGTATCTCTTCTAGAGTGGAAGTGGGAAGTAACAGTGGTTCCTGAACTCATTTTTTTACAACAAGATTTTTGTTTTGAGAAACATCTTACAAGGTGTGCACTCTGAGGAATGCACTTAAAAAAATGCTAGTTTTCTGTGGGTTCTCAGAGACCTTTACTCTTTTGGAATGCTGAAGGGAAACTGGCCAAGTTATATTCTGAGAGACTGGTTCTACGCTTTCCTGAAGTGTTGGGTAGATGAAGTTGCCACTTACTCAAACAAACTGGGCTCTATACAGAAGGCTGGGGACACAGTGCCTAAAAGCCCAGCACCTGGTGCCAGTTGCTGTACCTACAGTCCTGCAGTTCCCTTGTGTGTTCAGTGGGACAAATATGACTATATTCCACAGGGTTCATTCTGTCCTCATTCATGAGGGCTGAAAGAATATTCAACATGTTTTAAACAGTGCTTGGTATGTAAACTACTGTTATGTTTTGAAGTCCACATTATTCTTTTTTCAACTCTCTTCTACATCATACTGTTGTGTTCAAAGCAGCAGTGAGAAATATAAATATGACAGGTAGTACTTACTTTAATGTCTGAGCTTTAAAGTCAAATTTGGCTCTGGCAGGCCTCATCTAAATACAAGAAACAATGACAAGTTAATGTCATGGATCATGTCCAATAAAAAGGTCCCACACGTTCCTAAGTTTCTAGAAAGCAAAGCAGAAAAATTCACTCTATCCAGTTCGTTGTGGTACAAAAATCTGGGCCAAATCCCAGCATCTGACCTTATTTTTAGTTACCTTGGCCATGCATGAAAATTCCCCTAAAAAGGACCAGATTTAGGGAAAAGCAGTTTGAAAAATCTCAATGCTGCAGGAGTTGGGATCCCCCAAAACTTGCTGACCCTAGCTACTGGCAGCCACAAGTTCCAAGGCATTCCTTATCTACTGACTCACTTCTTAGGACCATTTTCTATTTGCCTGAATTAAATTTTGATCTGCAAATAGTTTGAAACTCTGATTCACCTTTTCTGCCAACTTGTATTCCATATTGCTTAGGTTCAGTGAGATCACCCAAAAAGCCAGAAAAAGCCAGTCCTGAACCGAAATAAAGCCATCTGCTGAGATTTCCATTCCTGCTGGGACAGCTCTTGCTCTCTCCTCCCAGACACCCCAGCCTGCAAGTCAGACTCAGCCCTGCTCCACATTCTCATCAATTTTGTCATTAGAGCCCCTGAATCCACAGCCCCATTGTGGGTCTGACCTCTGGTTCCCCCAGGCACAATGCTTGCTTTGATTTTACCTTCTCCACACTGGATCCACTGTCACCCAAGAGCACAAACAACATTCCTCAAATTCTTCCTCAGGTCACTCCCTTGCTTTGATGCTGGCAGCTCAGCTCTTGTTCTTCATATCAATTCTCCATTTGCAACATTTCTCCCCTCTTACCTCACTGCTTTTCCTATTTCCAGTCCAGCATATCTTCTTGCTACACCTCTGCTAAGTCCCCTTCTTTGTCTATAATGTCTTCTGCTCCAATTCTAGCAAGAAATTCACCTTTACTTACTATATTCATTTAATATCTTTCTCATCTTTAAAAGTAGGCTTTTCAAGCTTTTTTTTTTTTTTAAGGAAGATAAACAGTAAAAATCAGGTAAATGCCAGTGTAATTCTATCCCTAAGCCATGAGAAGCTTCAACCTCTTCAATTGCTATGACCTTTTGGTCTAGAAAAACAATGTGATGAAAATAACATCATCTCTTCCTTACGAGAAGGGATTGGTTGAGTGGAAGAAAAAAATGAAGGAACATTTTAGTTAAGAAAAAGATTTAAAAGTCATTAAACTTAATGTTAGATTTTGATCCTTCAATAGATACCCATAGTTCTATGCTTCTCAAACTGAGGTCTTACAGGGTCTTCTTAGGGACTGTGAACTCTCCACAGGAGTTTTGTTTTGTTTTTGGGTTCTGTTTTTGAGACAGGGTCTTGCTATATAGCCCAGGCTAGTCTTGAACTTACAAGCTTCCTGCTTCCACATCCTTAAGCCCAGGATTATGGATGTGCCCCACAATGCCCAGCTCTCAAGAACAGTTTCTTGTTTTGTTCTGTCTTTGTATTTCTGTGGTGACGTTTCCATCTATCTATAAACACACATAGCAGGGAGCGACTGAACGGCCACTTTATAATTGAGTTAATGCCACTCCATTGCAATGCCTATATTTCTGTCTGTTTGTAGCCAACGATCATAATTTAAGTTGTAAAAAAGAAAAAGAATGGATGTGGAACTAATGATAAAATGACACAAGTTCATACGAGCCAATAGCAAAAGTTGCAAGTACAAAAAGCTCACAGTGATCCCAAAAGAAAAAAAGTAAGTAAGGCAAACAAAATAGGGGTGCAAAAAGTCACTCTATATCACTCTATTAGAGCCATGTGACTATTCAAATACATACCGAAATAGCATCTATTTATACTTTGGATGATATACAAGTTCTTTAAAAATAATATCATTTATTCATTTAATTAATAAAGTTTATATAGGCATATAGTTTGTTAGTAAATAATTTATGAACTATTTAATGAGTAAATAAACTTAAGTCAATAATGGTGTCTGGTGCTTTTTTTTCCATTAAAAGGAACTTATAGAGACTGGGCACTCATGTCTCATTTGTAATTCTAGCTTTTCAGGAAGCTGAGAACTGGAGGAGTGAAGCTCAAAGCCAGTCTAGCAAAAAGCCAGGCTGGAGAAGTTGCTCAAGTGGTAGAACTCCAGTCTAACAAGTACAAGGTCCTGAGTTCAAGTCCTAGTACTGGCCAAAAAAGGTTAAAAAAAAAAAGGAATTCATACATTACTCAAAGCTGAGAAACAATGATTCCATTGAACTCTTAAGACATATGTATGTGAGTTATCGATGGCTAGACAAGACAGTTACAGTCACTTCTCTATGCCCCTCTAACTCATCTTTGCTTCCTCTGGCTCTCATTGTTACTCACTCTAGCATGAGGTAATAAATATGCACAAGGGAGACTCTTCTACTACTAGCCTTCAAAGACTGTCCCAACTCTGCCTCCCACAGGAGCCTATACAGAATTAGCTGCCACCCATGTTCTACTGAGTGAGAATAAAGTACAGCTCCACAACACAGCCTGGTGCTTGCTGGTTATTTTCTCACATTTACTAGTCAACTCCTAAGGCTATGGTTCTCCTAATGCAGTCCCTTAAACTGGCTCCATCAACATCTCCCTAGCAACTTGCAAATTCTCAGGCCACAGTCCAGATCAAAACATTGTAGACGGGACCCAAGAACCTGCATTCTAACAAGCCTTCAGGAGGTTCTGATGCACAGTTAAATTTGAACACTACTACTTAAGAGGGGAGTCAAGACGTGTCAAAGAGAAAGCACCTGCTTCTGTCCATGGCTACCTCACCTGAGCTGCATCTTCATTTCCATGTGTTATCAGAATGCCTTTGCACATTTCTATCTTCTTCCTCATTCACAGGCCCACAGACCTGGAATGGATGAACCCACACCAGAACCTCCTGGTCAGCGTTGTTCTGAGGAGGAGCTGCAGTGCCAAGGGGGAGGCTAAACTTCCCTTATACGTGAGCGAGTGACACTTCTAACTTTTGCTTCCTTTTCCTGCTACGTGCTCTTTTTCTCCTACACTTTATAATCTCCTCCCACTCCCCAGATTTCCTTAAGTCAGTGTCCCTTCTTTTCTTTATCTCTTCTTGCTAAACACCTTCTATTTCTCAAAAATAAACGAGTGAATAAGTACTAGCCAATGATACCTATGTCACTCAAAAGCTAGAAATATTAGTATGGATCTACTATACTAAAAGTTTATAAAACTACATATTGTATCACTCCATACTACCAAACACCCATATGCCACACCCCAGACATGTACACTTCCCCAAGAAGAGACCATCTTCAGCAGAACTAGCTAAGGGTCACATGGCAAAGCATAAACTCTTAGTCAAGAGGCAACATGTAAGTCAGCACAAGAATTCCAAAGTACTGACCTTGGTGTAGGCAGCCAAGATAAATCACTTCAAAGTTTTGTTCCTCAATCCTTTTATAATATGAAATGTTTAAGCTTACAAATGTCAAAAAAGCAATGAAATAAATGAAAGGCCTCTCAGAGATCTCTGTACCTTCTATGGGTTTATCCTAACCACAAGTCCTTCAGTTGTTCAGTGGTGCTGAAGCACTACTAAACAGGTCACACAATAATTAATCAGTCCATACATGCACAGCAGTAAGCTCTCTGATGTTTCCATGGCAATGCCACCAAATTTGGAGGCCCTTATTACTGTCATAAAATATCACTAGCCAACTTCAGTAACATAAGTTTCATTAACTACTTCTTTAAAAATGAATCATTACCAATGTGCATGGCCTAAGGTACATGGCGGTTAAGCAGAATGTACAGGCAACATGGTATCATGATCAAATGCAGAATGGAGAGGACTGGACTCACGGAGGCAGCCAATGCTCTAAACATGCATTAAGGGTGTGCACAGCAGATCCCGGTCCCACAGCCAGGCATGCTTGAACATATAGAGCACAGGACATAATGGGGCTCATGTCCATTCACCAGCCACAAAAGAGCCAAAGCAAGGCTAAGGGAAGCCAGGATGACAGATGCTGTTTGCAAAACTACATTGGCCTACAGAGGGCAATGCTGAGGGAAGGCAAGTATTGCTTTGGGTCAAGCAGCAATTCGAGGTGACCAAAACAGACCTCTGACCCAGATTTCCTTTTTGCAGTATCGTCTATATTGAGAAGATCCCCAAAGCGCTCATTAGTGATAAACTGATGGTGCGTCGGGATGACGCCCGTGTGGCGTCGAGCTGCAATATCGGCCTCTTCTTGCTCACGCTTAAGTCGTCTCTGGTCCGCTAAAAGTTTCTGCCATAAAATTGCATAAAATGGGCAGTGAATAATCTGGTCTAGGGTAATAGAAAATGGCCAACAAAAGCAAATAAGGAAGATGGTAGGGGGTAAAAAGGGAGGTGGCTTTAAGTCAGAGGGGTGGGTGTTAGGGCCACAACTATTATGTTCCCATGGCAACCACCCTCCGCACACCCTATAAAGAGAGAGAAACCTACCTAGGAGAAACCTGGGGAAGGCTGGAATGTGGGAAAGCATGATTCCATATGACCACACTGTCCAGCTAACTATCTCTGGCTCAGCCCAAAGTCATCTGATTTCTAACAGCAAAGGGCAGAGACCCAGGGATCACAGACAGGGAACTGCAGGCATGTTGGATTGGCAGTTAAAGTTACCTCCCAAAGGTAGTGATATGTTCTCACCGTGTATTCCCAATGTGAGACCAGTACTGGCTATTTTCTGCAGCCCATATCAGGACCATGAAACTTGTTCAGCAACTAAGTCAGTTCTGTGCCTGCTCTGTCAGTTACTCTACCACACATTATTCACAGAGTTGAGCTGTCCAGAAAATGTGGATCCTTTCTTCTAGGCCTGCCAACACTTCCCTAAACACAAGTTTTAGGAGGCCTTAGGATATGCATCAAAGGCTCTTCATGTGGCTAAGAGTCTCGGTTATTATCTTATCGAATTACTTCTTCATTAGGTGAAATGAACTGGGTTTAAGGGAATGCTGTGGAATATAAACACAGTAAAGAAACTAACCATAACGGTACCTAGGGTTAGAGGAAACAGTCTTTTCTCTGTTAAGAAAATAGTCATCAATTTGTTTTAAAGACTTTAAAAAATGCTTCAAGTTGGAAGGGTAACATTGATCAAGATCCTCTGTAGTAATTTTCTGACTTGTAGAACTGAAACCTATTTGTAGAATTTCGTTAAAAATAATTCAACTTGCTTTTTAAAAAATGTCTTTCTATGCTATTGAAATGGCTTTATAGAATTTTAATGTGTTTCCTTATACCATAGCAATCTTTCATCCTTCAGATTAACATTCCTTACAGGAAAGCATTAATCAGAACTAATACTTCTTAGCATACTCAATAAAACATAGTTTTTTTTGTTTTTTCCAGGAGGCAATCAGCTCCAAGGGATAGTGAGTCCAATTTTTCTCTGAAGTCTACAAATAACTCATCAAATGACTATGGGATTTCCACTGCTTGGTAAATTGTTACAAAGATTAAATGAGAGAAGACGAGAAAATGAGTTATAAGACATAGGCCATCGAGAGAGCACTGGCCCAGTAACACAGAGTCTTGGCTTCTAGCTTGGGAACCTCTGTAGGTTCACTTGTTAGGTGGTCCTGGGTAGGCTGCTTCATTTTCTGAAATTCCATTGTCATCATGCAAACAATAAAGTATCTGCACAAAAGCAGAGTATTTATTACCTTCCCTCCCCCTCTCGCTGAGACTCTGAGTCATTTCTACAGTGAAAACAGACTCAGGCTAGAGGCTGTTACAGTCTCAGCTTAGCCCACTGGGGCACCAGCCCAGGTTTAACATCATAAATGGAAGCAGACAACTAATGGAGCAAACTCCCAACCCAGTGCTTAAACCTGAGCTTTGTAAATCAAGCAGTTTTGTCATTTAACCATATAAGTTCCAATCTTGGTAATGATTCCAATTATTTTAGGATCTGTGAGCTGCCCACATTTTGTAGACCACATTTAAGGTATCGTTGTTAAATCAAGTAAATAAATAGGCCCTATTCAGGTAAAGTTCTACCACAAGACTTTCCAAGTTGGATTCTAAGGCTTTATACTTATTACTGAAATGGAATTTCCCCTTCCTCTCATGGCAGTTCAAGCCTGCATACACAGGAATCCTGGGCCTTGGGACAGGAAATACGTAACAAAAAACAAGGAAATAAATCTGTTCTGTCTTCATGGACACTCATCATTAATGAGTTTTAGATCTGGTTGTTACAAATAAATCTGGACATCAAGTGCTTCCTCTTTCTTCTTGCATTCAACAGTATAGGATCGTAGTGAAAACTGTCCCTGGAAGAGGACAGGGACAGGCATGTTCTCTCTCTCTCCTCTCTCTCTCTCTTCCTCTCCCTCCTTTGTCTAGTCTATCTCTCGTTCTACTCCTCTCTCTCTCCTTACCATCTGGCAGCAACGATTATAATCATAAAGTTCTGGCAGCTTTACCCTAAATCTTTAGGAAACTCCACCTATACTCTGGAACCACTCACGACAGAAAAACATAGGAAAATGGAATAGGACAGGGCTGTAAGTTCATGGCCACCTTCCCTCACTGCCATCTGTTCAAAGAAATTCTTTCATCTCTTAGCTCATTACAGGAAAATGGGCACTAAACTTGTCTAATCTAGAGGACCCCTTTTTCCTAGGAATGTGAAGTCCGGAACATATGCATTATAATGCTTTATCACCATAGAAGCTGATTTTGTGCATTCGGCTGATATGCAGTTCCACCTCTTCCCAGATCCCTGGGACATTGGACTCTTGTAGGTCCTGGCAGTCATACTGCATGCAGACATTTTATTAGCTGCAAGAAAATATCCATGTTCTGAAGTTCTTGGACTCCCTGTGTTCTCACCAATACTAGTGTGTGTGTGTGTGTGTGTGTGTGTGTGTTGTGTTCTCACCAATACTAGTGTGTGTGTGTTGTGTTCTCACCAATACTAGTGTGTGTGTGTGTGTGTGTGTGTGTGTGTCTGAATTAAAGGTTAACAGAGTTAGGGACAATTTCCTCAAATCATTTTATAAAATGTATTGCCACATTCAATGGACTCTTGTAGGTCGAAGTTCTTGGACTCCCTGTGTTCTCACCAATACTAATGTGTGTGTGTGTGTGTGTGTGTGTGTCTGAATTAAAGGTTAACAGAGTTAGGGACAATTTCCTCAAATCATTTTATAAAATGTATTGCCACATTATTTTTTGTTTTCCTACTGTGTTCTTCTTTCCTGATTTGAACTATACTTTGTGCCCAATGAGGGGTGGGTAGTAGTAGAGAATGGATAGGGAAATTTCATTACAGATGACCAAAGGGGTAGGTTTGGAGGAAGGATGAAAGAATGAACTCTGGTTTCCAGCTTCTGAAGCATTACTGTGTACCTCTTTCTGTGCTTCCCTGCTGAGGCTGAGATGCTATCTGGTTATGGCATGTGCAGCAAAATGCCTACCTCTGGAAAAGTAGACTGCGAGAAGAGTAACTGAGCCTTTGTCCACATCACCCATGAAAAAATGTCTATGACATTTACTTCTTTCCTTCATGCTTTTTTTCTGCATTAAAATTATCTACAAAGATGAGATTTACCTCTTTATCATCATGACGTCTTCGAATAAATTCTTCCGTTGATTCCAAGTAATCAGCTGGTATAAAATGTCTTGGTGATTCTGAATCTTCAAAAACAACAAATTTGAGTTAAAACAGGCAAAGAGTTAGTGGGAAAATAGGTAAGGAAAAGAGCTCACCTCTCTTCTATAATACCAAATTTCATATTAACAATAGTCATCGTCAATTAGTGATCAATAATCAAATTCTGAATGAAAAAAACCCCCAACTCATCTTTCCCTTTTGCGATTTACTCATTTAATATAAAGAAGATTCATCAGAAAGCAAAGGGAGAAGACATTCTATAAGTGTCCCTACAAAGAGGCGTGCAGGCTCTTACAGGGGTGGACTGTACACTCACACACACGGGGCCACGGAGAGGCTGCCTCTCAAAAAACCACAGGTGGGCAGGGATTGATACAAATAGCAAGGGGTTTGAGATTCCAATGAACACATTTCTCAGATGAGCTAAACGGCCAATTTTTCTTTCGAAACACAGTTTGCTGGTTAGTCTAAATGAGATGGGGCTTTGTTTTTTAAAGAAGTGCAGCCACTGCAAGCCAAGGGTTAATTGCCAAGCAAAACAAACAGAAGCAAAGGACAAAGCAGAAAATGAACACCAGGAGAACACAAGGAGGAAGAGACAGAGCAAGCAGAGTGGAGACGGGGGAAGGTGAGACTGGTCAAACACACAAAATGCCACCTCCATGGGACGGTGCCAGTTCACTTTGTGGGTTGTTGTTCCTGTCCAGGTCATGGTCTGAGTACAGCACGGAGTTCCCATTATTAATAGCCCTTGGACAGTCCTCCAAGACTCCTACAGGTCTCTCCTGAGGGGGTTCTGAGCTGCAGCTAAGCCTGGCCATGGCATGCCGGGAAGACAGGCGAGTGGGCACCAGGGGCTTTGCCCCAGGAGACTGGTCCTGATGGGGCTGACTGGGGAGCTCTGGCTTCTGGCCCACTGAGAGTCCTGAGGAGGAGTCACCAGGGGAAGCCTGTCTGGGGTGATGCTGGAGGGGCTTTTTCAATCGAAAAGGGAGAGGACTCATCAGGTATATGTTCCTGAGGAGGCTGCTCTTGTCGCCCCTGGGATCTGGACGCCAGTCAGTCTGCCTGGAGGACTGCTGCTGTTCATGCTTCCGGATGGTGGTAAAGCGGGTATATGAGGCGGGGCAGGTGCCCTTGCACTTGTTGAGGCGATGTTTGGGGAAGTCTCCATGAACACTGCCACTGCTGCCCTCTCTGCTGTCATTGGAGACAGTTGAACAGTGGTCCAGCTCATCCGAGCAGGTGGAGAGGGGCTCAGAAGGCACAAGGCCTCTGAAGCCCAAGGAGTGGTGTGCCATATTACTACATGTTGGGGAGGCATAGCCCCTTCCCGAGGTCATCCCATCTATCTCCCTGGGACAGAGTTTGGTTGACTCCAGGAGGGACTCTGCTGAGCGGGCTGAGATCAGGCCACTGCGAGACAGCACAGGGGTAGGGGACTTGCTCAGCCTGCCTGACAGGTCCAGGGATGGCATAGATCTGGACCGCTGAATGAGTTGCTCGAAGGCAGTGATGCGGGACGAGACGGTGTGTTTGGGAATGTGCTCTGAGCTCTCCTGGCTGGATCCCAGCTCACCCCTGGCCAAGGCCAGGTTGCTTCTTTCAAAGTGGGAGGCAAGATCTCGCACACTCGAGGAGGAGATGGATCCCAGGGAGAGGCCGGCTCGGTTGATCTGGTGCATATCCCGGTAGAACATAGTGAAGTGCAGCCCAGGCTTTTTGGAGAGGGGGCAGGGCCTCCTAGAGCTGGTGCTGTACTCCTGGAGGCTCATGGTGCTGCTGGACTTGTTGTCATAATCCCGCCGGGAACGCATGAGCAGGTTCTCAATACTTCCCCCCACCTGGAGCGGGAGGCCTCTTTTGGAATCAGTCAAAGAAACACAAAGGTTCTCACAACTTTGAGCCTTCTCTGAGGGCAACAGGACACTCTTCTGTTCCTGCAAAAGAGTGCTGGGAGCAGAGAGCCTGGGTTTGAATTTGGAAGGAAGGATCTCAGAAATGCAAGCTTTTGCAGCTGACAAGGGTTTCTTGTGTTTACAACCAGGGCCTAATGCACTAGTATGAAACGTTCGGCTATGAACTGAAGATGAAGAAATCATGTGAGCATTCCCACCTTTACGATCCACTGGTAAGCATGCAGAATAAAATAAACAGACCCATTAGGTTAAAGCTGAAAGCTGCTTCAAAAAAAAAAAAAAAGGAGAGGTAACATGCTCATTTATCATTAGGGCTTAAAAAATATTTTTTTTTCCAGTTGATGTCCAGAAGCAAAATAATCTGTGCTGCAAAGCAGGTGCAAAGATGCAAAGAACAAAATGGCCACCTTGCCGTTAGGAAAGGCTGAAGCTCAGCTAATTTCTAAGAAAAGGGAATTAGAACAAAAACAAGAGAGAGATGCTTCGAGGGTGAGCAAGGTTGGGGTTCAGAGAGAAGGAAACCATTAATGCTAGAAAGAAAAATGGCCGACATGAAAATGGGGATGGGACACTCGAGGGCTCAGAGGCCTGGTCATGTATTTGCATATCCATAACAGGTCCCAGTTACTGGAGGTAGGCCTGCTGTCAACACCCAGGTAATAGGTAAGGAAGACAGAGGCCTGCCACTGCATCCCATAAATTACCTTTAGTCAAAGCTGAGCTGGAGGGTCTCTTGAGCCCACTCAGGCCCTGAAGAGGGATGTCGCCACCTTCCAAGACACTTTTATAAATCTGCCTCTCATTCTCCAAGCTAGCGAGATCCCCAGGAGCCCCATCTGATTCCCTCTTCACTGCGTGGAAGTTGGAAGAATATACACTATGAAGGAGGTCATATTATAAGCGAGAAAAGGGGGGGAAAAGATAAATCATTAGCATTTTTAACATTGTCCAAAAACACCTGATGTTATCATATGAGGCAAAGAACATTTTTTAATGTCCTATTCAACCTCTATCCTTTGTAAGGAACATTCTAATTCTTTATTCTTAAACATAATTTCTGTGGACAAAAGGCAGGCCCATGGGGGCTTGGATACTCAGGAATCTTATTCAAACAGTAAAATTCTCTAGTTGAGATGATTATATTTATGCTTTAAAAGAATAACTCTAAGCTGGGTACTGGTGGCTCACACCTGTAACCCTAGCAACTTAGGAGGCTGAGATCTCAGGATCACAGTTAGAAGCTAGTTCATGCAGGAAATTTCGTCCATGAAATTCTTATCTCTAACCACCAAAAAGCTGGAAGTAGAGCTGTGGCTCAAGTGGTAGAGAGCTAACCTTAAGCAAATACACACACACATACATACACACACACACACACACACACACACACACAATTAGTGTTACTCTGTACAATACTCCTAGTAAAGGTGTTGGAAGAAAGGTAGGGAGGGGGAAAACCAGAGGTCCAAAGGCTATATACATAATGGTACAATTAAGAACATGCATAAGGGCTGGGAATATGGCTCAGTGGTAGAGTGCTTGCTTAGCATGCATGAAGCCCTATGTTCTATTCCTAAGTACCACATAAACAGAAAAAGCCAGAAGTAGAGCTGTGGCTCAAGTGGTAGAGTGCTTGCCTTGAGCTGAAGAGCTCGAGGACAGCACCGAGGCTCAGAGTTCAAGCTCCACAGCCTGGGAAGGGAGTAGGGCAGGGAGGAAGAAGAATGTGCACAACGAGAGAACACATGGCTCCAATATATGGTCAGCCAGTGTCAGCCACTTAAAGCCCATTTCCTAGGTTACTTTTTCTAGAGCTTTGGCTAATGGAGCATTAAAATCATCAATGAAAAAGGAGAGGTCCAGCTATCTCGGGTGTCCTAGAAAACCACAAACCAAGTAAGATTGGAACTTGGGGACACTATGTGCTCTTTTACTTATTACTTTTATTATCACAGCCAAGCTGGTCCTGATATGTTGCCTAGGCTGAATCTAAATTCCTGGCTTCAAGAGATCTTCCTAGTTGGGTGTCAGAGACTCACACCTGTAATTCTAGCTACCCAGGAGGCTGAGATCTGAGGATTGCAGTTCAAAGCCAGACTGGGTGGGAAACTCCCTAAGACTTTTAGCTCCAATAAATTACTCAGAAAAACAGAAGTGGTGCTGTGGCTCAAGTGGTAAAGTGTTCACCTTGAGCTGAAGAGCTGAGAGACAGCGCCAAGGCTCAGAGTTCAAGCCCCATGACTGACCAAAAAAAAAAAAAAAAGGGAGAGAGATATATCTTCCTGTCTTAGCCTCTCCAGTAACCGAGACTTCAGGTACCTGACACCATACTCAACCTTTTTTAAAAAAATTCCAGATGTTTTAAATATATATATATATATATATATATATATATTATATTTTTATTGTAAAGATACTGTACAGAGGCATTACAGTTACATGAGTAAGATAATGAATACGTTGTTAGGAAATGGAAAGACTTGGAAAAATTATATTAAGTCAAGTAAGCCAGGCCCAAAGAAACATAGGTCCCATGGTTTCCCATATTTGCAATAACTAGTATATATCTGAGACAAGCAGAAAAGGTCAGATAAGTTGATGTTAGGTGAAATGAACCCCAAGGTAAGTATTCAAATGTTTTTTTCTTTCTTGTGATCATTTCTAACATATTCATGATTTCTTTGTTGCTTTGTATGTCCCTCCCCCACAGTATAACCTCTGCTTTCACTGTATTTGATGTTGGTATAATTTGTGGAGGGGAAGGGAAAAAACAAATCATTTAAATAGGGACACAGGCGGACCCATTGCAACAATGAGATGTACAAGTTGTTATGTCAAAAAATGAACTTTGCAACTTTGGTGGGGCGGGGGGTGGGTGGGAGCATTGTGGGGGTGGGAGATGGGAAGGAGAAACAAATGATAAGACAACAATGCTTGATAAGAAATGTATTCATTATCTTGCCCATGTAATTGTAACCCCTCTGTACAGTATTTTCACAATAAAAAAAAAAGAAAAAAAGATAATGAGTACATTTTCTATGGAGCATTGTTACCCCCTCATTTGTTTTCCCCACCATACCTTACCACCTCCCCAACTCTCCCCCCCGCATACCTGCCAAGTTGTAAAAGTTCATTTTGAACATCGTGTCTTGTATAACTCATTGTACAATGGGTCTAGGACTTCTTGGCACAGGCCAATTTCTTAATAAAGACCCAGAAACACAACAAATCAAAGAAAAGTTGAACAAATGGGATTACGTGAAACTGCAAAGCTTCTGCATGGCAAAGGATATAGCTAGCAAGATCAATAGAAAGCCCATGGATTAGGAGAAGATCTTCACTAGCCATACAACAGACAAGGGTTTCAAATCTAAAATACACTTAGAACTCAAAACATTAAATCCCCCAATAACACATCCACAAAGAAACATACTCAACTTTTCAGCTAAACTTTACACTTACTTCTTACATTATGGCATCTACTAGGCACAGAAGCTGTTGCCCATTTATAGCCTTCATTTATGTTTTATCTTGTTAGAATCTAGGTGTTTTTCAAGTTACTACAAATTCTTTTTGAAAGTACTCAGTCACCAAGCCTCTCCCTTCTCTAATCCCCCTGGTTCTGTGCCTCGCCACTGAGGCTCTGACATTGACTGGCAGACAGCATCTGCACACTCTTCTCAGAGAAGGGAACAGTATTGTTTTTACAGAAGGACACAGATTTCTGCTAGGTCTGTTTCAATTCTGCTTCATTCAGTTTACTAGGATGATTATGGATCTGTCGGCTTTGGGGTTCCACAGCTTGATGGAATTCCTTCACCCCAGTATTTTACTAGATTATCAAACACAAGAAAAGCTTAAAGAATGGCAAGAGTGACCACTTATAACCCTTGGTTCTACAGGTTATACCTAGACGTACTTACCTTATACACATCTAGTCATCTGTCCCAACCATTCACCAGCAAGGGGAATTGTGTACATACTACCACACTAGCCATTCCTCTGTACAGATAATGACAGCAATAAATCTGGCTGCCCCCCAGTGAGACATTCCAAGTGGGAGGCATTATGCTAAGTGCCTGATAATCATCCACTCTTGAATCCACACACAATCCTACTTCTGTCACTTTTCAAATGAGAAAATGAAGCACTGAGCACCTGGGCAGCCTGTCCAGGAGGCAATGTTAGCAAAGGCAGAGTTAGAACTTAGTTCATGTCATGTAATGCTATGTAGATGGCACTTTCAGCTACTGTTTTTTGTTTTTATTTGTTTATTGTCAGTTGTGGGGCTTGAACTCAGGGCCTTAGCTCTTTTGCTCAAGGCTAGCACTCTACCACTTTGAATCACAGCACCACTTCCAGTTTTTGAGCAGTTAATTGGAGATAAGAGTTCCACATGGATTTTTCTGCCATGGCTGTCTTCAAACTGTGATCCTCAGATCCTCCTGAGTAGCTAGGATTACAGGCGTGAGCCACCGGCGCCCGGCTTAGCCATTGCTTTATGTAGAAAGTTTGCTACCTATGACAGAGGAGACAGTGGCTTAAATGCTACAGGAGCCAACAGGACTCAAGGATACTTGAGTGTCGTTACAGCACTACCACCAAGTAACACCTGCCAGGAACATACTTGGCCAAGTGACACAGAACCCAGGAATCGGAAATGGGAAAAAGGAGGAGCCTCTGTTGGAATATGAGGCTGTCTCCATCTTAAAGTAGTTAAGTGCCTCTGGGCAATATGGCCCCCTCCCCAAGGAGGTCACACACTCCCGACAGCTGCCACTAACTAGCACTAACCGCTCCCTTATCACAGAGGTGTGCTCTATGCCAGCTTCCATCCTGCTGCTCTGTGGTCCTCTGAACTGCCTTGTCTCAGCCAGAACTTCCAGCCATCTTCTCAAGTTCCTCTTCACTTCATTCTCTAATGACTCTCAGCTACAAGTGGCTGCCTGACTCACACTTCTCTACCTTACCAGCCAGCCCTGCTCTGGCTGTATTCCACCATTTCTTCCTGCTTCCCACAGACTGACAAACCAGCATTCAGGAAACCTCTCAGAATAGAATTACTACAACCAATTGTTTTCTTTCTGATACCAAAGGCTGACAAAACAATGCTTTCTCCAGATGTGTGACATTCTGCAACAGAGGTTCCCAGATTTAAAATAAAATATCTAGGAGCTCTGGAACAATGTTTTCTTAAAACATATCATCTCCACCAGCTCTCCTAATGGTGGAGGCACAGTTTCTTCCATTGTTAAGAGGGGGTAACTGAGGACCAGAATGGCAAAAGCACTTGCTAGATCTAAGTAAATCAGAGAAGAGGAGAGGGCCCTGAGCGCCAGCTCATTGAGAAAGGCACCTGGATGTTCTCCAGGTATCTTAAACTCAACATGTCCCAAAGTAAACCAGTTCTGTCACTCCTCATCCCCCAAGCCAGAAAGCCCAGGGAATTAGTCCTTTCTCTTTCTTCTGGGCTCAAGCCCAGACAACAGATCCTGCTTCCTGTTTAAGATACATTAACTCCTTGCTTTCTCTACCTTCCTGGTTATCCCTCCAATATGGCACATCTACAACCCTGCAAAAAGCACACCAGCAGGCCAGTCTCTAGTCCTGACTCTTTACGATCATGGCTGGGCAATACTAGACAGACATCATCTCAGAAAGGTATCATCATGCTAATCCACTGCTCATTTACTCAACAATGTTTTCTGAGCCCCCACTATGTGTCAATCACTTTCCTAGGTGGAGGAGCCTAGCAGGGAACATACTTGCCCACACTTCCAGCCTTGTGGAGCTTGTACATGCATTTTCAAAAACATCTGATGATCTCAGAAAACAGAAATTTAACTTGTTAACTGTGGCTTTGGAGTACAGAATCTAGACAACCTTTTAAAAGGGTTTTGTGCTGAAAGAAAATTTGATTTTTTATAGTAGTAATATTTTATAATTATAAAATTATTCAGGTTTTATCATCAACTCTATAATGCTTTCCTTCTCTTCCACAAAAAAAAGTGCTCACTCCATCTTGAGTCTATCATTACATTTATCATACTGGATCCCAGTTGTTATTTACAAGTCTGTTTCCTGTGCTATACCCTGAAATCAATGCAGATAGGCAGTTTATTTTGTTCAACTTTGCATGCTGATGCCCAGCATGGTTGTTCAGCAAATACCGGTAGAATAAATGATTATAAAAGAAAATGCCTACATGCGTGCACACATGTTTATGATACGCATTTACAGAACACAGAAATCTCCAGTGTTTCACATAGTTCTTTAGGTTAGCATTTATATGTTGTTCAGAAAGTACTCTGCTGAACAGCCCCACCTCCTTAAGAGCAGCGTATCTTTGAGTGCCATCTGCTGGCCAAATAGAGGAAAGCTCTTTTGGTCAAGCAAAGAAAGTATCCATGTTAATTTGTGCTGAAATAGTAAACAAAGAAGTAAATAGTAAACAAAGCTGGTAAGTAGCTCCTGCAACCAATTTACAGATCTGATGATGCTAGTGAAACAAAACAAAATAATTAGAGGCACACAGTGACAGTCACTAAATACTTTTTTGAGGGAAAGGCCTGGATATCGAGACTATGGGTTAATTTCTTCCTGTCTATTCTTAATTTAATATTGCTAATGATCACTTTCGTGTGGAAGCAGGTTTAAAATATCAATTCTCTAGCTGTCATAAAGTTGTAAAGTTGTCACAAAGTTGGTAATTCCTGTCTATTCATTCTTTGAGTTAGATCAAATTTTCCCAGTATTCCCTCCAACATGTCATCCTTATCTGTCCAGAAAGAGGCCAGTGTCACTTTTCTCTCTTGCTTTGGTTCTGGTTATTTTTGAGACAGGATCTTACTTTCTTACTTTCTGGGTGAGCTGGGCTGTAATCCTCCTATTTATGTTTCCCATTACAGCTGGGACAACAGGTAAGTACCATTCTGCCCACTTTTCTGTTGAGATAGGTTCTCGTCAATATTTTACCTGAGCTGGGCTTGAACTAGATTCAAGCTACCCTCAAATCAAGTATTTAGCAGCAAAAGTAGGAGGCAAGAAAAGGTACTAAACTGAGGCTGGATATAGAGAACTCAGTCAGTACTTAACAAACGAAAATATTTGCTACTTACTATGGATCTACTATTCTCCTGGTAGGGCCATAGTAAGTTAAGTATAACATTCATGGGATCATGGCTGAATGGCAAAGTGCTGAGAAAGGTAATCTGGGAAAGAACTCACAGTGGTTTGAACTCACAGTGGCTACCCCATGAAGCAGTGAATGGAGACAGTATAAACCAGGCAGCCTCCTAAGAGCTGATAACAGGGTAACAAATCCACGTGTGAGAACAAATAAGCTATCCTCTTCTTGATTCCACACTCCCATGTCAGATCTGGCCTGAGGACCCAGACCCACTGTCTCTATCTTTTATACCCATAAAAGCCCATCCCTGCCTCATTCCTTCTCTTCTCCCTGATAATCCACTTAGGAGAACTCTGATTCTAAATAGAGACAAATAACCTCATATCAAAGGTAAAGACATCATCATGGGGGGGAAAAACTTACCAAGGGTAATACCAATCATCTCAAAAATTAACTTGGAAGAGGAGAGAACAAAAGAAAAATAATTTGAAGAGTATAATTAGGTTGCTACTTCTTACCAAAATACACATCATTCTGCACATACGAATGGATGCACACAGTGGATAGATATGAGAGAAACACAAGCATCTCTGGTGGCAGTTCGAACATTTCATACACTGACCATATAAACAAAGCATGTGACTACTTACTATCCAGGAGGCTCTGAGGAAATGTCTGCCAAGGGGCTGACTGTTGAGCTCTGTAAAAGTCAAACAGAAGATAAAACACTGTAGTGATTTGTTTTGACTCAGAGGTTTCAAGTCATGAGAAAGAGAGAAGCTACTGCCCTTCCCTCATTTTGATAAGGGCCTCTGGGAAACGAGGGCCTGGATGAAAAGGCTTTGGTGCTGGCAAAGGGCTGTGCTCATCTTTGGGAAGAGGATTTGGGAATAGTGGTGTCTGTCTCTTATACCTTGATCTTTTGCCTCCCAGTAGCTACAGCAGCTGCCCTCTGGGAGGGATAGGAGATGGCTTCCAGTCTCATCTTTATCTTCAGTTGCAGCTCCAATAGGCCCACCACCAGACTAACATGCACAGCATGCCCTTCACCAGCATTTCCCAACCCTTCGTCCTCCTTCCCAGTCCACTGCAAATCCCCTCCGTGCATCCCAAATGCCACACCCAGAGAGAGTCACGTAACAGTTTAGACACAGAATGTACAAAAGTACAGTGTTTAGACAATCCATTCATTAGGCTTGAAGATTTACAAGTCCGGAAATGGGGAAAAACAGTATTTCACAAAACCCACTAATGATCATGTCAGCATGAATGGGGGATGCTTTATATAATACTGGGCCACTACACAAAAGGAAGCAAGCTACCAAAAGCTACATATAGAGAAAAGGAAATATAATTATGCAGTTCAGTCTTTCTTTCATTGTCTTGGAGAGAAAATTGTTAAGGATTTATTTGGGTTGAATATATTAATGTAAAAATTTCCTATTAAAGATCCTATCTGTAAAAATGACCATTTTTATGGAAACCAAGCTATCTACAGAAGAGACATTTAGGGTTAAAAGGGGGGAAAAAGGAAAAGAAAAAGAAGATGTAAATGAGGGAATAGGAGATGGCAGGGAAGGAGAGGAAACATTCATAAGGCTAACCCACCTAGACCTCTGCCTGCCAAGACTTCTTCCATCTATAACAGCATTCTGTCCCAGGACAAGGACTCTACTTTCCCCTCCCCTCTCCAATCACCATTATTCCCCAAAGAGGGCCACTATGACTTCCTCCAGACTTTGTGGCTACAGTAGTGTTGCTTGCCCACCCTCTCTCCTTGAGTCTCCTACTTCTTGGCACCTGTACCATTCTACCTTTGAAGACCTTGTCCTGGTCTCTACCCTTGAAAGATTCTGTGAAATCCTCCAGGAACTTCCTTCTAAAATGTTTTCATAGCAAACTTTTATTTTATTTATTTAATTATTTTTTTCCCAGTCCTGGAGCTTGAACTCCGGGCCTGGGCACTGTTCCTGAGCAACTTTTGGCTCAAGGCTAGCATTCTACCACTTGAGCCACAGCTCCACTTCTGGCTTTTTCTGTAATTAGAGAGAAGAGTCTCACAGGTTTTCCTGCTTCAAATTGCAATCTTCAAGATCTCAGCCTCCTGGCACCTAGCCGAAGCAAATATTTTAGCCTGTATGACTAAGCACTAAGTGAGCTCTTTTCATTTTTTAATGCTGGTCCTGAGGTTTGATCTCAGGGTCTGTGCACTGTTCTGAGCTTCCCCTCCTCACCCCCACTCCCCGAAGGCTAGCCTCTACCACTTGAGCACAGCTCCACTTCTTTTTCTTTGGTAGTTGATTAGAGATGAGTCCCACTGGCTTCGAACCTCAGTCTTCAGATCTCAGTCTGAGTTGCTAGGATTACAGGAATGAGCCTCCAGCACCCAGCTCTAAACGAACTTTTCTATACTGAGACTCAGATTTGTATATCTTCTTGCCCTTACTTCTGCTGCCATATATCCAAATTATACCCATGCATCTCTTTCTTCCCTCTCTTCCTTCCCTTCCTTCTTTCTTCCAGAATCACATGTTTTCAATCAGTGTGCACATGCCCACAGGTTTCCCTGGTTCTTTGCCATATATTCTAACACTAATCAACTATTTGTCTAGCAACTTCCAACATCTTTAAAAACTTCTTAGACCTTTCCTGTGAGTCCATCTTTTTTTACTTCTCTGGAGCACTAATCTTTCTCTTTTGCTCCAACAATCACTTCTTCCATTTCTCTGTACTGTTCTTCCTGTGACTCATCCCAATGGAAAAGTGTCAGTTCCCTTTCTTGTCTTGTCTTTGAGAGAGAGAGAGAGAGAGAGAGAGAGTTGCTGAGGATCAAATACATGGCTTCGTGAATGGTAGGCAAGCTCTTTAGTATTAAGCTACATCCCTTTGGTTTGAGGCAAAGTCTCAAAATATAGCTTAGGCAGGCCTGAACTCACTATTCTCTTGCCTCAACCTCCCAGGTACTGGGATTATAGGCATGGACCACCAAACCTGTCTTCCTCCTTTCTCTCAATATGACCTCCTTCCATCTTTCATCTACTCCCATCATCTTTCATCTACGCCCAGTGCTTCAACCAGGTGACTCTAATTGACTTCTTAAGCCCTTGCCTCTTCGTACAGCTCTCACAGCTGGGGATATGCCCTATATGATACCCAACCAACACTTCAAAGTCAATTATCTGAAACCAGCTCTCATCTTACCTCTGTGCTTATTTTCTTCCCATCTTTATGTGACATATGGATGTTCTTATTCTTTTAGCTGCCTGGCCCAAATCCTAGTTGTCTCCATCCCTTCCCCTAATTCATTATTCTTCATACCAACTAGTTCAAATGTCCCACTGCAGTTCACTTGGTGATCTCACATCTGCCCTTCCCCACCTTCAGGGTGGTACAGGCCCTCACCCCTACAGGCTGGCTTTTGCAGTAACACTTTGACTGGAGACTCCAGGCAATGATACAATTCTAAACCACATCTTTACCAGTGATATATCACTGGTATAAGGGCAAAACTATCATCTTGATAGCCATTTTTTCTAAGCCTCTATAATCCAGAGTCAACTCTCTTTTCCAAGACTGTCTTTCAGTATTCTCATCTCAAATATCCTGTCCCAACATTTATTTAGCTCTGAGTGAGCACTACCTAATCTACTGTTGGAGGACTTCACTTATGAGTATGACTGACCTGTCAATTCCTAAAGATGAAATCTTTTCAGTGCGGGTCCAGGTCCTCTGATGCCTGGCCCATACACACTTAGGACTAAGGATGCCAGTCAACTGAACCATTGTGAAGAGAACTCAATGCATCAGAGACCTATTTTGCCCACCATGCCCTGGGCAGGGTTCTGCACCTTAGAAGCAGGCTCTGCTCTCAGGAAGGTAGCTGTTAATTCTAGTTGCCTCCCATACTAGTTGCAGAAGGTCTCTTTTTATTTCTGGACTGCTTTAAAAGTAACTTCTGATTCATTTTGGCCAAACTGTTATGACAACCCTCCCATTCAGCATCTCAGCCACATTAGTTCTTATTCCAGAATGAGCTGTACCCACTTTGACTTCAGCCCTACAATTCCACAGAGGCTACACCGGGTTCTTGTCTACTTAGCTAGAAAATCAGTGCCATGACCCCATCTTCCCATGTCTTTAATCACCTTCCTACCTTGATTGTATACATGGCAACTTACCTCTGGTGCCTCCTTCAAGTTCTGAAGGAGAGCCTGGCGTCTAACAACTGGCCTCCTACTCCATCATCCTACAATGAATTTCAGGCTTTCTGAGTCCTAGAATTGCAGCGACTGGCCATGGCTCACTGGCTTCTGTCTCTCTCCTCCCAGAGCCCTTATTTCTCCAGACCTTCCCTGGTTTGAGTCTCTGGAACATACATGTCTTTCTACTCCAGTCACTTGTGCTAGTGGTCTGACCTTTTGTCTTAGTTATGCTTACATCTCACAGATCCATTAGCAATTTCCACTTTCCTTACCATCATTTGTGGACCTTCTTGGCCTCAGCAGTACTGTTATTCCTTTTTTTCATTTTTTCCCCTTAAAGCTATCTTTCCTCCTAGTTTTGTCAGGTAGCCCTAGGCATACTTCTAAAAATATTTAATTTAGCCTTTCAACTGACTTTCTCCCTACTGCCTTCTATTTTTTATTTATTTATTTAGTTAGTTATTTTGCCAGTCCTGGGGCTTGAACTCAGGGCCTGGGCACTGTCCCTGAGATTCCTTTGCTCAAGGCTAGCTCTCTATACTTGAGCCACAGTACCACTTCCAGCTTTTTCTGTGTTAGTAGTGAGGAATCAAACCCAGAGCTTCATGCATGCTAGGCAAGCATTGTACTACTAAGCCACATTCCCAGCCCATGCTATTTTTTAGTAAGGTATATTTTTGACATGGATCCCCATAAAATTATCAGTGCAAAGTCAGTTTCAAACACTTGCTTATGTCCAGACTACCTGACTTCGAATGCTCCTTTTCACTGAGAACCTTCTGACCTTTATCATTACAAATACCATTCTTCTGACAGCGCCCTACATAGAAGCAGCCCCCCATCACTGCTGCTGTTTTAAAAAAATAACCTCTGAGGTTGGTATCTCCCAGAACTACAAAAATAGATAAGGGAATTGTCTTTTTTTTTCCAGGGCTGAGGACCGAACCCAGGGCCTTATGCACGCCGGGTGGGCGCCCTTCCACTGGGCTAAACCCCCAGCCCCCGGAATTGTCTTTTTTTTTTTTAAATGAAGCTCATGAAAATTCAGAGAAAGTATTCAGAGGCAAAGGGTCATCCTCCAATTAATAATAAAGTATAATACGGCTCTGGTAGAATAGGGAGGAGTTTAAATCACCAGCATTTCCACGAACACTTGGAACATTTCCTCTATGAGGAAGATACCAAGCTCAAAAGGAATCCAAACAAACGCTAACTGTGGAGTTGAGGAGGGTCTAAAACAGGAGTCAGAAAGCCATGCAGCTGAAAAAGAACCAGCACGGCCATCTGTCACCTCAACTACAGCAAAACCAGAGAAGCAAATCAAACCAAGCTTGAAAAGGAACGGATAGCATGAGGAAGATGGGAAGAAGTACCTGTGGTGGGCTGGCACTGGGAGAATTAATCGTCTCCATTTTTTCTAAATCTGCCTCTAACTCTGTTTGGCACAGGTTGAGATCTTTTTCTAGATTAGTCTGGTTCAAGAAAGAAAAGATGAGAAAGAAATTTTTAGTTTAGAGGAAAGGGAGAAAGGATGGAAGGTTAAGTTTGAAAAATGAATTGTTTTTCGTGCCATACTTCAACAAGGCTACTATGCCATGACCCAATCACAAGAGCTCACTAGAAATTAGTTAAAGACGTGAAAGCAGAGAATGTAACATTAGACACGTACAGTAGAAGTCCTGAGCATCAGAGCTGCAAAAGTCTATCCTACTTGCTAACGAAAACTACCAATACCATGAACACCTACCTTTAAGGAAAGGCCTACTTGTTCCCTTGTTGCAACTGCGACAAATACTCTTGTGTCAGAAGAATAAGTCAATACTTGAAAACCTCTACACATTAGTATATGTCTTAGCTACTTTATTAAATTATTTTATCACCAAGCCAAAAAGAAAAAAGTTACTACATTAAAAATAATGATTTAAGAAAACAAACCCACACCACACTCACACCAACCAAAGCTAGAGAGCACACACACAGTCACGGAGGAGCACAGCGGAATTACCTTTCTATCCTCTCTAGGAAGGATAGAGCAGTCTCCAGGAGTATAATCCCATATCTTTTTGGGAGGCTGACGGGAAGCAGAGGAGGAAATGAAGAAATGAGCATAAAGACATAAAGACAAACACAAGGCTGGTTCAAACAAAGAGGGGTACACTGGGAGAGCTGTGCCAACATAGACAGGAACTCAAAGCAAAAGGCTGGGCATTCAGCCCAGGACACACAAAAGTGTGCTGCCCTGGAGTTGGGGGAGACCTGGCACCACTAACAGGGAAGTGGGTTCTACTTTTATGTTTCAAGAGCAAATTATCATTGGATTATAAATACTGAAACCTTAAGAAAAAAAAGAAAATATTAACACAAATTTCAACAAAATGACCAACTTTCAATTCCTCATTGTCCCATTCAAACTAAGACTGACACTGGAGAATCTACATTTTCTTTTTGAAATAGCCTTTTCCCTTGTAAAACAAAAAAATCATTGTATGCTAACAAATGTATGAACCTAGCAATTTGGTTAATAGAGGGTAAACTGAACTAAACATGTTTTCTGTAGCCATGAAATCTGTGTACAAAATGGGTGTTAAATAGTGCACCAGACAATTTCACACCAGCTGTTTTGAACTCTCCTTTTAGGGTTTAAATGGATCTTGATGATGTTGCTAGTTGTAGAAATATAACTTCCATCTTCCATAGAGACCAATTGCAACTTAGAATGTGAGCAGTAGAATGGAAGATGATTTTTCTTTTCTCTCTTTTGCCCCTTCACAATTACAATTAGAACTGAGATGAAAAGTATACCAAGTGATTGTTGGAGAGTTAGCCAGCACAGGACACTTAGAAGTTATAATACGTGTCTAACAATGCAACTGATTTTCTACTGGGTGGGCCTTCTGGTTTTGCCTCCATACCTATACTATGAAATCACCTATACTATGAACTCTGGGAAGATGAGAAATGGGAGATCATTCAAAGCTCAAAACTGTTGTATGTAAATCTTTGTTATTTTTAAATTTTTTAAAGAGTATGCATAATTCTTGGCAACTAACTCTATGGAAGCATTCAAATTAATTTACTGAGAAATTTTGCCTTGAGTTTATAGATGGAAATCATGTCACTTTCTATTTTAAAAAGCAGAAGGGAAAAAAGAGAAGAAAAAGCTGCCACTCAGGTACTAATTTAATTCCACATCGTGTTCACTGTTGATAGCAACGATAATGGTAGCCCTGTGTTAGTATATTCTGCATTTTGTAAAGTGATACCAGCCATTATTATTCATCTATAGCACTAAAAATACTTAGATAATTAGTCTGGGGATGTAGACTTTCTGAGGTCACATATATTACCCACACACCCACTTCTTTATCCTAAAACTGCCAGAAAAAAGCATTTACAAATAAGATTGATTTTAAATATCATCCTCCCAATAGTCCCTTGAGTCTTGGATTATTTGCTATTCTATAAAAACCTATTGCTTAAAAAAACCAGTTCCATGTAGGTGGTGTTAAGAGAAGAGGGTTGAAGAGGAGTCTAGTATATAAGTTCTGGTAGGTTCATTCCAGGACAGTTAGTGTAAGCAATGCAGAAATGATGATCTGTATGATGAAGTACAAGTTTCATTTTCACCTTTAAGGAAAAATTTTCCAAACTCATTTCCATAGTTAACACCCTCTTTTTATTTTTTATACTACCCGGGAAGTAGGTTTCTTACTCTTATGGTCCACAGTGGTGGGAGCAGGAAGATAGGATAAAACATTTCTTCCTTTCACCTTTCTTCCCAAACTGTTGGTTCAACTAGAGAATGAGTTTATCATGAATATACCTCAAACCATGAAGAACTAACTGTTCATCTCAATGCTGTTCCACTGATTATGTTATTTTGGCAAGTCTTCCAAAGTATTAACTTTTACAGTAAGACCTCCACAAAGGGGAACAAAACTATTAGAAGGCTCTATTTTACAAATGGACTATGTTTCAGTATTTATTTGAGATGGTTATTGTCCTTTGACCACAGCTTCAGGTAGCAACAGTGTTAACTTACCAACTTATTCTCATGGCTTATTTGTTGTATGCAGGGACTAAAATACTCTTGATTACCAACAACAAAAACCATTTTATTAGTGAGGGGAAAAAGAACATAGCTTTTCCCCCTAAAAGTTAATATTTCAGATAAGATTCGTTAGTTCAGTTATTTAGCAGATGAGGAGATGGCTAGATATGTATGGATCCTGAAAGGGATTTAAAAAATAAACAATATGGAATCTTTATTGAATACAATTAAAAGCTAGTAGCTACAGTTATCCTTGATAAAAGTATGGTGTTGTTGCTACACATAGCACATAGGTCGGGGAAGAAGGGGACAGAATTATATACATTAAAAGAAGCTTTATTTGTGCAATACTTAGTAGATTTTAAGGAAAATAAGAAAAGGAAAAATATTAGGTTACTATTCAGTATTTGCATATAGTTAAAATAGGTTGAAGTAGAATTGATATCTAAATGGTGAACAATAGAGAAAGGGAAGAAAATGAGAAGAAATGCGTGCACCAAAGCACTAGGAAGGGGAAGAGAAGAAGGCAGTTTGGGTTAGATGTTCCTCTCTTACTGTACACTAGGTGGCACTCTTCACCAGGAACAGCCCAGCTGCCCACGGGAGATGTGTCCCAGAACAGACAAATTGGTGTTCCTAAAAGGCAGGATCTTGCAAGTCAGGCTCTCCTAACTTAGAAGACATCTGAACTTTCACCTCAGCATCCCTAAATCAAATGAGCAATTCCAGAGCACTATGTCTTCATCTTAAAGAAACAAAAGCAAAATAAAACTGTCATCTCAAGCCTCAGTAATCTAAAAGCTGGATTCAATGCTTAGAGTCTCATACAAATGTCTAATGTTTTATTTTTCTACGCTTAACTCCTCCACCGTAACTTTTTTGCATTTATAATAATTAAGGCTACTTTAAAGTTGCTGTTTAAAGTAACTAGAGTTTAAACCAGACATCTTGAGTAACAGGAAGAACTCAGTTTTCCTTTCTATTTGATACTTTTTTAGAGGCAGGGCTAACAAATTCAACCTTAAAGTACCATGACTGGATCAATTATACCAAAGCCAACTCAGTGATGTCATGGTAAAGCTACTGAACATTAGGTGAAACACTAAATTTGCTAGAATTCCTAGTCTCTATCCCAACTTGGAAAATGTCAGTCTAACTCATACAAATCATTCCATAGAAGCTGTTTGTAAGGTGTGTCATTTGTGAGCCATATCTCCATGCAAAGATCCTGTTCTGGCACTTATTTCATATATATACTGTAAAAAAAAAGTGCTATCTGAAGCAGTGGCAAAGCTCGTCTTCTCTGTGTATAATGTATTTTCCTGCCTGTGTTCAGCAAGCACAAAGACTTGAGTCAAGGTAGTGAACCAATTGCTGCAATAATGATGTCCACAAGGCATGTGATATTTGTTATCAGTGGAGGGTGGTCCTAGGGTAAGCAGTGACTTCATTGTGTTCTTAGGGATTGTGGTAAGCTATACCTCCACAGATCACATCTTGGTGATATAAAGAAAGAAAAGCTTCCAGGTGGTAAGGATGAGACAAGCCCACTATTGCCAACCAACACAACTGAGTTCCCTGTATATAGATCTGATTCTAATTTAGCAGCAACAGCATTATTTTAAAAGGCGTAGAACCACTGAGGCTATCAAACTTACCGGTTTCCCAAACTCCAATTCCGAAAAGAACTTATACCAAGGTTCATTCTTTAAATCTATCTCTTCTGGGCTTATATCCCGACTCTATAGGGGTTGGTGACAGGGAAATGGAAGAAAGAGAAGGATAACATTATGCAAAGATTACAAAGGAACAGGCCAGTAGAGATGCAGTGGTATCCAGGTATATTGCATATAGCAGCTGAGTTCAACAGCAGCAATTGTCCATTTTTACTGACATCAGCAAAAACAGGAAGCTAAAACAGGAGGGAGAGGATATGTTTATAAACACAGGAAACTGAGGTAAGGAGTAGTTGAGTGGCTCATTCTCTGAATGGCAGAGGCAGATGGACTGGAGGTACAGATCTCTGCACCACACTGCTGCACTTTACAACAAAGCTGAATATTGACGCAGCAGTATTCTTTAATGATTTTCAGTAGTGGAGAAAAGAAAGTCCTATTTCTTCTTGCAAAGAAGTATTAGTTAGGAGCAGATAAACTGGTGAGCACACCAAACATTTCACATCTATACCAGTTGAATAGAGCACACAGTTTTTATGGTATAAGACAGTTTTAGTACTTATTTGCAAGGCTGCCTTCAGGTTTTCAAAATAAACACAAGTATTGACACCTTATAAAAGCCAATTGGTTAATACTGCATCTTTAATGGCACATGAATAGGTGAGATACCATGACCTATACACAGTTAAGTGAAAGATGATATAAGTAAACACAGAAGACACAGTGAAAAACATTTTACACAAGCACCTGATAGAGGATGAGTAAAGACAGAATATATTTTGTGTTCTAACAAGTAAATGTTAAAGAGTTGGGAAAAATTAAGTGAGAAAAAAGCGGGACAAGACAGATAACAGAACATGGGAAAGAAAACTTTTGGGTTATGTTCCAACATTAGATTTCTCACTTTACATTCAAAGAGTATCACATGTAGACTGATAATTTGTTTCCATAGGATTTAATATTTAATCAAATCTGTATAAAGGTCTGGTACTTTATTACTTTGGGGGGTAACATTTATTTCTGGAAACAATTAGTTGGAGAATGAGTACCTGGGAAGCAAATGAAGTTTTCTTTTTAATGAATTAGAGATATGTTCACATCAGACAAAAGTGTTTTTGGTTTGTAAACATTTTTTTTTAAATTTGTGAGAATCACAAAAAAGGAGCTAGGGTGATTTTTTTCCCTATGGCACTCTGAAATAGCAAATGAACTACTGAGATTGAAAACATCACATATTAACTTCAGGCTAAAATCTGGAATGAGCAAGTGAGAAAAAATATTGCTAAGTCCCATGCACAGGTCTTCTATGCTCCTACATCATCGAATGGTTCTTCTTAGAGGTACTTTTCTTAACAAATTACTTAGTACTTTTGCAGCCTGTAGAAAAGGTTGCAAACAGTCTTAGTGACTTTTCCCAGGCCATTCTTCTAACACCCTTAGAAGACTCTGTTTCATTCCTTTCAGTTTCATAGGTAAAATGAGATATGGATACACGGCAGAGTCCCTGTCTTTCACAAAGTTAAACTAGGGGTTGAAATCAGAGGGAAACATATACTGAACAATCAGGTCTCTCCTCTTGCATGCAGAAAAATCTCTGGTTTCTGGAGGGCCTTAGGACTTCAAGCTTTACCTTCTGTACAGTCAGTGGATTCTGTATTTACTCAGTGAAATGAGGCACAACACCTATTTGAACACAACCACTTGGCAGTGAACATCTAGACACCAGGACATTCTAAATGCTAAAATGATGGCATTTCATGAAACCTATTTCACATTTATTATTTTTATAAGGACTACTTTTTTTGTGTTCAAGGCTAACACTCTACCACTTGAGCCACAGTGCCACTTCCGTTAATTGGAGATAAGAGTCTCATGGGGACTCTTCTGCCAGGGCTGGATTCACACTGTGATCCTCAGATCTCAGCCTCCTGAGAAGGTAGGATTACAGGAATGAGCATCCGGCATAAGGACTATTTATAAACTGCTACTTGGGAACAGGATAGGCCTAAAAAAAAAATCAACCAAAAAGCAAACAAACCAAACCACCATAAATAAACTGGGCACTGGTGACTCATGCCTGTAATCCTAACAACTCAGGAGGCTGAGAACTGAGGATCATGGTTCAAAGCCAGACTAGGCAGACAAATTAGAGACTCTTATCACCAATTAATCATCAAAATTCCTCAGTACTAGCACCAAAACAACACAAAACAAAACAAAAAGTACCAACTCTTTCAGGAAATGCACTAAAAGCATTGGTACTTACAATTCTGAAGAAATTAACCCACTTTATTCCTGAATGCTTCTTACAGACTGTTTAAGGAGGTTAACGCTGTGCCAAGAACAAAATCAGGAGGTGTGTCAAACAAGCTGGGTCAGAACCTCAGGTCCAAAGTCTCAGTCCTTTGAGTTTCCCAGAGGTAAAGCTGCCCTCCAACTGCATTTGAGTTTGCCAGGTATAACTCAGCTGTACAACCAAAAAGGGAACAAACCAACAGCAAACATCCTTGTGGATGCAGAGGAAACTTGTTCCAGCACTCTTGGAAAATTCCATACTACCAGGCTCAGTTCTTGGCCGCTGTGGGCTGTTCTTCCCTAAGCTTGATAAAGTCCTTAGAACATTCCGGTGACTTGCCAGAAAATTGCCAACTTATCAAAGGCACTTTTCTTACTCAAATGAAGCCAGAGAGCAGCTTCAAATTTCAATGAAATAAATCACCTGAATGGGATATATTGATTTGTAAGTGCTTCATGATGTCAATAGTTTTCTTACCATGGTATATATAACCCTTGATCACCTCCTGTGGTACTTAAGTGGGGTTGGCAGAACAAGTGATATTTCTATTTATACATGAAAACACTGAGGCTCAGGAAATTAAAATAATTTGCCTAAGATATATGGCAGAGTCAGAACTAAAACCCAGGATTCAGATCTTCCAATTCCTGATCCAGCGCTCTGCATACTATATTATATTATACCTCTCATACCAAACAAGAAGGAGGGCTGACCTGCTGAATTTTAGTCAATATCAAACCAAAGCAGGACCGGTCACTAGTTTGATATGCCAGAAAAGAAACTCAAAATTGGGAGGAAACTAAGGTAGGTAAATTATCTTGTTTTATATTTTTGTTCAATAAGAACACGGCCTATAACTGATGCTAGAGAAAAGTATAAAGGAATAAAGCTCAGAAAAGGCCATTTCTGTGTGTGGGTGTGTGGGTGTGGGCACACACGCGTGCGCATGCACACATGCAAGCTAGTTCTGGAACTTGAACTCAGGGCTTGGGCACTCTTCTCAAGCTTTTTAGGTCAAAGCTAGCACTCTACTGCTTTTTAGTAGTTAACTGGAGATGGACTTTCCTGCTTGGGCAGGTTTCAAACCACAATCCTCAGATCTTAGCCTCTTGAGTATGTAGAATTACAGAAGAAAGCCACTAGAACCTTGTTGGGGATGTATGTGTGTTTGAAGCCTGGGTGGGCATCTATATGGTCTCTACCCACCCCTTCCTGGTAGTAATGAATAGCTGTGCCTATCTGCTTATTTCTATCACCTATACTGCCAGAATTAAGCAGACATAAACACCTCAAAAATAAAAGTGTTTTCCCAAAATGAGATAGAGTAAATCTGAAAGCAAGTGCCAATTCTACATCTGTTGCTAGTTGGTATAACTACCAAGTTAACAACTAAGTTTTTTTTTAATTTAAATACAGGAGTGCCCAAAGCCTGGCAACTAGATACTGAATAACTAGAGACAACTAACCAGTATCCACCAAACCAGACACTTGCCAAAAGACAAATGTCACATACTGAAATTTATATCCTAACTTTTCTGTTCATGGTACAAAAATAGTCAGAAAAAAAATCTAACATAAAGGACCAATTGAATCACTGTGAAGGGCAGACTGTTAAAAGATGGGAGATCCAACTGAAATTCCTCTCTAAAAGTAAAACTTCCTCTTTAGAAAAAAAGAGCTAAGTTGGGCGAAGGGCACTGAATTAGCAACTAGGAGAATGGTTCCTCCCTGATCTGCCTTTGGGCAGATCCATTAGGGATGGGCCTCAGGACTGGCACAGAACAGAGGAGTTCTTGTGCAGAGTTCCAGCACTCTGCTGATGGTGGGATCTACCCTACTCCCTACAGAAGAATCCATGAGCCAGTGTGTCACTTCCCAGGGTTGTTAAAACAATGACAATGATCCCAAGAACTAATGCATGGAAGAGACTCAGACTATTATGATATCATTGAAGAAAACAGAATTAGGTTGTTTTTTTCCCTAGTTCTGAATGGTGGTTAAATTACTATGACCGAGGAAAGAAATAAAAGGCAAAATTAAGAAACAAACAAATAAAAAAGGTGAGCCTTCAGTAAGAACCATGGCACCCTATAAATGGTTACATCGCCAAAACAAAAGCATCCAAAAAGCTTACTGAGATCATTTCAATGTATTAACATGTGATAGAGGACCCAGGCTTATTATTTAAGTATTAGAAATGTCTCTGAAGAACACAGTTTTCTTCCCTGGAACCCCTGGGAGTAAGGTTCCCATGCACGTATATTATATAGGAGATACCTTCTAATAGGAAGAGAATGACATGGGAGCCCAAGGCCAGATCCTCTGCTCATCTCCGAGCTTTCTGCTTAAAATAACTGTGGTGCACAGTGAATACCAAAGAATGACAACTCTAAAAGCATTTCTGTGAACTGTTGACCTTTTATCCTAATTAAAATTACTTATCCCTCTGGGCTTTTAAAGATGTCACATTTTACTTTAGTAAAAGTCAAATCGATTATTCTTTTAACACATCTAGAGAAGAAAAAGGGGGAGGGAAAATTGAAGCCTTGAAGAGACATGCTCCACACTTGGTGTGTTAACAGCAGTGAATAAAAACCAGTCCCCAACACTACCATCCCACTCTGTTGTCAGAGCCCAAGGGCTCCTATGCTTCTAGAGTTTTCTAGAATCTCTTTAACCAAGATCAGAAATCAAAATCAGATTTTCCTAATGAAGGGTGAATGAAAGGAAGTGTGATTGGCAGATAGGAAACTAATCAGTCTATAAAAAGTCTTCCTGTTTCATAGAAGGGGCTACTTTTCCACAGCTGTCTGTTATACCCATGCAAGGCCATTTTCTGAACACTTAAAATTGCTTGAATTTATATAGAGAACCATAAACCAGACTGAATATGAAATAAGGCCTCAACATTGTACTTATCAAAAAAGGAAGACCTAAAAGACACATTCCCCCTCATAACATCCTTTTAAAAGTTATAGCCTTTAATAATATACTAGCAATGTCTACAAAATTCATGCACATTCCAATAAGAGTCACTTTTAAAACATTCTAACTTTATCCCAGTCAATGATAAGGCTGATAAATTAATGGTTAGACACTTAGAAAATAAATAACAGTAACAAGATCGTTATGTTAGTAGAAAAATTAAAATTAGTTAAAACCATGCACAAAAGAGCAATATAGCCACAATAGCAGAATTCTTTAAAAGGAGACTCTTAGGACTTATTTTATAAACACCTGTGAAAACGTAAAGGGAAAAAAAACCTTCATTTTTTTATAGTCTTGCAAACAAAGCAAGCCTATCTCAAGGGGGAAAGAATATAATCCATTTGCACAATGCATCCGGATTACAGGACATGGGCAGATGGAGAAAAAAGAACTTCAATATGCAAATTACCATCTTTTCGTTGCTCAGAACAGAAGACTTGCCCGGCTGATATTCATAAATACTTTTGGGCTCTGCACGGTATTTTCTTGTATCCACTTTCTTATCTGGGGGCTCCCAGTCGTTTCTGTAAAAAAAAAATCCTATTAGTGGTATTTTCATGAAAATTGGCATCTGCTTCAGACACAGTCTGACTTTGGTTGGCTTGGGTCTAATCAAGGAATTTTTATCCAAAGCATTAAAAAATCAGAGTCAAGATGAACAATTTAGCTGTACTGACTTGCTTCTCAAAACAAGCAATTAAATCTCTGACTTGGCCTCATAAAGGGCTTGAAATACTCTGCACTTAAAACCAGGCACTAGGAAGTTGACAGGAAGAGAAAGAAGATGATTCATACATACTTATATTCTCCTATAAATCTGGTTCCATTAAAGACTGTCCTTCAAAAAATCTTTAACTTCTAGTTTTCTGGTAGTTAATTGGAGATAAGAGTCTCATGAACTGTCCTGCCCCGGCTGGCTTTGAACCGCAATCTTCAGGTCTCAGACTCCTAAATAGCTAGGATTACAGGTGTGACCTACCAACACCCAGATGGAAAATTGCAATTTTTTGTGTATGTGTACTATTGCCCCTTGAATTGCAATTGCATTCTGTTTTTCATGCATGCTGCTAGCTTCTTGAAGACAGAACAATGGCATACTCGTATTCTTGTCTCACATCAGGTGACGTTTGAAGACAGTTTGAAGACAGCCCAGGCAGAAATGTCTATGAGACTCTTCTTCAATTAACCAGTAAAAAGCCGTAAGTGGAGCTGTGGCTCAAGAGGCAAAGCTCTAGCCTTAAACAAAAGTGCTAAAGGAGGGCACAAGGCCCTGAGTTCAATCCCCAATACTGGTATTTTTTTAAGTGGCTCTTGTTTGAAAATTATATTCTTTCCCATGAATGTGCAAACACAGAGTATGCTCAGGTAATATGGAAACTGGTGACAATTTTTAATATATATATTTTTATTGTAAAGATACTGTACAGAGGGGTTACGGTTACATGAGTAAGGTAATGAGTACATTTCCTATACAGCATTGTTACCCCCTCCTTTTGGTGACAAATCTTGAAATGAAGATTTTTGTTGTGATGAGGTACAAAATCATAGTAATCATTAAATTAAGCCTAGGCTATGAGTGAGGCATTAGTAAGAGTGTTATGTATATTATCTCACTTATCTTTGAGACATTCTGATCAAGGAGTTGTGCTATTTTGATTACCTTTATAGATAAGGTCATTGAGACTCAGATTAGTCCCTGATGATAGGTCACCAAACTGAGTCTAGCTCCTTGTTCTAAGAAAGGAGGCTCTGGGTCTCCACAAATGCTGAGAAAAGCCACTGTGTGGTAAAGATGAACTCAGCTCAGGGAATACTTACCTCTCTGGGCTGGACTTGAGTGAGGACGAGCGGGCTGGGAGGGGAAGTGTGGCCGACCTCTTAACCACCTTCTCACCATCAATGTAACTCATTTCACTTTTTGAACGAGGCACAGAAAGGGGAGATTTTGCTGGAGAATGTACACACAAAAAGACTTTGAAATCCAATGGAAACCCAAAATCAGAAGGTGTCTTCCCTCACCCACCTTCCTCCCCTGAAAGCAGGAAACTCAAGTCACTTACCATCTTCAGAAAAGGAGTATCGAGGAGAATACAGATCTGAATCATCATCTAGTGGGAGGAAAAGGACATAATCAGAAGAAATGGGGAAAGGAAAGAGAAATGAGGTTCATGTCATTTCTTACTTCCACAGTCCTGCATCATAGCCAGGCACACCAGGGAAGAAGGGCTTAAGCACACTGGATGCTATACCACAGCAGACCACAGTGAACAGTGAGGCAGAGCCGGCACGCCAGGAGGGCCCTTCACATTGCCAGAGAGATGACTGCTGCCTAACACTGGGAAACATGGGGACAAATAGCCAAAGGTCCTTCTCAAGAGAATACCCACCAACAACAGAGGAATTCACAACCCAGAGTCTGGCTGAGGAGGATAGAGGGGATGAGATGGCTCTAGCTGCTCCCACTTAGCCCACAGAGTGCCAGAGGATTCTGCGAGGCCTCTTTCTAGGGCTTGGAGCTGCTACTGGATGTGAAGGAAAGGCCTAGATGGTATGGCTGCTAGCTCCCCAACTTAACTCTGACCTGTGTCATCTTAAATTTCCATAGCAACATCAATAACAAAAAGGGTCTGAAGCTTAGAGTTTGAGAAAAATTGACATCATAATTTGTTCTGATTGTTTCAACTTAGTGTGGCTCCCTTGAGTAGATTTCTTTTCTTAGAACACAACACAGCCATGATTGATGTGGTTATATGATCTGCTCTTCAGATACTGCTTGGGGTAAATGCCTAACATAGAAACTCTGGAATAAAACTCATGAGAGTTTTTATGGTATGAGATGGCTCTCCAAGGGGGTGGAATCTGCCCCTAAATAAGCCAAACCCTGGCTCTAAAACTGATTGGATCAAAATAAGATCTTAAGCATCATGGAAGTGGCTGAGTTTTTTACACTAAAAACTGGACCCTGTGACCACTTACAGGAGCTATGCAGTGCTGGATATTAAGTCACTGCATCCTTCATAGTCCTTTCAAAGTATTACTCCAAAACGAGTTTGCTGGAAAGTCTACCTTCCTTATTTTCTAGTATCTTGTGAATTCAGAATTCATGCATACAGAACAAAGACCTAGTTCTTCCCTTAAAATCTACAATGTCTTTAGTGAAGCACATGACTTAACCAGAAAAGATGAGCGCAAGAATATATGCCATGTTAATGACAGTGTTAAGCAACTCATTTCCTTGCAAATCATTTCAATTTTCAGAGCGGAATAAAGGTCAGAATACTTTATAAAAAGTATAACCAAGTTATTTTTCACCTCCCTTTTATCTTTAAAGGTTAGAATTAGGCAACAGCAAGGCAAAATAGGTATAAGACTTTACCAACACAACCAAGCCTTTCTTTTCTTTTTTGGACACAGTATCTTGCTATGTTGTCTAGGCTGGCTGAAACGCAATACTCTTTGCTTACTCCTTGTCTCATTCTGGGATGACCCATCATACCTGCCAACCTTTCACTATTAAAAGTCAAATGTATAAGCTTATTAATTTGTTAAAATAGGACAGGGGATGGATAAAAATAGGATCCAGAAATATATTTTTGGAAAACCTGAATTTTGTGTTAACAGTTGTTTATTTTCTTAATAGTACTTGATTCTTATACTCATAAAATATCATATCAAGAACACTAAAAACCAGCTTTGATTTCAGGGACTTCATTAGAAAAACAAATGGTGCCTTCCCCAAATGAAGTTAGCTCAGATAGAAAACAATACAATACTACTTCAAATCCAGTCTAACATTTTAGCTCAAAGCCCTTTACCTCTCTGAATTGTGAAAAATTGAAGCCTATCAAGAGATGGTAAAGTGAAGGTAATTTATAGCTATTACCTGGTTCATAAGTCTAGGAGCGAAGTTATTGGTAGGGAGATGATATATAAATAGTCACAAACATTAAGACTGGGGTTTAAAGATCTGTTTTTTCCCAGAGATTTCTAATATGGAATTATAACTAAGGCTTTTGGGAAGGCAACAAGAATTTTTTTTTCTTTTTGTCCTACTACCAGGGCTTGAATTCAAGGTCTTATGCTCTCAGAAGCCAGTGTTCTACCACTTGAGCCACATTTCTAGTCTGGCATTTTGCTGATTAATTTTTCTGCCTGGCTTCAAACCTAGGTATCTCAGATCTCAGCCTCCTGAGTAGTTAGGATATTAAGTATGAGCCATTAGCACAAGGTGAAAAATCTATCTTACAAGATAAAAAATGTAAGACTTCTTTAGGAGTCTAACAACGTATGTACTTTGGAAAGAGGAGGAGGAAATCTGGAATGAGGGAAATAGTGAAGACTTGAATGTTCTTTAAAGCTATTTCCTTTTTCGATATAAAAATAGCCCCCCCAACATTAACACAGGGGAGGGTATTTTCATATCTCATTGTCAATGGGAATTTAACATGGATTTCAGTTCTCACACGTTAGGAGGGCACAATCGAAGTTGAATAGCAATTATGACAAGTTCCAGATATCTTCTGTCTGCTAACAGAAGAAAAAGTCAACTCATTTTATGAAAGAAAATAATAATAGGCATTATTAAGCACCTGAAAGGAGCTGAAAATTTACTAATATAATCTCATTCCTGGTTAAGAAAATATACACCAGGAAGAAACAAATAGCATATTTTGCAAACAAGGAAATCAGGACTCAATGAGGATAGGAAAGTTTTCCTGTGGCTGGTCAGTAAGAAAATTAGACAGCAGGAATCAACTCAAGTCTTTCTGACTCTACTTCTTCATGATACCTCTAAATCCTGTCACAAGGATGGCTTTTTGTTTGTTTGTTTGTTTCACCCTAGTGTCATGTGCTCAATTCTGGGAAAGGTGAGAGATTGTGAGCCTTCTATTATTTTTATTCTAAAAGAAGCCCCCCAAAAATGTTGTCCTAAATCGCAAATAACTGTTGTGTGAGCCAATCTCCAGCTCTGGAAGCCTTTGTACTACTTTTCCCAATCACCCCATATGGGTAGTATTTAAGAAAGTTTTCTGAGTTACTTCACTATATTCTTAGTTTTCTTCTTTCTGATCTCCAAGGACACTGGGTAAGAATCATTTGTACTTGCTGATGTATGAAACGTTCTCTTAACAAGCCAAGTCTATCTTGAGGAAGCTGGGTATGCAGTTAGAAATGCCAGGGAATGGGGAAACTGATTATAGGGGCATTCTTCTAATTTTTTTTATTATGAAAATACTGTACAGATGGGGTTACAATTACATGGGCAAGACAATGAGTACATTTCTTATCAAGCATTGTAGCCTCCTCCTTTGTTTCCCCTTCCCATCCCTTCCCAGCCTCCCCCCTTCCCCCCACCAAAGTTGTAAAGTTCGTTTTTCAACATAATGACTTGTATATCTCATTGTTGCAAAGGGTCCACCTGTACCCCTATTTAAAACCATTTGTTTTTTCCCTTCCCCTCCACAAATCATACCAACATCAAATACAGTGAAAGCAGGGGTTATACCGTGGGGGAGGGACATACAAAGCAACAAAGAAATCATCTTATAAATATGTTAGAAACAATCTCATGAAAGAAATAAACATTTGAATACATATCTTAGGGCTCATTTCCCTAACATCAACTTATCTGACCTTTTCTGCTTGATTCAGATGTATACTAGATATTGCAAATAAGGGAAACCATGGGACCTATGTTTCTTTGGGCCTGGCTTACTTCACTTAATATAATTTTTTCCAAGTCTTTCCATTTCCTAACAAATGGGGCAATGTCATTCTTTCTGATGGAGGCATAGAATTCCATTGTGTATATATACCACATTTTCTTGATCCATTCATCTACTGAGGGGCATCTGGGTTGGTTCCACATCTTAGCTATGGTAAATAATACTGCAATAAACATAGTTGTGCTGATAGCTTTAGTGTGGTCTTGTTTGTGATCATTTGGGTAAATGCCCAAAAGTGGGATCGCTGGGTCATAGGGCAGCTCTATGTGGAGTCTTTTGAGGAACCACCATACTGCTTTCCAAAGTGGTTGAACAAGTTTATACTCCCACCGACAATGCAGTAAGGTTCCCTTCTGTACACATCCCCTCCAGCATCTGTTGTTAGTAGATTTCATGATTATAGCCATTCTAACTGGAGTGAGGTGGTATCTCAATGTTGTTTTGATTTGCATTTCTTTTACAGCTAGAGAGGCTGAGCATTTCTTCATGTGTCTATTGGCCATCCTTCTTTCCTCTTCAGTGAAGTTTCTCTTTAAGTCTTTACCCCATTTATTTATTGGGCAGTTATTTCTTTGAAGATTTGTTGTTGGGGGATTTAATTTTTTGAGTTATCCTTCTAAATTTCTATACAATGGAGCTAGCATGCCTTTCCCTCCCTCCTATCTCCCTCTCGCTATGTATGTGTGTTCAATCATAGTTAAGAGATACACTAAGTAAGATGGTTCTTAAGCTGCCCATGATCTAACAACCTACCTTCCCTTTTTTCCAATGGTTCTTTCAAACAATACTAGAGTAGACTCAGCTGAGCTGAGACCTTGTGATTCCTCCTCATGGTAGCCACATGCTGTTTTGTCCCTCGGAGCACCAAGCAGCAGACACTAAACCTTGGCACCAACACTTAGCACTTCCTATGCCAGTGATTCTAGGAAACTTGAACATACACAAAACTTCCGTGGAGTGAATCACTCACTTCAGGATCCTGAAACCCCCCCTGGTGGGCTCTGGTATTCACATGCCAAAGTCTATCCTGGACTTTGGCAGGCTGTCCTTGGTAGCTCAATTTGAGGACAGACAGAACGCTGCCAGAAACTGCCAGAAGCCACATAATTGCCTTTTCAACCACTTTAAATGAATTTTTAAATAACTTTCCTTCAGGGTTATGTTTTGGTTGTTGTTTTGAAAAGAATTTGTAAGTTTTCAAGGCAAGGGAGAAAGCATTGGTTGGGGATTATTACTCTGTACTCATTACATAAGCATAATCACTGCCTATATCATGAACTTTCTACTTTATATACTTTTTATTTATTAAAATGTTTGTTTATCTTTAAGTAGTTGTACAAAGGGCCTTTGAATTTATATACTTCTTAGGTCTTTAATCCTAAAATTATTTTTGTAGTATTAATGGCTCATTTTTAACATGTTCTTTTTCCATTGCTCAACATAATTCCCATACATGTAGGAAGTACAACGATAAGGAAGGAGGAAGGATAAGTAGTAAGGATAAACATATATACACATCCCACACAAAAAAAGAAGTCAAGGATAATGAGGAGACAGCAGAGTCTAGGATGGGAGAAGAAAAGCAGAAGTCCTAGACACATGGGGGAAAATTCACAAGGTCATCTAGGTTTTCATAACAACAGGTTTTAAGGGATTAATAACAGTCCAGCATTGGATACAGGATAGCTAAGGAAGAACAAGAATACTGAGAAAGAGATGAGGTAGAGCCAAAAAGGAGTTAAAGGAGAAAGTCTGGGAAGACCCATGGCTTGAAAAACACTTACCATTCTCAGCTCCTAGCAGATGCCTGGGTCCTAAATGTAGAAAAGTTCAACTGCTCTGCTTCTTAACTGTTCTGCAGGTCAAAGACTTTTGCGCTTGCTAGGCAGAGGCTTTCTGGGAAGCTCTCATAAGAAGAGCAAAGGTGACTGCTTTGAGCAGCTCAGCCCCTCCTCTGGGCAGTACTAACCAGAGTTTGGGGCAGGAGGCACAAGTCCTAGCCAAACCAACCATCTTCACAATAGAACAAACTGCTTGAACTCGTGCAGCATATTGCTATTTTTAGAAATCCTGCAAGGGGAATGGAGTATTATTTTAACTCGACTCCATTTGTGCCTGAGAAAACTAGTCTTTTTTTTTTTTTAAATGGTACCAGTTCTGGGGTTTGAACTCAGGGCCTGGGTACTGTCCCTTGAGTTTTTGTTTGTTTTTCTCAAAGCTAGCGCTCTACCACTTGAGCCACAGTTCCACTTTTTTTCCCCTAGCTAAAAATATGGAACACTTCACAAATTTGCATGTCATCCTTTGCATAGGGGCCATGTTAATCTTCTCTGTATCGTTCAAACTTTAGTATATGTGCTGCCAAAGCAAGCACCCACAGTTCCACTTTTTGGAGATAAAAGTCCCATGGACTTTCCTGTCTGAATTGGGTTTGAACTTCGATCCTCAGATCTCAGCTTCCTGAGCAGGCATGAGCCACTGACATCCAGCTATCAGTCCCTCCTTGGTATAGTCTTGTTTAGGAATGAGGACAAGCATGAACATACTATGTGATACAACCTGGAGGTACCTAGAGGTGGCAGCGTCCTAAGTCGCTATACCAGGACATTTGATAGTTACACCAGGCCTAAGATTTCCACAGCCTAATGGCTCCCCACAATAGACCATACAGTTACACATCAGTCACTTGATTTTTCTGTAGAGTTTTAGGCATCATTTAAAAATATCTCCTGTTTTCTTGACATCCAGTGTCGAGTGAGCTACCACACATGGGCCAGTGCTGAATAGAAAGACTTGCTCTTTGAATCTGCATGTCTTAAGCTAGTCCTATAGCCACACATTGCAAACTAAATCTAGACAAGTATCATAGTCCATTTTGAAGGGCAGGATCAGAACGGTGTTTCTACATTACAGTGGCTCCATTTTGACTGTAAAGACCCATCACTTGGGTCTTTTCTCATTACATGTTCACAGATACTACCTCGGGAGACAAAAAGCAGTCTAAGGTAGGGCTGACCCAAGGGAAACTAAAGTGAGGTGTCAGAGGTAGGCAAGAAGGGGACAACCAAGAGCACAGAGTATGTCAAGGGTAGGGAAGGAACAGCAGAGCAGCTGAGAAAAAGCCCACAGACTTGAATTTGAATCGTGCCTCTGCTGCCTACTATGCCATCTTGTACATATTACTTAACCTCTCTGATCCTCGTATTCTTCATCGATGAAATGAAGATTCACTGCAGTGGGTTATTGGGAGGCTGAAATGAGCTAATAGTGATGTGCTCAGCACAGAGCTTCATACTGCATTGGGTAAGAGCTGAAATGAATGGCAGACATATGCTATCATGATGGCAGTCATGTTGTCATCATTAATAGGATTATTGAGGAAATATAAGCCACCATGCTGACATCTCCTTAAACAGGACATGAAGAAAGGCGGACTGGCTGTAGTTCTGAGTGCCTTCTCCACAGCCCATCCTCCTCTCTCCAGCTTCATGAAATGAAGGGTAAGTATATACAAGTAGTATATCTCAGAGATTATAGGACAGTTGGAAAGGCCTGCTCCTTGCTGGAATTTACAGAAGTTTGTTTTTCCAAAGTACACTTTTAACCTCATTGATTGAGACATGATCATTCTGTTTATATTCCAGAAGTCTGGCCAGAAGTTTACTTGACCACACTAGCTAGGGAGAAAAGAAGGTTGCTACAGCAGCATAAACTCATGTTCACATGATTCCTTACTATTTAGGAGAGTCAACTTTGAGATATTCAGATATGCCTTTTTAAAAAAAATGCTGAATTGACAACTACAATTTAGACAGAGGCTGTAGCTCCCAGACTAGGCTTTCATACGTTTATTACAGATACTTCTAGTTCCAAGCTCTAAATTAAAACAAAACATTAGTAGCATCAGCAAGTTTTTCTCCAGGAGATAAAATTCTGGACTAAGGATACTTATTTTTCAGTAAAGTTGTTTATTCTGTAATGCATATTAAAACCAGTGGCCAAAGCCGAGTGCTGATGGGTTACATCTATAATCCTAGCTACTGAGGAGGCTGAGCTCTGAAGATGGAGGTTTGAAGCCAGACTCGGCAGGAAAGTCTATGAGACTCTTTTCTCCAGTTCATCACACAGAGAAAGCTGGAAGTGGTGCTGTACCTCAAGTGGTAGAGTGCTAGCCTTGAAAAAAGGAGCTTCAGGACAGCACCCAGAGTTCAAAGCCCAGGACAGGAGGAGAGGGGGTTGAAGGTGGGGAGGGAATCAATGGCCAGAGCCTCTGTTAGGTAGTAATCTGTCTTTATTCCTTTCTTTGACAGGCATAAATATTTTCTATTTTAAGAAGGGTATAAGGGCTGAGGACATGGCTCAAGTGATAGAGTTCTTACCTAGCAAGTTCCAGGTCATGAGTTCAAATCCTATTATCTAAAAGAGGGGAGAGGTATGTCCAGAGACAGAGCTATCACTGAGGAGGCAGTACCACAGACAGAGCTGAGGAGGTCCTGTTGGAACCACAGACAATATCAAAACCACAAACCACAAATCTAGAAATCCAGAGAACCTCTCAAAAGTTAAAAATTTAAAAGAACCCAGTTTCTTTCATTTGTAAAAAGCCTTTATCTAACTAAATATATCAGTGATACATGCCTAGCTAGATATGTCATCTAGGCAGAGATGGGGGCGTGAGATGGAATCTACCCTATTTTTAAAGATCTCCAGGGAAGACAACTTCTTTGGAACTTGTGTTGCAGTATAATCATCTTTTTTTATTATGCATTTTAAATGTTTAACCTCATTTTTTGCTTTTTATTCTTTAAGGCTGTTTCTTCCTTTTTTGGTGTTTGAAATTATATATTAGGCCTATTTCTAAATATATGTGACGAGTTTGTCTTATCATCTCTTTCCATGTTAACTTCTGGGAAAAATATTCCTCTATTTCCTCTGTGGCAGACCTGATGTGTCCAAAATGCAGGCACTACCATCAGTTAGGGTTGCTAGGTGTGGTGGCTCAGTGTGAGACCATGAAACCCTGTCTCAAGACCAACAGCCAAGCTGACTAAGGAGTCAATGATGAACCTAAAGCAATCTTCCAGTCCCATGGGAGCCATTGTTTTCTCCACAGGACTTCTCCAAGAGGTTTCCCTTAACTTGTTTTTTTTGTAAGATTTTTTGACACCTGGACTTCTTTCTGCCAAAAAAGAATATCTTAGACACAGATGTGACTGTCTTCCTCAGCAGATCAAATTCCAACTCAGCTCTTTCTTGAAATGCTTTTCAGCTTGGTTGAAATCCTTATTTTCAGAAAATATATCCCACCATGACTTATTCTTATACCTAAACTCTCTTTAGGAATTCTCAAAGAAAGACACTCTGAGGGCCCATAACAGGGAGGCCAGGGACAAATTACCTATGTGGGCACCTAGTAATGCTTCTTTGTTAAGACTTTGGCATACCTACCTCTTGCCCATCCACCATAATTGCTTAATTTCCAAGTCACTACTCAGGACACTCACATAACAGGCCCTGGGTGGTTGGTTCAGGCAGCTTTTCTCAGAGCCCCACATGTTCTGAACATTATAACTAAACTATGATGGATACTACCCCATTAATCAGATAAACACTAAGGGAATAGGATTAAAATATCATCTGGATAGATTCCGGTTATACAGCCCAAGAGGAGTGAGACACTATCACAAAACACAAAGTTAGAGGGAAGCAAAAGAAATGGGAGACAGCCCTTAGGCACCAGGGAAAAAACCCAAGGTAAAAAGAAAGTAACAGCACCAGTACAAGGAAGGCACACACTTTCCTTTAATTACCTTCAGATTTAGGACTAGGAGTAGATGCAGGAAACTGGTAGGTAGGAGTGTAAGGGTTGTCCTCTGCAGCAGAGAAAAGTAGTGGGTTTTGAAACTATCCACCGTGAAGTGGAGGGACTGACAGATCCCCAAATGACTCTTTCAAATGTTTGGTTACCTATTTTAGTGTTATTAAAGCACACAGGCATCACACTTAAAATAGATTAATGAATTAGAAAGGATTTAGTTATTTTAATGTAGCACATCATGCAAATGAGTAAAATAAAATTTTCACCAGCAAAAAACCCCCACAAAAACAACCTGTAAAAATAAAATCTAAAAGCCAAATTCCATTATGCCTATAATGGAAAGCTAAGAACTAATTTAAGGCTATGGCAACAGATACACTGTCTAAGTTGATTGTACCTTCAGAATTTTGCTGGATTTCAGGAAGTTCAGGGAATTTGTACGTAGGGAAATAAGGGTTTTCTTCAGGAGTGTCTAGGCAGAGGAGCAAGTTTGAGAAAGAGAATAGAGGAAGATACAAATGGAGACAATGAACGAATAGGAATCACATATAATTTAAGGCTCCTTGAATTGTGGAAGACAATAAGCTTCAGTAATCATATGAAAGAAATCCAAATTGCTTTTAGAAAAATCCAGTCTTTTGCCTGAATTATTGAGACACATCAAAAAAGGCACTATCATCATTTTTCTTGGACCAAGAATTACATATAACCAGATGCTAATGAGCAAGAAGCATTTAATATAAACTTTCAAGTTTTCAGTTTTTATCAGATATATTAAGTATGACAAGTCATATACATAAAGAAAACACTATCCTAAAATATTTTTTTAAATCAAAGCTTATGTTGTAGACATTAGAATCAAGGCAAACAAGTGGAGTCTTAATTTTTCAAATACCTTTTCCAACTATTAGAGCAGGTAGTTTTGTTTAGAAACTCTAATTTAGTTGAGTTAATAGCTATAATAAGAGAAGTCCAGTGCTGCCCATGGGACAGAATTAGACATTCTGCGCATAATACATGCACTTGTTCCTGCATTTAGATTTTTGAAGCTGTGTTTGAAGATGAGAGGTCAGATATCACTAGAGGAAATGGGACAGTAACTTTAGGAAGTAAGTGGAACTGACCTATCAGATGACAACAATCCAGCATTCAGCATCACCAGGAGTGAGCTTATCCACCCATAGCAGATTTACTGTTGATCCCAAATGCTCAACACTAAGCATCTTTTTATTTAAAAACTGTTTGAAGAGGTTCATGTGAACTCAGAAAGAGCTAATTAACAGTGACATTATTTGGCATCCACAGCTAAGCAGAACGATTAGATATTTGTGACTTTGGTGGGACTCACTGACCAGGACACCCTCATGTGTCTTTCATGCCAGGTGGCCAGACTGGATTTGGGCACAGGGAAGAGTAGGATGCTCTGCCTGCAGGAGGATAGCATCCTTTCCCAGCTGCAGTGACATCTTGCTGACTGGCAGATCAGATGATTAGCAGCATAGGTGGCAATGAGAGCTGCTGGGGTTGTGACTTGCCAGAGCACTGGCTTCCCCACCATGCTAGGTCACTTGCTGACAGCCCAGTGGGCCTCTGATTTGAAAACATCTCTCAGGTTGAGCAGGCTCTAGTGTGTCAGCTCTTGACTGATTCTCAGGGCACCTGACAAGGCTGGCTACAAGATGGAGAAGCTTATTTTTCATATTAACACAGCCTTAGATATGGACTCTACTTCACAAAGCCCAAAGTAGACACCAGACATCCTTCTAAGGATGGGAAGCAGAACCAACACAGTGATACATGATTGACACAAGATCACCTGAGTGCATGAGGGGCTGAATCTAGGTGAGAACAACCTTTCTTAACTTCCAGCTCCGTTTTTTGTTGTTTTTTTCAACTTGCCTTGCCAACATGGAAGTCATGGGCTGACACAGAAAGTATCTAAAGCTGGAAGCAGGTGGGAGATGAAGCTGCTCTCACCCCAGGCAGATAAGGTATGCAGCACAGATACAGTGTGAGGCTCAGCTTGCTGCATTCCACAACAGCTGGGAGGGAGGACTATGATCTGACTCAAATTCCAAAGCCATTATAGGCATGCACTGTGTCCTCCCTCCCTCCTGTGATCTGAAAGCACATGGGTGGGCTCGGGCAGACCAGTACCTAACAGGACCCAACTGCAGAACCCAGTCCTGGAGTCCAGGCAAAGTGAGTTCAGGTCCACATCTGACAATCGAAATATTGGCACATAGCATAGCTTAGCTTCTACAAATGAAAAATCAGTACCTCTATTTAGTTTGTGGATCTGTTTAAACATCGTCTTGTACCAGTCTTTTGATCTCTCAGTATTCTAGAGAAAAACAAAGGCAGGAGATAAGATGAGATGGAACTTGTGGCACATTCCTGAACTGCTATGATTACAAAATCAAAACCAAACAAGTAAATGACAACATTTTAACTTAAAATTCAGCCACATTTATGTCTTTATTTTTATATTTTTTATTGTGATTAAGTGATTACATAAATTTTACAAATTTCACAGTATTGTGAGATAGTGATACTTAAAGTCACAAGCACATTCTAAGCTTCATAAGGCAAATTGTCATTATCGTGGTCTATAAAGTTTGTGCATTCTATGGGCTTTGACAATACAATTATTTCTTCTACATCTGGTGATATGTACATTTCTTTGCTGATGGCTCACACCTGTAACCCTATCTACTCAAGAGGCTAAGATCTAAGGATGATGGTTCAAAACCAACCTAGGCAGGAAAAGTCTGAGAGACTCTTGTCTTCAATTAACCACCAGAAGACCAGGAGTGGCATTGCGGCTCAAGTGGTACAGCATTAACCTTGAGTGAAAAACTCAGGGATGACACCCAGACCCTGAGTTCAAGCCCCATGACTGACCAAAAAAAAAAAAAAAAGGTAAAAATCTGAGAGAAAAAAAATCCAAGAAATTCAGACATAATTCTGTAGAATAATATTTGGATAACAAATACAATTTTTGAAAAAACACAATGTGTGGGGTTTTTTTTAATGTGTCCATTCTTCATTTTCTTTCTTTCTTTTTTTTTTTTTCTTGTCAGTTGTAGGGCTTGAACTCTGGGCCTGGGCACTGTCCCTCAGCTCTTCAGCTCAAGTCTAGCATTTACCGCTTGAGCCACAGTGCCACTTCTAGTTTTCTGGTACTTTATTGGAGATAAGAGTTTCACAGATTTTCCTACCCGGGCTGGCTTTGAACCGTGATCTTCAGATCACAGCCTCCTGAATAACTAGGAGCCACTGGTGCCCTGCCATTCTTCACTTTTTTTTACATTTCACTTTTCAGAGAGATTCTCTGTATATGTACACACTATCAGAAACTGAAATAAATCTTCCTAAAATCGTGAGATGGAGAATATTTGCTTATGATGCTCTATCCCTGGCCCTTCTGGGTTATTCTGTATAAATATATCTAAGTCACCTTGCATAGGCCAGATATAGAATACCTACATTAAAATGTAACCCATTGTAACCTCCAATGCAAGAATTTTCAACTTTACCACAAAGCTAGAGCTTTTTTTAAAAAAAGATAAAAATAACAAAAGGAAGGTGACACATAGCTGGTTAGAGCAGGTATTTTTACTCCCACTTTACAGATGAGGAAATGAGATAGGGAAACTTAAAATGAGTTGTCTGAGGTCATAGAGGTGAGTGGAAGGGCCACTTAACATGATAGGGGCAAGCTTGGGAGAGTAATGTTACCCTTGGAATCCCTGTTTCCTGGTGATTATAGTTTGATTGAGAGTCCCTTAAAGGTCCATATGTAAAGGCTTGGTCCCCAATATGGTGGTATGGGGAGACGCCACGGACCTTGAGGAAGGTGAACCTAGTGGGAACTTCTTAGGTCACAAGAATGAGTTCCACAAGGGACTGTGGGATTCCATTCCACCCATCCTCCCTCTTTCTGCTTCCTGACTCATCTATGAGCACTCCCTCCCACATGCGCTCCTGTCAAGACAGACCCCCTTCACCAGAGACCTAGAGCAAGGTGGTCACTCAGTTTTGACTTGAACCTCTTGAACCATGAGCTCTTTATTTTATAAGCAGCCTATAGTGATGCAAAACTCATCTACAAAATGGAGCAGCATACACTACTCACTCGAGTGGTAATGTTTAACTGAGATAATGTGCCCCCCAAAACGAGTTGTATTCATGCCTAGCACTCTCTTTTTCTATTATTACTTATGAAGAGTTCCTTCAAAGCCTAGCTCTAAGATGTTTCTATTGGCTTCCTTCAAAACGATATAAGAACAGTCCCTTCTCCAAACAGAAATCACAGAAGAACATATGGCAGCCAAGGGTCTGTGAACAAATGTAGAAGAATGGAATTCATCTGAACTCAATTTCAAAGGAAACCTGGTAGGAGGACCGACTTGGCTGACAGACCCACCCTGTCCTGTAGGACTTGGTGGGCTAAATCCTTTGTGGCTCCTTTGGTGTCTCTCATTTGGATGATGGGGTAAATCTCATCCACAGATCTTCTTCCTGAATCCAGAACCAGGGATCATGGGCCTCAAACTCTCCTCAAGGTGCCCTAGTCCTGGATCAGGAGATGCTGAATGGGCTTCACAGAACAATAATAAAGGCATATCACCTAGGACATTCTCCACTGAGCATTCACAAGACATAAGCCTCTCATGTTCTGCTGCAGAGAAATCTCTCCAACGTTGTTCCACCCAAATATTCTTTTTATCTATGAGATACATTAATACCCCACACTCACTTTCAGAAAAGCTATTGTACACCAAGTCTGGAACATTGCTTATCAAGGGTCTGGCACTTAGGGTCAGGCACCACAAGTGAGGATCCTCTCCTCTAGGCCTCTTATCTATGGATGGGGTTCATGGGCAACCACAGCTGCACACTGTCATCCTTGTCTAAGCTGAAGTGTAAGAAGGATCTGAGGTCCAACTTCCTACCCGCAGTGGGATGCCCACTTCATCCATGGACACATCGCTTAGATCTTGTGCACTCTTCACCACCCGTCTGCCATCATCCTTCACTCGTTTTTCAGCAGCTCTGCTGGGTGAGGTGGGTTTTTCCTGGATTGGTGCTGTGTCCTGCTCACCCAATCTTCTCTCTGAGACAGGATCTGGAAATGAAAAATGATCATTAGCTGAAGTTCTTCTGGCAGCACCAAAGCCAAGAACTCCTAGACAGTCTAGCTAGGGGAAAGTCGTTGCTAATTCCCAACTAGTACTAGTTCTACTTAGAGGAGGGGTCAGTAAACTCCTCAGCTACCTGTTGTTGTAAATAAAGTTTTATTGGAACATAGCCATGCCAGTTCATTTATATATTATTTATGAATAGTTCTGTGCTACAATTGCTGAGCTTGGATAACTGGGACCATATGGCCTAGAAAGCCTAAAGTATTTATTATCTTTTAAATTAAAAAAATTAAAAACACTTTGCAGACACTAGTTTTGTAGAAGTATGCTCACTGTGCTCTGAACATTCAAGTAGTTTTGACTATTGTAAAAACAATTTTAAACAGTTGGCAAAATGTCATTGGAATGTTCTTGCTTCATCTGGGGAAGTCATTTAACTTTTCCCCATGTTTTCTCACAAAAAAAATAGGGATAATATTTTTCCTCTGGCAAGTTCACAGTAATGTGATGACAGGATTTATCAAGATAGCTTAAGCCAAAGTACTCAAATCACCTAGCACATTGCTCGGTGATCTTTACAGTTTAACTTGGTTCAAGGTTGGAAGTAATAGAGAGCTAATAAACACACCAGGTATGGTCTACAGATTACACTTACAATCTGTTATTCTAATCTATGTCAATCACTTATTGGAGATGCACTTACTAAGCCTACAGTCATGAGGGTGAATATCTCAGAATCCTAGCCTTCAGGGAGCTTAAACTCTAGTGGGCAGAAAGAGCAAGTGAGTCAGCAATGAGAATATAGAATGATGAAAGCTGAGAGAACAGCCAAAGTCCAACTCAGCTGAGAACTCAGGTTCAGAGCCATCTTGTTTAAGGAGAAGCCAACCAGAGGAAAAGAAAGTAGAGTGTGCTTCTGACAGAGGGAACAGTACAAGCAGATGCTTAGCTACCTTGAAATACTCTAACCTAATTATGGGACAGGCATTGCACTCAACTCTTGCACTTTGTGAAGACAGTGAAACAAAGGTAGAAATTCTCTAAAGATCCCCCCTAGTCTCACCCCTCGGGTGAGACTCCTTGGCAGAGTGAAGTTTTGGCAGCACAAAAGTGATGGCCAAGGTCAATGAGATGGCAGAGCTCAGCAACAAAAAGAGATAACAGCAGAGCCAAAGTCTGAGGGATGCCACAGATAGAGGCTAAAAAGTAGAACCCCAAGTGGATGTGGGAGTCATCTGGTGGATGGGAGATGAATCAAGACATACATCAGAGTGCCATGAAACCAGAAGAGAGAGTTCCAAGAGGGGGGTGATTAAACATGTCAAAAAAAAAAAAAAGAAAGAAAGAAAATTTCCCAGAGATTGAAGCAGAGGAGGAGGCCTTAGATAAGCAAGAAGAAAGTCACAGAACACTGAGGGCACAATTTCAGGAGAGCAGTGCAGGTACCAGATTGCAGGGAAGGGGATAAATGTGGTACACATGAAGTAGAGAGGAAATCTAACACAAAGGAAGAAGGGTATCAGAGTGTAAGTGGAGAGGTCAATGAAGTAAAAAGGTTTAGGCCAAGGGAGCCTTCAATTCTATCAGTGAAGTCCATGAGGGGAGAATAGAGGGCCTCAAAATGAGCCTCAAAAGTCAAAAAGTACTTATTGTTTGGCTGAAGAGAGGTGCAGAGTACTGGTTGGAGGACTAGATAGACAAAATAGGGGGCTCTGGGGGTCCATGCAAAGTTCTGACAAAGTCAGAGGGGTCTGTGTATGGAGGGGAGACCAGGGAAGCAGACGACGGTGAAGTCAGCAGATTCAGGTTTTACAACCTTCAGTCTATTCAGCAGGTGATTCTGCCCAGATTTCATGTACACTTTTTGAGACCTCTACTTCATCTGGGAGTGCAGAACTATTTCTAAACATTCTTTGTGCTACTTTGCTTGCTGAGTGCTTCAGAAAACCTGATCTCTGACATTATTGCCATAAACTTCAAAGACTCAAAGCTTCATAGCATGAGTTCCCATGCTCCCAGGAAATTCTGACATGAGGCCAAAGTTTTGGCAGAAAGCCAAGACATACATGTGGGTTTCAAGCTACCTGAGTCTACCCTTAGACTTGGCTCTCATGATCAAATTCTGAATCTACTAATATGTAGTTAGAGGCCTTTTATACCTATTTTATGATTCCATTCAAACTTCCACAGGCAAGAATGAGCCCCAACAACACCATCTCCCCTTTTTTCCCCCATAACTACCTGGGCTCAGCAACCTGGGTTGGGCCAAGGGAATAAAGTAGAATGGGGTGTGGCAGCTCCAGGATGGGCATTGAAGGGCACCTTGAGCTTAACCACAGCCTGTCCTGGTCCTGTGGCCAAGTCCTGATAAAGCGAGAGTGTGTGAGAACCTAATGTCCTTCCTACCCAGACTCTGCCCAAATCACAAGGGCAGCAAAAGGACAAAGTCATGCAGAAACCATACAGCAGCTGCTCAGAAATGATGGCTTCAATTATCCACCAGATCAGGGGCACTTAACTCCGGAATTCATCCACAGCATTCACATGCACATTTGTGAACATGTGGCTTCTACTAGAGAATGAATCTACTGCCTCCATAATATTCTCACAAGGAGAGTACAACTAAAAAAAAGATGACAAGACATCATACTACATCATTACTTTTCTATGTGCATCATACTTCTCTGATGCAGCCCAGAGCTTGGCCCAGTATCCAGAAAAAAGGAGAAATTCAGTAAGAGGCCCTTGCTGGAAATAGTAGCTCACATATAATAAGCACTTAATGAGTACCAAAGCTCAGTGCAAAGTTGTTCGTTAGCAGACTCTGTTGAGATCTTAAGAAACCACAAAACACAATTACTTTCCCCTTCAGAATAAAAGTCCAAAGCCCAGTACTAGGGCTGTGGTTTATCATGCTTGTAACTCTAAGGCCTTGAGTTTAATCCCCAGTGTTACAAAAACAAATAAACACAACAAAAGCCCCTGAATTGAAGGGATATCAGATAATCGGTCTGTGGTAGCACTGGGAGTTAGTGGTCGAAAAAGACTTAAAAGTAGAGTGGCATAGTTTGGGAATGTAGCTCAGTGGCAGAATACTTGCCTAGCATGTGCTAAGTCTGGGGTTATTCCCTAGCACTTCCAGAAAAAAAAATCAAATGAAGTAGAATGGCTACAGGAATCTTGCAGAGAAAGGCCAATTATCACTATTCCTGTGTTTTCTCACAATTTCAGCCTCCACATTTGTTCCCTCCCCATCTTAATACTGTCCCGTTTGGTACACTTTCTCTGGGAGTGAGCTCTGATACCAGATTATATTTGAAGTCACTCTCCCTCACTGGTTGATAATCCACTCATCAAACAAAGCCAACAGTAAGTGAGGTATCAGCATCATGAAGCAGCTGGCTAGAAATGCTCTCCAGAAGATCATGCTACAAGTTCAAGAAGCAGTTCCAGACACTGCTGATCTGGAGGACTCTCTCCTGGACCTATCATTCCAGCATCACCCAATTATATTTGAACTTGTCACCCCAAAAGAAAAGAACTTTCCCACATTTAAAAACTTTTGATTTGCCTATCCTAGAAGACAGAAACCAACAGAAAGACAAGCTCTTCTAAAGCCTGCCATAAACACTGCATCTACAGCAGAATCCTTTTGCTCTTTACCTAGAACATATGATGCTTCCCAGTAAGCATCAATTCCTTAGCACAGTTCCACAGGATATACTTGCCAGTTGCGTTCTAGAATGCAGATGCTATTCCTCTCTATTTACCACCACTGTGGTCCAGTCATTCACTCATAGGAAAGCTCAGAAGACAGTGATGATTGAACATTGGGTGGAAACCAAAAACTAGCTTTAACAGGAACAGGATTAACAGGTAAATAATTTTCTCACTTACCTGAAAGGCTACTCAGTCGTTTCTGTTGTTCTGTGATAAAAGAAAATATACAGTGTGAGCACATGGTAAGGCCAACAAATCCTGGCATAAGTTAGGATCCTGGCCTGGTCCTCACTATTCTCTGGGCTTAGATGCTAAAATATACAGCCCAGCTGGAGGCAGCCTTAATAATATGGCTCCCATTATCCAAGTGTGATGCCTCCTAATTTCCTGCTATCCAGATTAGCACCAGGACATAGGACTGCCAAGGTTTATGTGTCATCTCAAGATGATCTCCTCACTGAAGGGGACTCTCTTGACTCCTCTGGTTCCACATGAACAGGCCTATACTGATCCTTCTTTTGCTACTTTTGAGGGAAATGAAATGAAATTACAGATATGATAGCTACCATCTTCTGAAAGTACACATTGTACTTATGATCTTAGCATAGCCCTACCAGTTAGGTACAATTATTTTCCTTAGCTATGATAGCCATCTGGATGGTGCAAGGTAAAGAATAATCTCTTTTAAAAAAAATCAGCATTAGCCAAGAGATCTCAGCTAAGGGGCCTAAATGACCAAGATAACACTGGAAATCATATGAATCTAAAACCTAAGTCTCTCAACTCATAGTCTAGGGTTCTTTCAAATTCTAGTCACAAAGCCCTCCATTGGCATTAACATCAAAGCTCTACTGGTAGCTCGTACTCCTGGGTAACAGTGTGGAGGGAAGGCCAACATCTCCTTTGGAGAGTCCTGGGTGTACTTGCTGTGCGATAAACACAAAAATGACCTTTACCTTCCATAGCTGCTAAATATAAAGCAGCCACATAGATAAAAATAGAACATTTGCCAGCCCATGGGTGCTGTCATCATCCCCTCTGGCCACATTCCCACCCTCCCACAGGAATTAGGGTAGGCCAGAAGTAAACAGCAGCAGGGAGTTCATAGATCATGATGTGGCAGCTGGTCACTTCTAGTGCATGGATAGGGTTCACACTAGCTGGACAAGAAACCCAACAGAGCCCCAGGCTTGCTCTAGATGACAATAGCTAATTGAGTAACGCTTCTGCCTTAGTTTCCTAATCTGTGATATCCAGATTCTCTATGGTATCAAAAAGGATCTATGGTTGCCAAACTCTGTTCTATAGGTTGTTGCCAGGATCCTCATCAGCTGGCCAAACCAAATGTATACAGTTTAAATGTCTATGTTGTTTCCACTTCTGGGGTATGACATGGCATTTCTTTCATAGGAAGTCACACAGGCAGTAGTAGCTGTTTTTCAGTGGTGTTACACAGAAAGTTAGAAATTAGCAGCACAAGGTGACCCCCAGACTGCTTCACATGTCCACAGATAACATGTGAGGAGTTTAAACACTTCTTCTCCAGTGTGGTCCACAGCCAGCAGTGGCAACATATCCACAGGAGTTTCCTAAAAATGCATTTTTTTGAACCCTGCAAAGTCAACACAATTCAAAGGATGTACAATAAAGACCTTGAAATCCTGAGAAAGAGCACCAGGTGCCTCTTTCAGTCCTCAGAGTTTCCTGATTCAAATCCTCTTTCCCAGACTGATGGTAGGAGATGTCCTAACATAATGGTACGAAGAGGCTAAGATCTGAGGATCATGGTTTGAAGAAGGAAGTCCATGAGACACTTATCTCCACTTAACCAACAAAAAGTTGGAAGTGGAGCTGTGGTTCAAATGGTAGAGCACTAGCCTTAATCCAAAAAGCTCAGGGACAGTGTTCAGGTCCTAAATTCAAGCCCTAGGAAAAGCACGCACACACACGTGCGCTCACACATGTACACACACACACACACACACACACACACGCACATACACACACACAACACAAAAAGGGAAAAGGAGACTGTTGTTCACAATCATCAGTGCTAACACATAAGCTCAGTTCCTCCCCCAGGAAAGTCTATTTCTCATAGGAAGAGGCTGGCTTAGAGAGATAGTTATTGTCATCTGTGCCCTGGGACAATTTAGAACCCCTCCCCCCCAAAAAGAAAGGAAAAATTTTAAGATGCCTAAACTAAAATTTCAGAAGTAAAGTTACTATTCCCTCAGAAAACTTTGCAAGAGTTAAGTAATTGTTCTGCCAGGCTGGGAAAATTCCAAAGCAGTGCCAAAATGCTTGTCCTAACACCTATTTATGATTAGTAAATAGCCAGGCTCCTCCGTTCTTCTCTACTCCCCCTGCCCTACCTACAGGTGAACCCATGGTTTTACTCTTAATGGGAAGCTACAATTTAATGCCAACATCCTTTTCTGGAATGATGTGTCTCTAGGGCTACCCAATTCTGATTTTTAAACACAAAAACAGAACTTGGCCAAAAGAAAAAGGCAAGAACTAAAGGCAATTGGGTAAATAAGAGTTCATTTATTCAAGGAAGAAACAAAGAGGAACTGTAGGCATTCCTGTGTCCAAAAATGTCTCACTAGGTGTCATCACAGGGACTTGGCAGAAGCAACTGACATTACATTTGGCATTTCCCAAAACCAAGTTGCCTTGGGAATAAACTCCATTTTTAAAAAAATTTTCCTTTTCCTTTCCTTTTGCTTCTGACTAGATTTTTTTTAAGTCATAAAGAAGCTCAGAGGGAAGCAAAATTTCACTTTGTCCTGCATTAAAAACACTCTCTAAACAAGGAGAGTTACTGGCAGTAAGGGGATGGTAGAGCTAGAAGGAAAATGAGCTCCTACAAGGGCCTGGAACCCTTTGTTTCTTTTAAAGAACACAGATTCATGAGTGAGAATTAATAATGGGAACAACATAGCATGCAGAATAAATAATAAATATGTCAACAATCTGCTAAAGCAACTATTTACAGTTTGAATAGGAATATTTTAAGTGAGAGAAAATGTTTTATGCATCTTCAAGTTAGATGCTGGAAACTGAAAAATCTATTTTGTATGAAAAATAATTAAAAATAGACTTTAGTTACATTCCCATCCAAGTTAATGTAGAGAGGAAGAGACCAGGATGAGGAGGAAATTATGAAGTAGGTGAAAAGGGAGTCAAGAACAGGAAGACTTGGAACCAAGCTTTGAGCTCTGAACACAGTAAGTAAGCCTCCATTGTGCTGTGAATTTATACTGAAAAGTCCTGTCTATAATGGGGGGCAGCCTAAAAACTTTCATGCTGCAAAGGGCAAGTTTATTCCTCAATGGAATTCCAAAAAGGAAAACTTGGGATGTAGATCCACCGTCTGTACTCTTAAAGCACAAGGGTCAACTTATATAATTACCACTTCAAAGCTCTTGTGTTTTACTAACTCCCAACTCCCCATTTAGAACTGCATCAGAACCAACCAGAGCAGTCAGAGAAAGTTTAGAAACAACACATGAAAACCCTACACAGAATCCTACATCTGGGTCTTGTGGGGCAGCCACAGCCACAGGATCCTATGGATAGTAACTGCCCTAAGAGAAGGACAGTGAGTCATTAGGAGAAAACCCAATCATCTATTTTAGTTAGAAAAAAACCATGTTTTATATTTTAGAGACTTTTTTTCCTCCCCAATATGTTTCCTTTTTAGATTTAGTACTCAAAATTACGTTTTCTAGGAATTTATCATGTTGAAGAACTAAATTATTTATGACACTACTTTAAAAAGGACTATCTAGACTTTCCAAACAAAGCCTCATTTGAAATCACAGAACAAAAAATTTAAGAGACACAGATGTGTTTTGGTGATATCATCTGAAGAACCATGAACACCAGTCCAAGGTATGGTTCATATGATTACAGTTGCCCAGCTTACCTACTCAGGCATTTGACATAATTCCAAATTGAAATGTAGGAGGGAGTAAACTGGAGCAGGTGGCCCAAGACAGGTCCATTTCTTGAGATGATAAAATTCTTGTCCCAGCTATCACATAATAGCTATTGTGCATTGGAGATGGGACTACAAGAGGACTCCCTTACCTCTATTGTGCTGTAACAACACAATGGTGGGGTTGACAATAGTGGTGGAAGGGTAGGCAGATGATGGCTTGCTGGTTGGTGGAAAGGCTTGGGAATCAGTTCCAATGGGGGGAGAAGAAACTTCATTTAATAGAGGACTGGAAGCCTAAAAAGGAAACAAACATAAATAACTATAAAATACAAGAAATCTACAGTTAATAGTTTTTTTAAAAGAGAAGAAATGAACCTTAATTATAAAAGGAAATGTAATCAGTAAGACATAACATCATTAATTCCAGTTAAAAGTTTAATCTGGAATGCTTAGTCTCTTTGTTGTTATTAGTAAGGGGAACGAGAGGGAAGGTGAATATTGCTGAAAGTCTCAGCAACATCATTCAATATTTTCATCTGATAAGAGTGATGGGTCAATCCGGTTACTGAAAAAGCAAATTCCAATCCAAGTAGAATGACATGCAAAACTCATGCAATTCCAAATGCAATCTAAGAACAAGAGCTGCTTAAGTGGGAAAAATCAGGGAAGTTTAGTATACTGTGTAGAAAACTGGGAGATGTGAGGACACAAAATAATCATAAGAACAAGGAAGAGTTAAGTGACAGTTCTTTCAGAAGGCTACTCTAAGCATCAGAATCTCCAAGCAGAATCTCCAAGCAATTATACTGGCATTTGTTTCTGAGCTATCAATATAATTATATGATTCCATCATGCTGTTACCTTTTTTTTCATTCTAATGCTAGAGTGACAAAGATCTCTGAAGTAAGGACTTGAAAGGATTCTAACTCTAAAAACCTGCAATCTCTACCAGATGTGCTAACGAAATTATCATTACTATTTTAATCTGCATGAGCAGGATAATGCCAGTTTCAAAAGAACAAAGCAAAGCCTGACAATAGTCACTTAATGGAATAAGGATATCCAAACAATGTCTTTCATTCTATCTATATACTTTGTAAAGCTCCTATTATAGAAGTTACAAACCTTAAAGCCAAGATGATTTTCTTAAAGGCTTAAACAAAATTTTTATAGCTACTCTTGAAGCAATTATTAGACTGTGTGAATATATGCAGGACAAGGACCAAGACTCCCCCTTCTTTCTGCCACCACCCAGAACACTGCCCTGCAGATAGCAGGCGCCAGTAAATGCCAGGTGAAGGACAGGAGTTATCTACCAGTAAGGGTATGTTTTGACTTAATCTCTGTGATAAGGCAACGTACTCATCAAAAGAGAGAAAGTGTGTACTTGTAGCACCTGGAACAGCTCCTGACACACAGTAGAAACTTTACTAACACAGTCTTGGCCAATCTCCCTGCCCTCTGGAAGTTTCCTCTATAGTCACCACTGTCAGTTACAAGCAGCAGCTCAGTTTCACAGTGTACAGTGCATCATTTCAGCTCCTCCATTGGAACTGAAAATTTCCTAATTTATCTCTGCTCCAATTTAATGAGAAATGTCAAATTTAAAAAGCCTCTACAGTGTACTCAAGAAACACAAAATAACAGGCATACAGCTCTTTAGAGCAGAAATGCCTGATGTGATATCTGGGTAAATTATGTGAACATTAAGTATTTTACAAATTTTACTTGTATCTTACTTCTGGAAACGTAGAAAAACTACTATTGACTAAAATGAACTGGATGAATTCATATGACTCTACTCCTCTCTGATGTTCTCAAATAGCTGCAGGTGGAGCAGGTATCAGCTCATGGCCCAGAAACCATGCTCAAAGGCACTCAGAGAAGTTCCTTCTTCATCTCTTACTGTTACCTGAGCCCAACGAGTAGATGTTATTGGGCCCACTTCCAGGAAGGCTGCACTAGAGAAAATTGAGGAGACTGTCCTTACTAATCTGTCCCAAAACAAATTCAATAGGCAGGTCCAGAACTATACAAATGCTATATTTTAGAATATACAATAGAACATCTTACAATGGCACCTGAGTGCATTACAAATAAGATTCGCTCTACCTGCTGCTCTTGAAAAATATATTGTGTGTCTAAGGGAAGATGTCTGTGTGCCCCAAGCGAGTGGCTTCTAATTTCCCTAGAAGTTCAGCTGGGGATAGAGGGTATATCAGCCCAAAGCAGGGCTGTTATAAAGCTCAAAAGTAGGAGATCCAAATTCTTGGATCATATTGGGATTGGTCCATATTTAGAAATGTAGTGCTGCATCTAGAGGTTTGAGACAAGGTCTAGCCCAGGATATAATAGTTCCTAGCTTTAGTGTGTCTGAAGCCTCCTTATAATTTCTCTAATAAGGCAAAGAATGATGCCTCCTTATAATTTCTCTAATAAGGCAAAGAAATTTCCTTTCCTGTTTTCTACATGATTGGCTTCAGCTTAACAAGCTACATGAATGATGCTTTGTAGGCAAACCTCTTCACACAAAAGGATGTCTGTGAATGCTTAGTTTCATCAGCCAAATGCATGACTCAACAGCTCTCTGTATATCAAAATTGGTCTGTGGACCACTGGGGTGGCTGAGGCCAAATGAGAGTCCGGGCCCCTCCCTAGACCCAATCAGAAATTCTAGTAATATAAACTAACTTCTATGACTCTCAGATGAAACAGTATACGTTAACCCTGAGAACTGATACACTACCTAAAAAAATCATTTCAGAGTAGGGGGGCCCTGACTCATTTGTCAAGGTACCTAGATACTTTGGTACCTAGGACAACACTTAGAATGTGGACTCAATGATTAACTCACCTGGTTAATTAGCCAAATGTTGTTGTTGTTTGAGTGACTATGGTTCCTCATTTATTAGGGCATGTCCTTAGCTACATAGCTAACATTTACCAAGCACCTTCTCTGTGTCTATCACTCTCACTGAACTCCACAGCATTGTGAGTATCCCCAAACTTTAGCTCCTATGGAGGTTCTTTTTTAATTTCCAAGACCCCTGAGGAAAAAGGAGACTCACATACTTGGGCTAAGTGTGAAGCCAGCTATGTTCATCCATCCTCAACCTCCAGGAGGAGACCTGAGAGAGGTATCAAGACCTTTCAACTGCCCATGATTACCATTGCACTTGTTTGCCATAAAGGCTCCAGGCTTCCTTTTCAGGGTCCTAGCAACTAACTGTCTTTTTAGGAAGTCCTAATGTTTGCACAAGGCTCTGTTCAATTAAATGTCATATTTTCAAATCCCACTCAACTACTACTTCTGTTATAAAAAGATATTTCTTATTTCTGGAGTCAACCGAACAGGGAATCCTTTCCTCCCCCAGAACCCCTCTGCTCTTTAGGACATTGCTCTGTAGCACCACATCTGTCATTAGCTTTCCACAGGACCCTTGGCCTTCATCCTCTCAATATTGCACCTTCCTGGTCTATGAAGAACAAGACTAGGCAAAGAAAAAGCCACAGCTAATTTCTCAGAGGGAAGACCAAGCTCTTCCAGGAAACCGTGCATTCCCAAGAGGACAGAGAAGAAGAGGCACCAGAGAGCAGCCACAGGTGACCCACAGGACACACACGGGAGGCATGCACTCGAGGGGCAGCAAAATCAGGTCTAGTCATCACACAAGCACAGCAGCAGCCAACACTTCCTCAGGACTTAGTACTTCAGTGAGAAAGGGAGGTTTTGCTGCTGGGAGCAGCCATTCAGGAAAGCTATGGGGGAGGGAAGTCCAGCAAGCTTACGGTACTTGAGACAGCTCCCGTGAGGTCAGGCTCCAAGGCTCTGTGGAGGTCCTCCGGTATGGGAGGGACCAGCGGAGGTGGTGGTGAGGATGGTGGTGTCTGGCTAATGGGGGGAGGGGAGCCACAAGCACTGGCTGGCTGGCTGTGGTGGGACCGCCTCTGCAGATGAGGGGGAATGAAATCATCTATAGTCGGGAAGGTCAGAGGTGAGGTGGCAGGGGTGGTCGCCGGGCTAGTGTGATCGCAGCCAAGTGGCCCCAGGGATGCTGGAGGTCTGGCAGTGCCTTCTTGCCCTCTATCAGTGTTAACCAGGTAGAGAGGGACAACTATTACCTCAGGCTGGGCTGGACTGGAGGAAGTGGCATCCTGCAGGAGATAAGGGGGTCATTACATAAAGGGGTATGGTGGGGAGGAAGGAATTCCATATTTAAACACTTGAGATTGGTCATGCAATTATGTACTCTGTGAAATATTTAATCGGTGCCCTTTCCTCAGAGTACATGAGACAGTCAGTGCTGGCCAGCTGGCCTCCTGACACTCCATGACACAGAGGGAGCGCCATCCAAGTTTACTTTCCATCCATCTATTTTTGAATCCTTTTAACACTTTATGAGAGAAAGAGAGAGAACAACAGAGCAGGCAGGCAGGCAAGCTTTGTTGAAGCCCACAAAACTGTTGTACAGGGCCTGAAAGCTTGGGAGTAAACGCAATTTCTTTGGCACCTTGTCACAAAATAGAAACAGTGTTATTTCATCATATGATTAGTCTACAAAAATTCCACGCTCCGGCATACTTACGTATTTACAGAAAAGAGAGAGGTCTGTGCTAAGGATGTTTAGAGAGAACTAGGAATTCAAGCTGCAGCGGTATTAATGAGGATAGAGAAGGTGGGACGGCCCAGAGAACAAATGAACTGCTCTCATGAGTTTGGAAAGAGACAGCATAGCAGACACACAAATATTCCTCATTTCTTGCCTTGGCTGGATAACACGGCTGCAAAAGGTAAAGTTCTTTGCTCTTCTGGTTTTCGGGATCAGAGGTAACTTGGGGGCCTAGTACAGGTGGTCTCACTGCATCTGGGAATGAAGCCCGAGGCCCCAGGGAAAGACTCTCACCACGGTTACAGGCATCTTTACGGATGTGGGTGTCACAGAATAGCTTGGGAGAGTCAGGAGGAGGAGCAGGGGGCAGTTTTTCTGTGCTGGCTGTGGCTGTGTGAGGGATAAGGCTGGGAGCTGGTGCTTGAGTGCCTGCAGCCTCAGAGGGAGTGTCTTTGGCTGAGTCACGTGCAACACACGAGTTTTCCAATGCTGCTTGGCAAATGTTATTGGATACACAAGGTACATATAAGCTGCTGATCTTTTTATTCCTGATGGCCTCATGACGTGGGTTAGAGCTCTTACTATAAACTAACCTAGTGGCTACATAGTGTTGCTGGTGTTGGGATGAAGCACTGGGGACCATGGAACCCAAAAGCAAGGGATCAGGACACACTGAATCTTTGGGAGGCAACCTAGTTGCCGGTGGGACAGAGATGGACTGGGGGTGTGAATGGTTCTGCTGGCAAGGGGTGCTGGGTGGGACATAAGGCTTTGGTGAGCTCATATACAGGGAGTCCTTGTAGGTATTGTGGAAAGTGGGGGGCTGCCATGCAAAGCGGTCCTCTTGAAGGAGGGCAGGATGTGGGGGAGACAGAACCTTTAGTATTTTTCAAGACATAATAGGAAATGGGGGGCAAGGAAGAAAGGAAGAGGAGGGGAAATGGAAAGAAGGATGGACATTAGAAACAATAGCATAATGTGACATGAAGACACAACAACTTTTGACACATTTTTAAGCAAATCCCCATGGCATCCACAGTTCTCTGGGCAAAGCAAAGGACTGACTCATACTCACCTGCAGAGGCTGGCCTGGCTCTCATCCCAGGAGGGCTGAGCCCATCCTAGAACAAGCCTAGTCGACTCTGGCATCAGTCCTTGGTTGGCTGCCTCTTTATAGACCCCTTGATTTAAGGAGGATACCCAAGGAGCAAATGCCAGTAAAGAGAAACCCAGAGCTCCCCTTCCTTCTCCAACTCCCACCTCAAGATTTTTCCCAAAGCCTTTAGCTTAGAAAGTTTAAATCTATTAGATTCTTTTGAGTATCTTTCACTCTTTTTCTTTGGGAGAAAGAAAATTAAAACAGAACCAAACAAAACCACCCGGTTTTTTGGTTCACAGGACAGATGTCTCCATTAAGATTCAACCCTCAGCTCCATAAACCTAACAAATTAACGCTCACTAAGAGGAAGACGCTAAAGGCTTAAAGTCCATGTGTGTTCTTTTCTCAGAAGAAACAATCTGATAGAATTATTTGAAAGAAAGGGCTATGGGTTTAGTTCAGCAGTAGTGTTTAATCCCCAGTACCACATGAAAGGAAGGGGAGGAGAAAAAAAAGGAAACAGGATATTAAAATGTAGGAAAAGAAACACTAAAAAGGGTAAACAGGTAAGAGAATTAAACATTTCATGACTCTGGATTAGAATATCAACCCAGAAACTGTAAAATAACCTATCCTTAAGTTGTCAAAAGGGCAGATGCAGTTGCTCACACCTGCCTATATTCTCAGCTACTCAAGAGGCTCAGCATTCAAGCCAGCCCAGACAAAAAGTTAGCAAGCCCCTATATCAACCAATAGCTAGGTATGATACACACTTGTCATTCTACCTATGTGGGTAACATAAATAGGAGGATCATAGTCCAAGCCCCCGCCCCCAACTTGATAACCTATCCCCCAAATATCAAAAGCAATGAATGGCTTCAAGTGGTAGAATGCCTGGCTAATTAATGCAAAGCCTGTCCAACCCTAATGCCATAAAAATAAAATAAAATACAATGAAAGTTTTCACAAATAACCTGGGAGAAAAAAGCAGCTATTTGAGTTTTCAACTAACCGATGTCTGAATTATGTCCTATCCACAGTACACGCCTGAGGATTAGTGGGATATAGAACCAGCCAAAACCACAAAAATGAAGAGTCCCTCTCTGGTATATAGCAAGAGCAAAATGTTACTTGGCTCACTGAACTTGGACCAGAGGTTGCACATGTTCATAGACTATATGATGCTGTCCAGAAGCAAAATGCTTGGAACTAGCATAAACCAAGGGACTGTCAAGTAAACTGATACTGGCTTAATAAGTGAGCAAAACACCATTTTAATTTGGGCTTAGATGGACTTTTACTTTGAGCTCCAAAGTCTTGCAAGTGAGCTCTTCTTACTCAAGTATAAACTCATTTTCAGTGAGTTTTTAACTTAATTCAGCCATGGCCATACATGGGAGCAGGACTGTATTACACCAGACATGAGCTCTCCCAGGGTTATGATTCTGCAGAGAGGACACTTCTGGAGTATCCACAATGTACTTAGAGCCAAAGGATTTTCTGTCTCATGGCTTCTTATAAACTGAAAGAAAGAGGACAGAACTTGACACAAAAGAGCTACTAGCAGTTTTACTGTAAATATTTTAGTAACCACAAAGACAGTTTGTATTACTGACTAGTGCCTACTAATAAAATTTCATTTTTCTTTTTGTAAGGTACGTCAGTGAATTAAAAAAATGATGCCTCTTGAAAACTTTTGTGTCTACAGTTTACATAGGTCTAGAAACTACCACTCTTCTCTGCCACTGGGGTCCACCATGCTGATGACAATGCCAGACAGGGAAACTTTGGTTCCATGTTCCTAGGGAAGGGATGGCAGCATGTCCAGGCTGGCAGGACACAAGATTCCATTTGGCCAGTGGGTCTTCTGGGCCTTAATTCATACCTTATTAGGAAATGTTCAGACCACAGAGGTGTGATAGCTTTCTGCAGCTGAAACTAAGCCAAGGCTCTGCCCACTCCAGCCCAGCCCACTTTGGTCAATGTGTACTTAGAGCACTATGAAGCCAAGAAGTCATGTTTGGCTATGTGGTGGTTCAAGTGGTAGTGTGCCTGCCTAGTAAGCACAGAGCCCTGAGTTCTAACCTCAGTACCATTGGAAAAAAATTAACCAGGCATCAGTGACTCCTGCTGATAATCCCAGCTACTTGGGAGGCTGAGATCAGGAAGATTATGATTCTAGGCCAGCCTGGACAGAAAAATCCATGAGACTCTAACTCTGCAGAAAAAGCTAGACATGATAGTGGGTGCTTACTATCACTCTATCCACAACAAAAGCCTAAAATAGGCAGATTACAGGACAGGTACACACCTGAATAGAAAGTGAGACCTTATATCAAAAATAATTATCATAGGGCTGGGAAGGTGGCTCAGTGGTAGAGCACTTGCCTTGCATGCCTGAGGCCCTGGGTTCGATTCCTCAGCACCACATAAGCAAAAAGAAAAAAGCCAGAAGTGGTGCTGTGGCTCAAGTGGTAGAGCGCTAACCTTGAGCTGAAGAGCTGAGGGACAGCGCCCAGGCCCAGAGTTCAGGTCCCACAACCGGACCACCCCCCCCCAAAAAAAATAATCATCATAAAAAAGTGCTGGAGGTATGGCTCTGTGGTAAATACCTGTTTAACAAATGTGAGGCCTGGAGTTCAAATCCTAGTGATCACTAAAAAAAAAAAAATCCTCATGTTTATATTCAGAGAACAAATCTAAGAGATACTATATGATCTAACAGTTCTTGAAATTCAGAAGGCCAATTTTACACTGATACACAGAATAAAATCTTTTTATAGCAGCCATTTACTACACTAGCAGCAAGAAGGCGAGTGACCGGTGAGAGAATATGTAGTTGAAAGAGATCTCATGGGATACTCACGCTATTATTCAGCTCATTCATGTAAATACCTTGAGGGCAATGTTAACACAGTGATCTGAACATAGTGCACAGAAAAACCAAGTTAAGGAAAATTTCTTTACTTCCCAAGCTTGCATTTTTTTTGTACATGCTACCAAGTAAGTAAGTACTCTACCACTGAGCCAAATCCTCAACCCTTCACATGTGTTTAAAAGGATCTCTTGAGAAGAGATATTTACAAAGCCATAGGAACTCTCCAATTACCCTTTGAGCTAAGACATGAGTGGTGGAAGACAACAGCTTTAAATTAATCAGTAGTGTTTTCTAATCTGGGCAGATCTGACTGTACTCATTCTTGAGACTGCTGAGAAGGAAGCATGTCTGCCACAAGTAGCACATTTATATCAATGGAAAAGTCTCAGAGCAGGAACTAGAAAGCCATTCTCCAGACCTCCCAAGTCCCTGTCTCTACAGAGGACTTCAGGAGGCCAGGCACATTCACAGATAGTGGGTATACTCAGGAGGAAAGCCACAGCAGAAGGCAGAAAGGCTCAGCTGTGCTGCTCAGAGCAAAAGGCAGGCAAGCGACCAACAACAGGCCTGGGAAGTCAAAAGTCTACAGAGAAGGAAGATGTCAGCTCTTATTCCAGGAGCCCCTTCAGAAGGAGGCACAGGAAGGGGACAACACTGGGAATGTATTTCTGCAACAACTTTTTTTTTTTTGGTTAGTCATGGGGCTTGAACTCTGGGCCTGGGCACTGTCCCTCAGCTCTTCAGCTCAAGGCTAGCACTCTACCACTTGAGCCACAGCACCACTTCTGGTTTTTTTGTGGTTTATTGGAGATAAGAGTCTCATGGAGTTTCTTGCCTGGGCTGGCTCTGAACTGTGATCCTCAGATCTTAGCCTCCTGAGTAGCTAGGATTACATACAGGCGTGAGCCACCAGAACCCGGCTTACAACAACTTTTGAGTAGTTCCACTTCCTTTAAAAGAAGCCATGGAAGTGCTCCTCTATGTAAAAACATTCCTCATAGATTACCTTTCATCAACATGGCAAAGAATCAGTAGGGAAAGAAAGGAAGAAGATGAGGGTAAGGAGGGGCACCTAAAACGACCTAAGCAAAATGCTCCCAACTGCAAGTTGGAAAGAGCTGGATTAGGAAAGCTGGACAGTGCTACCATTGGGACTTCTGTCTACAGGCTCTAGGGCTGCTGGATTTAGGGCCTGGCCACAGCTACCTGATCTTAATCCATGAGGATATAGTTGCTAGAATTCTTACTGTCCCAGCTCCAGTTAAAATTAGCAGAATAAACACGAGATACTCTTCTGAATATTATACTCTATAGAGTTTAAAAATTTAAAAAGCCTGAGACTTTTTCCTACTTATTCAAGGTTAAATGAACTCCCTTCAGAATATTTCTACATACATGTCAAACCTACAGAATACTAGACCTATTTTCCATTACCCAACATAGATGGACCTCACCCACACTTCTGTTTCTCATGACCCCCCAACTCTCCTTCTAAATCTAGCCCTTGCAGAACATTTCCAGAGTTGGCTAAAAGGCTTGAGAACTATCCTATAAGCCAGATGAGCAAGGAGGAAGTCACAAGTTTATGATACAAGGTACCACTCTCGGCTTTCACCCCGCCCATAGGCACACACCTACCTTGGGCTTGTCGGCAGAAAGGCTGGGATGCACACTTCTGTAGCCCTTGGCAGCAAGTGAAGAGGGTTGGGCATTCCCATTGGCATCAGCATTGGAAGAAAGTCTCCACTCATCTGTGATGAAAAATAAATAAATAAATACCCTATTAACTCAGAGGGAACAGTCTTCAACTTCACTCTAATTCAGGGGACCCTAGTAAAAAGTCAGTACAGCAAGAATGAAAAATAAGCCCTACCTGCTGAAGAATCCTCTGGCTCCAGGCCTGTATGTGGAGCGGAAAGGATGAAAACAAGAAGAAAAGGAGGAAAAAAGAAATGGTTACATTTGCGGGAAACTAGCATGAGTGATCCAGAAGGACAAAAATCCAGTACCCTGTTGTCTGACACAAAATGCCCTCAGTCACAATGGCCTGATTACCATAGGAACCCACTCTAAACCATGATGTGTTCTCAAGCACTGACCTTTGAAAATACAAGGCTCTCATTCACAGGAATGAAAAAACAATTGTTCCTTGACATTCTTATTTTACAGACAAAAAGGCAACTGAACTCTTTACTGTCCAGTCTGTACTCACTAACTCATTCCTCTCCCCCAAGCCTGCTGTGGGCTCCAAAAGGACTGTCCCTCATTAGCAGGCTCAGCTAATTAACAGGCCCTAAAAAGGAAATGACTAGGGCTGTTGGGTTAATGGTAGAACATGACTTAAACCCAAAGGTAGCTGCTATGATGGGATTTTTTTCAGGGGAGGATGGAGGAAGAGGATCTTGCTTTTTGCTCTCACTATTAAATAAGCCACAGAAACACCCTGAAAGTTCATCATACTAAAATGTATCCATATATCCCTTCAGCCATTAAAACATTTTTATTGTTATTATATATAAAGGTAATGTACAGAGGAGTTACAGTTATATAAGTAAAGAAGATATTTCTTAAGCTGGACGCCAGTGGCTCCTGCCTGTAATCCTAGCTACTCAGTAGGCTGAGATCTAAGGATCGCGGTTCAAAGTCAGCCCGGGCAGGAAAATCTGTGAAACTCTTATCGCCAATAAACCACCAGAAAACCCGAAGTGATGCTGTAACTCAAGTGGTAGAGTACTAGCCTTGAGCTGAAGAGCTGAGGGACAGCACTCAGGCCCAGAGTTCAAGCCCCATGACCAACAACAACAAAAAAAGATTTTGTAGCCCTGAAAGACTCAGCCTTTCTGCAAGAAATATATACTTTATTCCTTACCGAAATGTAATTTATTTCTGGCAGAAATATTTATTGTCTTTGCTCCCATCTGCTCTTACATGTGATCTTCTCTAGCCTATGGCTATACGCTTCCTGGTTATTTTGTTATGTGTTCATTCATTTGGGCTATCACCAGTTTACTTATTTTTTTATTTTAATTAATTTATTTTTTGCCAGTCATGAGGCCAGAACTCTGGGCCTGGGCACTGTCCCTCAGCTCTTGAGCTCAAGGCTCTACCACTTAAGCCACAGCACCACTTCTGGCTTTTTCTGCTTATGTGTTGCGAGGAATCGAACCCAGGGCCTCATGCATGCAAGGCAAGCACTCTACTACTGAGGCACCTTCCCAGTCCTCAGTTTACTTATTAATTGAAAGATGTCAGTTCTTCTTGAGATCTTCAGATAGTTTTCAGTCTCAGTGTGTTCTGGAAGAGCACTGAAGAGTTAGATGACAGGTTAAAAGCAGGTCTGTTGGTGTTCTAAATCTTATTTATCTTTTATTTATGCTGTATAGTAAGAGAATTAACTCTACACAAAAAAGAAGCCTAACTTTTGCCTTAGTTTTCTGGCCACTGCTATGTCCTTGGGATGGCACCACTGATAAGGATGTTTTTATTTGTCTGGGGAGTTAAGCCATACCAATGTGATTTAGAGTCGAGCTTTGAGCCAATAGAAGTTCCACCTCCTACTGCTGTGGAAGCAAGTCTGCCAGGTGATCTGTGGAGGATGTACTGGAGACCCAACAATAACTCTGGTCACAAACGCTTGGGTAAACTTCCTGTTGCAATACTTAGGCATACTGTTCATATATCAATACTGGGAGATAACATGGGGAAAGGACAACAGGAACCTCAGGAATTTCCCAGTTTCCACTCTACACACTGTTCCCTTAATTGGTTTTAAACCCTATCCTTTTCTTATAATAAGCCAAAACTGCATCTTTTTAGCATCATCACTGAGCATAATAGTGGTTTGGAGAAACTTGTGAATTTGCAGTTGGGTATAAGAAGTGAGGGTACTTTCTTTTTTTCTTCTTTTTTTTTTTATTGTGAAAATACCATACAGGGGTTACAATTACATGAGCAAGGTAATGAGTACATTTCTTATCAAGCATTGTTGCTTCCTCCTTTGTCTCCCCTTCCCATCCCTTCCCATCTCCCCCCCACCTTCTTTTTTTTTTGGGGGGGGGTCCAGTCGTGGGGCCTGAACTCTGGGCCTGGGTGGTGTCCCTCAGCAGTTCAGCTCAAGGCTAGCACTCTACCACTTGACCCTCAGCGCCACTTCCGGCTTTTTTCTTTTTGTTTATGTGGTGCTGAGGAATTGAACCCAGGGCCTCATGCATGCAAGGCAAGCGCTCTACCACTGAGCCACCTTCCCAGCCCTCCCCACCCCCTTTCTTATAGGAACTTTTCTCTCTGATTTCTCAGCTGGCCCTAATTCTCACACATGTACTCACTCATAAAAGATTGATTTAATGAGTGTAGGAGGTACCTTTAACTATGATATGTTTGCTAATGCCATCCTGGGCAGTAAATATAAGAGTTAAAGCAGAGTTGATTGTGGACCTAAGAACCTTTTTTTTTTTTTTGACAGTCCTGGGACTTGAACTCAGGGCCTGGGCACTATCCCTGAGCTTCTTTTGCTACCACTTGAGCCACAGAGCCACAGCTGGCCTTTTCTGTTTTATGTGGTTTTATGTGCAAGTTAGGCAAGCACTCTACCACTAAGCCATATTCCCAGCCCCAAGGACCCAAGAATCTTTATGTCTAAAGCTAAATAACCCAGTAGCACAGAATGAACAGCCTGCAAAGGCTACTGGACCTTGGTATCCAAGTCAGAAGCTGATGTGTCAAGCCAAAGGTCTTCAAGCCACACCAGAGAAGAATTTGGTGTTATACTCACTATCCCAAGTTCCCTGTCTCCTATGAAAACAAAACATTATAACCTAGGATATAGTTAGAGTTGATCTGAATTGACGTGGCTAACACTCAGACCTAATTGGACAATGAGATCAACCAACAAAAAATAAGGTATAGAATCTTCTTCCAGGGATAGGGAATCCAGTATTAAGATTACTGCCATTCTTTTCAGATGATTCTGATCCAAGAACTACCACAGTCCACCATCAGAGATGAAGAGGCTGACCAGGAAACTAAGGCCCACGACCTTGGATCCAGTTACTACTTGAAAGTAGTAGGTCTGCACAGTGGGTTTAAATTGGACCTCTTTCTAGAGGCATGGCTCAGCATTAAAGAGCTTGCCTAGCAAGTCCCTGAGTTCAAACCCCAATGCCATCAAAATATAAAAAGTAATAAACAATTGAGCAACTGGGCATCTCCAAGGGCTCCAACACAGAGGTTTGGTGATCACACTTGCTTTCCAAATTGACACTAGCAATCCATCTCAGTGACTGACAGCTCCCAAATCCATACCCTGGACTCTAAATTTCCAAGTATCTGTGAGAAATTTTCTCCTAGAAGCTCTTCCCTTCTCAACAAACTTAAAATGTCTAAAAAGGGAATTCTACATTTCTTTCAACATCCTCATCTCCACAAAAACCATGAAGATACAGCCTGAATCCTGTCTCTCTTTGAGGCCTATCATTTTGTCTTCACAAAGATACTTTTTCCCTGCTCTTTATCCCCACTGCTATCACACCTAGCCTAGGCCTTCCACGCTTCAAACAAACATGATAGTAAACTTCTACCAGGCCTACAGTAACTTTATCATTAGGGGCCTGGCTCTGTGTTGAATGCTTGAGATAGAAGTGCCCATCTAAACCCAAATAACTCCAGTATGACAGTTTCTACTTTACAGATGAGGAAAGTGAAGGTGAGCCTATATTGTCATACACTCCAGAGTAAGTTCATTTCACCCTGCTTTGTATACTCAGATTCTCTCCCCCACCAGGCTTTATAATTTTAATAAGGGAATGAGATTTTGTTGCTCTTTCCTCTACTCAGACACAACTTGTTCCCTCCCACCCAGACTTTTAGAGTATGTCTTCAGTCGATGAGATTCTATTTGTGTGAAGTTAATTTCCAAACTTGCCAAAGTCATGAAGCATTTTGGCACCAGTGAAAAAGGCTTGGGAAACTTCTTGCTCAAGCCCTCATACTTTTCATGGACCTTAAAAGTCACTGTGATTTATCATAGCTAGAAAGGAGAACAGTGGCCCATAAGCCCACTCTTAACTCTTCCTCTATTGTAACCAACTGCCTCTTCCCATCACCTACCTGCCTAGAGTTACTCTTTCCTCTTATTCCCCCTCTCTCTCCCTTCTTCATTCACTTCTCATTGTAAGTCCTACTCATGTGCTTAGCAGCTGGTATACAAGTAATTTACACTCATTTAGAATCAATTCTCTTAACTTATCAGGAGGAAGATAGTAAGATTACCAAAACATGTTCATGGTTGATAACTATCTTAATTCTTCCAAGTATTCTCATTTTAAAACAATTTAGTATAAATTTGTTGAAAGGGAGTTGGTGAAATCTTTTCCATCGTTAGCTGGTAGAAAATTTTAAGGCACAGTACTAACCTAGGATGCAACAGCACTTCCCAGACTGCCTCAAATCCATAAATAGCTCCATAGCACAAGCCCTGCACAGGGTGGGAGGAGGAGCACTTTGTTCTACACTAGTGCCAGCTTTAACCACTAGATGGAGCTCAAAGCTCCCTCTCCTTACCTCATTCTCAATCTGAGGATGGGGTTCTTACTGGGTCATGAGCTGCAGGTATGTCTTTTCCCTTTAGGTCATCCCTTAGGATTTTCTTGTCCCCACATGTTCTCTCTCTTACGAGTGACTTTTCCAGTTAGGCTGAGTGTGGCTCACTTGGGTGAGCTTTAGAAAGATATTATTTTGTCTCCTCATCCCGATATTACATACTCCCTCTGCTGCCTGGTCCTTACCCCAGGAGTGAGGTCTGCCACCTCTGCTTTCCTGGGAACTAGGAGGGCCAGCCAAGTCACAGCCAGCCTCTCAGAATTGGATAAAAGCTCAGAGAAGACTGACCTTCAGCCCATCTCACCATGTGCTCCTCAGGCCATAAGCCACCTCTGTCCATACAGAGCAGCCTGCAGAGCACTGGCTCGTGGAAAACTGAAGCATACCTGTCAGTCTAGAGCTTGGCCCATTTCCTATCACAGCAGAGACAAGAGCTAACAGTCTCAGTGTCTCTGAAGCCCAGCAGCCTCCCATCCTTCCTTTGTATCTGCACATTTCCTCCCAGTCTCAAGGACAGCACACCTGTCTTGCTTTCATTTTGTGGAGTTTCTGGAGGGCTTGCAGGACTACTGCTTGGGGTTTCCTTGTAGGAAGAGGAGGCACGAAGAGTCACCGCTCCTTTCCCAGTGCAGATTTTTGTAGGATCCATGTCTATAAAGAAAACAAAAGGCCAAAAGAGAAGCTTGAATCCAAGACCCCCGACATATTAAAAGGACAATCAGTTAGCAAATTGTTATAGCCAAGGAATGAGATGAATCTGGTGACAGCTGTATAAAGTCTTCATACATATGTAGCTAATGAAAATTACTGTGTGTGGTGAAAAGGACCAAATGACATTTCCACAAGTTTGCCACAAATCACTAGGTTAGGAGGAAATGGAAGCAGTTCTGAGTAAATGGGTTACAATATCAGCTGAAAACCTTTCCAAATGAAAGCAGGTTTATTCCTCTATTAAATGCAATTTAGGTTGGTGAGCAGACTTCAGGCTAGTTAGTAAGGCATGGTTCAAGATAAAGGTTATGAAAGACCTTTCAAGCTTCCAGGCCATCCTTCTTAGAAAAGAGCAAGTTGGCCACATGGAGAATTAAAAGGACATTCTGAGGACAATCACAGATCCTTGCAGTTCTCCACTAGGGGAAAAAAAGAACTGGTCCTTCTGTCAGCAGGTTAAGACCCCTGAAACAATGAGACAGGAGGCACTGCTCAGGGGTGAGAGCTTCCCATTCCAAATGCAATAGGAAACTCTGCACAGGATCCCACCCTCCCCCACAGCTTCATCAGAGCCTAGCAACAGAGACCCAGGCCATTTGTGAGAGTTCCCTTGAGAAGAATCTCAAAATACAGTCCTCCTCTTATTCAAAAGGGGTGCATTCCAAGACCCTCGATGGATGCTTTAAACTATAGACAATACTGACCCCTGACATGTTCTGGGTTTTCCTATACACACATAGAAATCTTGGATTAGCTTAACTTGTTAATTAAGCACACTAAAAGATTAACAACAGTAACAAGAAGTCACTATTCTGTAACTATACTATAATAAGTTAAAGTTATTGAAAACTTGTGAATTATTTCTAGATTTTTTCAACCACATTTTTTTGGGGGGTGGGGAAGGGTCCGGTCGTGGGGCCTGAACTCTGGGCCTGGGCGCTGTCCCTCAGCTCTTCAGTACAAGGCTAGCGCTCTACCACTTGAGCCACAGCGCCACTTCTGGCTCTTTTCTTTTCACTTATGCAGTGCTGAGGAATCGAACCCAGGGCCTCAGGCATGCCAGGCAAGCACTCTACCACTCAGCCACCTTCCCAGCCCAACCACATATTTTTCAACCACAGTTAAATGCAAGTAACCAAGATCACACAGAAGTAACACTGCCACTGAGGGGCCTGTTAGAAGCTTCCAAAGGTCCAGATGCCTGTCCTCCAGGACTATCACTGCAAAGGAGGCTGGAAACTGGTACAAACCATGAAATTCCAGAAGGCCATGTGCCAAGTGGTTCTTTATGTGTAGTGGAACTAAGCTGAATTCCACACTTTTTTGTTTTTCAACCCGTTCACAGCCTGGATCCCTAAAGTAAAGTTTCCATGATTAGGATAGTAGCTTAAAGCTCAGGTATGTGTTTCTTTGGGCAGGATGAAGGCTTAACATATAACTTAGCAAAGCCTCTTTTCTCCTTGCTCTCCATTCCAGCAGCCTTTCCCAACAAGTCAGAACTAACATTAGTGCTGTGGAGGAGAACCAAGCTGCTCCCATCAGTCCTCTTCCATGGAAAGCACAAAACCCCACCATGCATGACAACAGGCACCTCAATCAGTGTCTGACCATATCAAGAGGACAAGTGTCTGATGTCACAGAACTTCTAAGAAAACTAGCTCATCGTCATTTCAAAGACATGAGAGGCAAGCTGGGCAAATCTAATAGCTCAGGCGAATGTCCTGGACAGTCTAGATTAGCCCTACCTCTGAAATCATCATGGGCTTTCCTTGGTCCTACTTGGAACAAAGGAGGCTGTGAGAAAGCTGACATCTGCACAGCATGTACCCCCACCATTCTAAGAGGTGGGGATACTCTGGGTAAAAGGCCTGAGCATCACAAAGAAAAGCTGCTTGGCCTCTAAGGCAGCAACTTCAAATTTAAAGCAACTCAGAGGTTTCCTGTGAAGAAAGGTTAATCCTAGGAGAAACTGGACTGATTTTTACTATTAAGTGTCAAGAGTTTCAAATCTCTAGAGAATGCAGGAAAAAGCCATGCATCTAGGTGTCATCTCAGCCTCTGTACCAAAGAAGAGAGGCCAATGCCTTCCCCTACTCGCTGGCTCCCAGAAACACACACATATGTGCTCACGTGTGACACGCACACATGCATACACATACTCACATGGAGGATGGGGAGAGGAAGGAAGAAAGGAAACAAAGGAAGTGAAAGGGAATGCTGCCTAAACCTGCAAGGATTAAGCCTCAAAGTGTATGTTAGAAGGAAAAAAGAAAGGAAGCCATGCATGATCTAACAATTAGAAACAACAGTAGGATACCACCCCAAATGAGAGGTACCTGAAGGGAGTACCAGGCCTGAAGTGTATTTCACTGTCTTCACAGGAATTATTTTAACAGCAGAAATAGAGCATGTGCGTAAAGGATTGGTGGTTGCTGAAAACACAAAAGGGTAAATAGTGCATCCAGAAAGAACAGTTGGGAAACCCTCAGGCAGTTAAGGAACTGAATAGACAATAGGAGGAAATTGCCTACATGGAAAGAACAATACAGAGAGCAGTAGATGTAATCATTAAAAATAACCTGCTTTCTCTCTTCAGAGTTCTGAGCCAAGGCTTCAGCAGAAGCCTTCCCTCCAACCACCACCCAAATACAGTTGGTCAGAGTTTAGCGGTGCCTCCTGCCACATCAGGAGCTTGCCAAGGCTCTGGACAAAGAGATGTGCAGAGACACAGATGGCCTGCCAAATGGAGGACAGCGAGTGCGGTCAGGGTCCCAGGGAACCCTAGAGAGAATGCTGGGTGGTTTACTTAGCACTGAGGGCTATGAGGAGAGGGCTATGGTCCAAAGGTTCCAGACAAGTATAGGAAGAACAGGAACAAGTTCACACAAGTTGCCTGGTCCCTTCAGCCCTCACAGCTGCTTCCCCCAGATCATATCTTCTAGGGGCCATGTGCCCATTCTGACAACCACTGCCCTTTGGCCCGGAGCAAATCAGAACCTCCATCTGTTGGGAAGCAGATGGTCTTACTTAAACCCACCCTCTCCTGAGAAACAGGTGCCAAGTGTCCATGTGCATGCCCAAGACTCTGGGCAGTACCCCAGTACACAGTGCTGGATCCTGACATCCAGCTGAACTATCACAGAACAGGGATCACTGCTTAGGACATGAGAAAAGCTGCAGTCCTCAGTCCACGCTGATGCTCATGCTTATTCATCTGCCCTGCCCCTGAGTTCCCTGCCTGCCAAGCCTCTCATCTCTGTGGTGAGCACATCTCCATGCCCTTGTGAGCCTCCCCCATCCTCTCTCACAGTGGCAACACATAAAGAATGGAGCCTAAGTAGCTCCAGAGCCACAGATTAACAAGGGATAGGCCTGCTTGGAAATTAAGAGTTTCTTTGTTGAATTCACATTATGCTGGTGTGATTATTGAGGTTAGGAGAGGGCCAGGAGGTACCCCAACCATGAATAGTGTCCCTCCTCGCCTATTATACTGCTAATCCATAAGGAAGTCTTACTGAATATGACTATCAAAAAGTAAGTTCAGCTGAGCACCAGTGGCTCATGCCTGTAATCCTATTTGCTTAGGAGGTTGAGATTTGAGGATCACTGTTCGAAACCAGCCCAGATAAAAAGTCTGTGAGACTCATCTCCAATTAGCCTCCAAAAAAGTCAAAAGTGGATCTATAGCTCAAGTGGTAGAGTGCTAGCCCTGTCTCTGAGCAAAAGCTCAGAGACAACACCTGGCCCTGAGTTGAAGCCCTAGGACCAGCAGCAGCACCACAACCACCACCCCTCCCCTGCCATAAAAAAAGTTAAAGAAAATGATAAAGCCAGGAGCTGGTGGCTCACATCTATAATCCTAGCTACTCAGGAGGCTGAGAGCTGAAGATCACAGTTCAAAGCCAGCCCAGGTAGAAAAAGCCATGAGACTCTTATCTCCACATAACCACCAGAAAACCAGAAGTAGAGCTGTGGCTCAAAGTGGTGGAGTGCTAGAGACCCTAAGTTCAAGCCCCACAACAGACAACAACAACAAAAAGATAATTCCATGCATTAAAAAAAAAACTTCTATAGTAATCCTACTTGCTGTATCTTATCACCTGGGAGAGTGACTGGGTGGAAGATTCTTGTAACAGGTTTCAGAGAAAGAAACAAGAGCTCAGTGAACCATTCTGCCACTCCATTCTCAAATGCAGAGGCTTAGTCTAGAGGTCCTGGCTCCAGGTTCAGTGACCTTCAAAAGCTACCTTGATGACCTTCTGGTTACACCAGCCCCCTTGTTTCCAGCCAGCTAAAGATGAGTCTTAACTCATGAGCGAGTAGAACTCACCTCTGCAGACCACTCTCCTCATACCACCTTAGTTCTCTTGGGTAAATGAATTTACAAGAACAAAGCTGATAGCCCCAGCGCCCACACGTCTCACTGGATGCTTATGTACCCCCTACAACCACTGCACAAGCATTGCCTCTACATTTTCCCTAAGTGAATTTAGTTAGATTGCCCAAGACCAGGGAGGCAGGGAATGAGACAGCATAAGCCACCTGGGCTCACTGGTCCCCATCTCCTATTCTGTGTCTTTTCTCTTCAACAGCATCCTTCTAAGTCCACAACTTGCCTTGTCTCAGAAGGAGTACTTGGCTAAACCAGATGTAAGTTACAAAGGCCAAACATGTCAAACTCTCTGAAGTATTCTTTGGGAGCTGTTGTGGCTCCCCACCCTAGGAGTTTTGTTCACAAGATAATTGGACCCAGGATGAGAAGCAGGAATAAGTACTGCAGATCATCAAACTGCCACAAATTCTGGCACTTATCTGTAGATAAGAGAACTAAACCCTCAGAGATAAAAGCCTCCCCCTCCCCCAAAATGTCTCTGTTGGTGGGAAATAAAACCAGAATTGAACCTTATCTATCTCATTACTAAAACTCAAATGTCATTACCCACATGACAAAAGTGATACAAGGTCAGAATGACCTCAAAAGGTCATCTTATCCATCATTTATAGCTCTTGTTATAAAATTTTAAAAACTGAAATTTTGAGGGTTAGGGTAATAATTCAGTGAATAGCACCTGCCTATACACTGAACAACTATGTACTACAATATTGGTAAGAAAAAAATATGAGGAGATGCATAAAGCTAACCCCACTAAAACAATTTAATGATCTGGAGTCTTGCTTCACAGAGCTGTGAACAAGTCCCTGTTTATTACAAGCCAAGGTAAAATGCTGGATGTGAGATTTTAGGCTGGTGAGTGCCACAGGTACCATCAATACTACACACTTGCGACCATGTTTGCCCATTATCACAGTGGCCATTTGAACTAGGGACAGCTTTCAATACATAACTTCACAGTAGGAAATGGGAGTTTCAACCCGTAAGAAGCAAGAACATGCTCCAGGTCTCAGAAAGTCAATGTAGCAACCAGCTTTCCAGTTTGCAACCTGTTTAAGCCAACGATGTCCTTCCTAGGCAGGTGAGGTAACCCTAGCCCAAAATAGCCTGCACTTTCTAGAAATGCTTTTTTTTTTTTTAAATTGTCTGTCCTGGAGCTTGAACTCAGGGCCTGGGCACTGTCCCTGAGCTTCTTTTGCTCAAGGCTTGCACTCTGCCTCTTAATCCACAGCACCACTTCCAGCTTTTTCTGTGTATGTGGTACCAAGGAATGGAACCTAGGGCTTTATACATGCTAGACAAGCACTGTACCACTAAGCCACATTCCCAGCTCTAGAAATACTTTTTAAGACCAAGCTGGATGTCTCTTAATGAAACTTACCTTTGTCTTGCCCATTGCTGCTAGATGCTAAGCCATTCACAACAGCTTTAGAAGTGCCAACATCACATTCTAAAAGAAAGAAAAGGCATGAGGCTATGGCACCATCTACTGAGTCCCACAAGGTACATGGTGCTGGGAAGAGAGTGGAGAGACAGCAGAGGAGTCCTGTCCTTACATTCCTCTCAGTGACTCTATCCACTCCTCCCTCTGCCCCCCCCCCACTCCCATCAGCTTTCTCAGGTCTGGGATAAACTCCCCAGGCCATCATGGGAGAGGTCTGAGAATCACCTGTGGCCTGTATCAGGCAGGGTATAAAAGCTGTTTGGAGATGGAAGTGTGCTATAGGTGATATAGATTTGCTTCCCCCGGTATGACTGCTTAGCCATCATTTTAATAAAACCTGTCTAGCTCCCTCAAAATGGCACCCATGTCCCACTTGTTAAAGTCATTCTGTCCTATCCATGAAGTGATTTTAGACAGTACCCATCCTTTCCTTTGACTGTTTTTATTAGCTATAACTAAAGTAAAAGGAATTTTAGCAAAGTGTTTAAAAATCAATAAACCTATCATCTCAAACTTAAGCCAAGTATGCTGTTATTCAACAGCCTCTGCCTCCACTCCACTCCACCCTAGTTGGGTGACCGTGGACTAATCATTCACACTGCAGGCCTCAGGCTCCCCATCCATATAATGGAGACAGTAATAAGCAGTTCGATCTTTGTAGATTCCAGGAGAATGATACAAGATCGTGTAATTAAAGTACTTCCCTCAGTGATTGGCAGCTCAGGCCCAAGTTGAAATAAATATAATACATCATTTTCATGCTGCTTTTTCCAGTAAAGGCACAAATACATACTTGCTATGTGGCCACTGTCTTTCCAAATGATCATTTTAGAGTGGCATACCATCCAACCAAGAAAATATACACAGTGTACTTGTGCTTTCTCCACCTTCACAGAGGTGCTATTTTTGTTTCCTTCAAATTAAGATAGAAATTCCCAAGGCGAGGATCATCAGGTCAAAGGCCCAGAGTTTTGGAATCTTCCTAGGCAAAGCCTCCTCCCAACACCTGCCTGAGAGATTCTGAGTGGAAATCCCATGGGTGTTGCTGCACCCTTGCCCTTCTTCCAGGCCTGCCTTCCTCCTCCTGCCCTGTAAATGCCAGATGCAGCAACACTACCTAACACTAAACCTGAGATTGGAAGAGCAAAATACTTAGGTTGCACATCCAAAGTTAAAGAACAATAAAAGCTCCAGCATATTTTTTTTTTGGGGGGGGGAGGTATCAGCCCCTAGGCACTGTCCCTAAGCTTCTTTTGCTCAAGGCTAGCACTCTACCATTTGAGCCACAGCGCCACTTCGGGCTTTTTTTTCTGTTTACATGGTACTTAGGAATTGAACCCAGGACTTTATGCATTCTAGGCAAGCAATCTGCCACTATGCCACCTTCCCATTCCATACACATAATTTAAAAGCAACAAAAGCTGAGTTACAAGTTTTAAAAAGCAATACTTGGAAGAGGAAGGGTGTGTAGCTTTTTCATATAGAGCCAACATATTTGGGAAGGAGGGAGAAGCCAAGTCCTTCTCTTCACTCTTCACAAAGAGAACAGAGAGAACCTACAGATGGAGAACTTATCCACCATGCCATAGGCACTGGGTTCAGCACTTGAGGAGCATAACTTCACTCAATCCTCATGGTGCTTTAACTTCACTTAGAGTTGTGGGCATGGCACTCAACCTCTTTGCTTCAGTTTTGTCACTTACACTGGGTTGAATGCCTTTCTAGAACCTTGCAGCCCATGCCACACACTGTACAGTATATGAGGCTGGGCTATGGCCCTGAGCTGCTCTACCTCACAACTCTCCAACCATACACAATCCAGCACAACTTCAGACTGTAAGGAAGTATGTAAGGAAGTGGAAAGGGCTTGTTTTTAATCTATGGAGGTTTCCAAGTGTACTCAACACAATACAGGTTAGGAGACCCCCTGAATGAGAGACCCACATAATCATCCTCCCCTTCCCACCAGCCCCCTCACCAGGACCTGCTCAGAAGCAACCAAACAGGGCTTTAGTCTTCAGATGGAAACTTCTGGGCTGGAACACTGACAAATCTTAGCTTCACACCCAGCAGGGATCAGTTCCCCTCTGTCTTCCCTGCCCTGCACTTTCCACCCCAGCCCAAGACTAAAAATATTCAAAACTAACCAGTTGTTTAGATCATGATTTTTAAAAGCATAAGCAAAGCCCGGATGAAGGAAGTGTTAAATTAGTTTTCACTCTAGGTCCATTATGGTCAATCTTGTCTAGTTCTGCAGCAGTCACATGGATTAAGAAATACCACTGAGGTGTATACATATGTCAAAATATATCAAATTTCATACTTAAAATAGCTACAGTTTACTGTGCACCAACTATATCTCACTAAAAAGAAGGATGGTTATTGTAAAGAGCAGAACATAGTGTACCCAAAGTGTATATAGCATATTGAGAGATAGTGTAGGTAATCAAAGCATCATTCACAATTTAGGTGGCAAACATGACTTTTTGGCAGATTTTTGGTGCTCAACTAGGTTTTGAGAAATAAAAAATAAAATGCTATTGAGGACTTCAACATTATGTGGGACATCTGGGTAAAGTGCCCAGTTATATAGATGTGACCAGAGAAAGGCAGGATTGAAAGTGACTTACCAGAGCTCATGGTGGTGTCAGGACAACTCTTCTACAACTGGGGCTCTGACTGCTCTGCAGAAAAACAAACACCACACAATGGAATCAATGAATGGCAGGTTCAAGATAAGTCCCCATGGTTTGCATTAAAAGTGCAAACACTGTAACCCTTAATAACCCAGGGCTAAACTAGATGACACTTGGCCAAGCTCCTGGTTTGTGGCTGGTAGTGTACTTTTGTGGCCCTGGGCACATCATTCAACCTCTTTACCTTGGTGTTGCCACCCATACTGGGTTTAGATGCCATCCCACACCTCCTCTAGTTCTAAGTCTACCAAAAATCTTAAGTTATATGAATGCATGTGGTTGAAGAAGAACACTTAGGAAAGTAGAAAGCACATTTTAGATGAAGAGGAAGAGGAAGAAGAAGAAGAAGAAGA